AATTAGATGGTCATACAAGTAATGTCTACTCAGTCTGTTTCTCTCCTGATGGAAATAAATTAGCATCTGGTGGTGGTAATTAATTTGGAGGTGGTGATTGTTCTATCCGTCTTTGGGATGTCAAAACAGGATAATAAAAAGCCGAATTAGATGGTCATGCTAGTACTGTCTACTCAGTCGGTTTCTCTCCTGATGGAAATAAATTAGCATCTGGTGGTGGTAATTAATTTGGAGGTGGTGATTGTTCTATCCGTCTATGGGATGTCAAAACAGGATAATAAAAAGCCGAATAAGATGGTCGTAATAGTTATGTCCACTCAGTCTGTTTCTCACTTGATGGAAATACCTTAGCCTCTGGTGTTTAAGATAAGTCTATCCGTCTATGGGATGTAAAGAATGGAAAAGAAATTTAATCTGATGACAAAAAATATAAAGATATTCTTACCTTGTTTAAATTACCACTTTAGAATAGCTCATTAGTACCAAATGGTATTAGTTATTTATAATTATTTAGTCAAACCTGATCATACAATACTTAGAATTTGTTAGAATCCTTTATTAGAGGCATCAGGTGCACTTATCTTATAAGGAGAATTTATCAACCATTAAGGAAAAGATTTGAAACCTTTATTTAAATCTAAAAGAAGTTGCTTTTTAGAAGATTTATTGAAACAGTGATTTTCATCATTATTAAAATACCAATTATATTTCCAATCTATTTAGAATATTTTTTTTATAATTTCTTTATCACATTCTACTCTTCATCTTCACTTCTAAACTAGGTAATTCTTATTTTTCAAAGTTTATATCCATTTAAGTTATAAACACAATGAAGATATTTAAATAAAAGTGATATAATTACTTAAAGAATCTTTATTTAACACAACATTCTTTTAAAATACATCTAGGATATTATATGATAGATAAACTTAATTTATTATTATTTATAAAAGGGATTAGCCTTAACAACATAATTAATAATTTTGAAAATATAGTTTATAAATAGTAAAAGATATATTTTATAACAAAAGAAAAGAAAAATGATACATCAAGAATATATTGAAAAACTAAAGTTAATCTTAGAAATAATTTATACTATGGTGAAGTTAAAAAAATAAGATTTTATGGCATTTGAAAGGAATGTACCAATCTCCTTTGATTATTATTCTCAAATCGATATTAAAAGTATTAGACATTATAAAAGACTGAAAAGCTATCAAAAAGTAGGATATTTTTGAGATTATTAAGAGATAGAAACGTAATTATATCTTCTCTAACCGCCATCTAAGAATCTTAATTACTGATTTACCTAAACTCTACGTGAATTTTTCCATTCATTAAATAATAACAGTTATTACCCTATTATTGACTATTCGCTTTTGAAATTTGAAACATTTATTGTCTAAGAACAATGAATTTACAATATCCAGTCTATACACTCTTAATTCAGAATAATCAAATAGAAATGGAGAATGATCTCTGTGGTATTTTTGGTGTTTGGAGTAGATATATGCCATTAAGTAATATTATTCAAGTTGCAAATATTGGAATACTTGATAGCAATTGTTTTCATCTACTGAATGCACAAGAATAGACAACAAAAAGAATCAACTTTTTACACTACGAATGTCTTGATTTTGAAACAAAATAGATCCACAAATATGTATAATTTATAGATAATTCTGGCAGTGATCATATTATTAAAATACCAATAGATGATAAATTTTATGAAAATTTCTGGTATTATATTGAATTTAGACTATATCCAACTGAAAAACTATTTAAAATTCATCTCCAACAGCAAGGACAAGGACCTTTATCATAAAACTACTAGATTGAAAAGCCATTTTATGATTAATACCTAATTGTTATTGTTGGAGGAAATTTGAAGATAGAGAATAATTAATAACTGTACACATCTTAAAATGAAAATTTGTCCTACTTTCCAGGAAAATTAGAGTGCAAGACTCTTATTAATCTTATGTTTTAGAATATTGTGAAGATTATAATGAATTTATTGAGGAGAATTATGGTGCTTGTGAATGTAGAATAAGTTATAAAACACCAATAAATGATTAGATAATTTCAAAATAAGATAAATTATTTTTTATTTCAGATAATATCAATTGTGAGACATTTTTAATATCTGGTTGGGTTAAAATTAATGATATCCATACTTAGAATTTGATTATAAGTTTTTGAAATTATTTGGAAATTTTATGAAACCTTAATTAACAGATGATAAATTGGCTGCATTTTAATTAACCTATAGGATATCTTCAATTGGAAATTAGATAAAAGTAAGTATTTATAGTTATACTTTTCCAACAGTAAATATAGATTTTTCAAAAAATTCCTTTTTAATTGAGGAAGTTTTCAATTTTGCTAGTAATATTAAACTATGGCACTATTTGGTAGTTAGAAAATATAAAACTAATATTAATATTTAAATAATTTTTTACGAAGGATATAGATAAGAAAAATTCGAGTTTAACAAAGAAGTAAAGTAATTTAATTTACTCTAATTTAAATTATTATAGGTAACTATCATCAAATTACTTAAAATTATAAATATAAGGATTTTAATTTTAAAATTGTCCTGATTTTTAAGAATAACCTATAAAATATCATGCCACTTGTAAGGAATGTGATGGTCCAAAACAAAATGATTGCTTATTATGTTTTGAATTATCAAATAGAATATATTTACTAGAATTTAAGTAGTGTCTCTGTAAATACGGAATGATTGACTAGGAATATGCTTGCATTACTTAATAAAGTCTAAATTTAACAATAACTTCAGACGAATTTACTTATAATGGTTGTATGGAATGGATGGTATTTGTGAGAAATGGTATTATATATTATTATTATTAAATGAGTCCATTTATAATTATAAAAAAATCTTGTCACATGTCTTGAATGCCAATAGAATACTAAGGAATCGCTTAGTACTGGTTGTTGTGAAATAATTGTTTATACTGAGAATGAAGGCAATACGCTAAAATAATTTGAGGAATTTGGTTGACATTTTTCGAGTGGAAATAAAGTTCTAGATTAAGAAATTTGCTTAAGTTGTGATATCATGGAACCTGATATTAAATATCCATATCCAATACCACGACTAGCCTATTATTATTGACCCTATTATAGTAATTTTGAGAAAAATGTATTCTCTGTGATATAAAATATTGTGTATATTGTTTTTAATATTTTGGAAGTGATTAAACAAAAACTACTCTAGATTAAGTATTTGATTATGATATTGTTAGAGAGGAAATTAAAACTGGATGTGCATAATGTATTGATGGTTTCATGTATAGTTTTGAAAAAGAATAATGTATCTATTAAAATCCTTCTATTCCAAATTGCCTTAGAACATATGTTACTAATAGTGTTTCTGAAATTTGCACACTATATTCAATAGATAACTTTAGTGTTGCTCCAGAAATTGTCAATTGCCAACATCCCATTTTCAACTGCAAACATCAGATGCGTAATTTGTGAAGATAGTTATTACAGGGGTTTGTACAATATGTTTAATCTTGAAAATTCCAAAGTATGTGTTGAATTGAATTTATATAATCTAGAACCTTGGATATGGTTTATTCAAAGTCTTAGAATTAAATTTCTAAATCTTTAAAATTTTTATAATGTAGGGATAANAAGTATTTATAGTTATACTTTTCCAACAGTAAATATAGATTTTTCAAAAAATTCCTTTTTAATTGAGGAAGTTTTCAATTTTGCTAGTAATATTAAACTATGGCACTATTTGGTAGTTAGAAAATATAAAACTAATATTAATATTTAAATAATTTTTTACGAAGGATATAGATAAGAAAAATTCGAGTTTAACAAAGAAGTAAAGTAATTTAATTTACTCTAATTTAAATTATTATAGGTAACTATCATCAAATTACTTAAAATTATAAATATAAGGATTTTAATTTTAAAATTGTCCTGATTTTTAAGAATAACCTATAAAATATCATGCCACTTGTAAGGAATGTGATGGTCCAAAACAAAATGATTGCTTATTATGTTTTGAATTATCAAATAGAATATATTTACTAGAATTTAAGTAGTGTCTCTGTAAATACGGAATGATTGACTAGGAATATGCTTGCATTACTTAATAAAGTCTAAATTTAACAATAACTTCAGACGAATTTACTTATAATGGTTGTATGGAATGGATGGTATTTGTGAGAAATGGTATTATATATTATTATTATTAAATGAGTCCATTTATAATTATAAAAAAATCTTGTCACATGTCTTGAATGCCAATAGAATACTAAGGAATCGCTTAGTACTGGTTGTTGTGAAATAATTGTTTATACTGAGAATGAAGGCAATACGCTAAAATAATTTGAGGAATTTGGTTGACATTTTTCGAGTGGAAATAAAGTTCTAGATTAAGAAATTTGCTTAAGTTGTGATATCATGGAACCTGATATTAAATATCCATATCCAATACCACGACTAGCCTATTATTATTGACCCTATTATAGTAATTTTGAGAAAAATGTATTCTCTGTGATATAAAATATTGTGTATATTGTTTTTAATATTTTGGAAGTGATTAAACAAAAACTACTCTAGATTAAGTATTTGATTATGATATTGTTAGAGAGGAAATTAAAACTGGATGTGCATAATGTATTGATGGTTTCATGTATAGTTTTGAAAAAGAATAATGTATCTATTAAAATCCTTCTATTCCAAATTGCCTTAGAACATATGTTACTAATAGTGTTTCTGAAATTTGCACACTATATTCAATAGATAACTTTAGTGTTGCTCCAGAAATTGTCAATTGCCAACATCCCATTTTCAACTGCAAACATCAGATGCGTAATTTGTGAAGATAGTTATTACAGGGGTTTGTACAATATGTTTAATCTTGAAAATTCCAAAGTATGTGTTGAATTGAATTTATATAATCTAGAACCTTGGATATGGTTTATTCAAAGTCTTAGAATTAAATTTCTAAATCTTTAAAATTTTTATAATGTAGGGATAACTCTACAATTCTAAGAATCCCAATAGATTATGTTTTAGAATATGCAGATGGATATAAAGTTATTTATAATTACTGCAGGAAATATTGTGATAGTAATTGTTTAATGTGTGAAGAAAATAAATAAAAGGGTTATTGTTATTATGAAAAATGTGGCTTGAACAGATACAAATAACCAATTAGTGTTTTAATGAGGATTGTGATAGCCTTTTAGGATATGCTGTATATTATTTCTTTTAATTTAGGTTTTAAGTTATCGTTCAATTTGTATTTCATCTATAAAAATATGAAGATATAGATGCACATTTTAACTATGAGTATTATAATGAAATTGGTCTTTAATAGATATCATTAATCCTAAAAATAAATTCTGTATATGCGAATAGATATTTATACACTTTAAGTAATGATTTAAAAGAAAAGTATTTTCTCATTAATTGGTTTAAGTGAGATTAGTGGAAGATCTATAGCCTATTCATTATTAAACTTTCTTTCACGATTCTTAAGGGTGATGAAATAACAATTAAATAAATAGTGTATTTTATTCGAACTACATTAGAATTAAGATTTCGAAATAAAGAATAGTCTATAAGTGTTAGCATTATTAATACAAGCTTTTATTTTGACCAATCTAATCCAATTAAAACTGTACATTGTTGAAGAAAATAATCTAAATTATAATTTACATAACATACTTATTTATGACAAGATATTTAAAATTTCTTCCATTTTTCAGTTAAATAAACTGATTTAGACATCAAGATAAATAATTAAAAATTGTCAAATTGTAGCTTTAAAATCAAATTTGCTTTTTTTTTTCTCAAATTTTCGTAAGAAGATTATAATTGATTATCTTAGTATTAATTCTTGTCAATTTTAAAACTCATCAATAATTAGATTCAATTTTACATCTTTTTATTGTACTGACATGATCATCAAATAATGTGAATATTTAGAACTCATCGTTTGAAGATTCAATATTATTATACAGCAATGCTAATTCAAGTTCTGAAGATTGATTAAAAAATTTTTACTTCTCAATAGTTAAATTAATGCTTCAAGAATTATCTCATTTAGTAAGGATTTGTAGTTTAATAATGTTATATTTAAGGAAAATCTACTTAAAGATGTATAATTTCGATTAGAATTATAATCAAGATTTTTGAATTCATAGATTATGATTGATAATTTTTTAATTTTGAAGAATGAATTTGTTAATTTATTAAATATTTAATACTGAATAAAATTAAGTGATGAATAAAATTCTATTTTTCATTATCAAATTTTCAATTTGAATATAATTAACCTGATCCCCAAGAAAATTTGTAATATCTTTTTATTATTACCCTTAAAACTTATTGATATCAAATGCTTTATTTAAAAACACTAAAAATTTTAGGTTTTTTTCTTTAATTGCTGTTCCAACATTAAGAATAGAAATTATTATTAAAGAGAATTAATATTAGTCAGAAAAAGTGCTTGCTACTATTGAATATTTATAAAATAGTGCAACAAGCTCATAGTTGTTGTAAGTTCAAGGTTTCTCAAACATTATGTTACAATAAATTTAAATTAAAAATTGATTTAGTTTAGATAAATCTATAATTTCTATATAATCTAATCCTTTGGTGGAATTTAACCATATTGAATAAATACTAATTAGAGAAGTGACCTTTATTGGAAACATACTGCTAAAAATAACCTTAGGAATTTTTTTTTCCTTAATTGAAATCTATTTAAAGAAAACTTAAGAGATAACTATGGAGAATATTCAATATTAAGGAAATATATTTGATTTATATGAAACTGATCCAATAGATAATTCTGCTAGTCTGGCTCGTATTGAATCAGGAGAAAGTAAAATAAGGACAAACAATATCCTTTGTCTCACAAAGCTTTAACAAATTCATCTAATTCATTTATTTCCATCATTTCAAATGAAGATTCAGTTGAAAAAATTTTAAACTTTTAATCATAATTATTTAGATACTAAATTATGGGAAAAATATTATTAATTGTAAATTCACAGTCAATTTATTTAGGATCAAATTACCTATCTTATCAAGAATGCATATAAAATAGATACTATCGAAGAAGCTCTATCAATTACAGCCTCACAAATATAATTTAAGAATGGGTTATTTGATAATATCATTGCATCAAGAGGCTTAATTTGTGAAATGAGCTGAAAAGGAAATGGAATTGTAATTATAAAGAATTGCGATATTGCTTATGCTTAAGTTTAATTAATTTCTTCAATCTAGATGAATGGAGCTATTACAATTGATGCTCGGAGAAGCTTATTAACAATATAAATTGAAAATTTAAACTTAAAATATGAATAGAATAAACTATCATCTTCAATCTTTTCAAAAACCCCATCATTGATTAAGAATAAGATAACTTTAAAGTAAATATACACTTTAAACTTTTTTTCTCTTCTGAATCAACTTTTACATTTAGAGTTTGATTATAAAAATGCTGAAAACAATATAGTAATAATAGAAAATTTACATATTTTATAAACTTAAGCTGCATTTATATTTTATGTTATATCAGTTGGAAATCAAACCATATAGATATTGAAAAAGAAGTCTTAGATAATGCTATCTTAAATATGATAGGTTATTAGGGATATATCAAATAAGTTTTAATAGAAGGATTAATGTCATCACCTATTTTCAAAATAGCATATTATGCGAAGATTGTCCTTACAAATTGCTAATTTTAGTATATATCAAATTTTTATCCATTACATTTAATAGACATTAATAAGTGATTATGAATACAAAATAATATANTGCTAATTCAAGTTCTGAAGATTGATTAAAAAATTTTTACTTCTCAATAGTTAAATTAATGCTTCAAGAATTATCTCATTTAGTAAGGATTTGTAGTTTAATAATGTTATATTTAAGGAAAATCTACTTAAAGATGTATAATTTCGATTAGAATTATAATCAAGATTTTTGAATTCATAGATTATGATTGATAATTTTTTAATTTTGAAGAATGAATTTGTTAATTTATTAAATATTTAATACTGAATAAAATTAAGTGATGAATAAAATTCTATTTTTCATTATCAAATTTTCAATTTGAATATAATTAACCTGATCCCCAAGAAAATTTGTAATATCTTTTTATTATTACCCTTAAAACTTATTGATATCAAATGCTTTATTTAAAAACACTAAAAATTTTAGGTTTTTTTCTTTAATTGCTGTTCCAACATTAAGAATAGAAATTATTATTAAAGAGAATTAATATTAGTCAGAAAAAGTGCTTGCTACTATTGAATATTTATAAAATAGTGCAACAAGCTCATAGTTGTTGTAAGTTCAAGGTTTCTCAAACATTATGTTACAATAAATTTAAATTAAAAATTGATTTAGTTTAGATAAATCTATAATTTCTATATAATCTAATCCTTTGGTGGAATTTAACCATATTGAATAAATACTAATTAGAGAAGTGACCTTTATTGGAAACATACTGCTAAAAATAACCTTAGGAATTTTTTTTTCCTTAATTGAAATCTATTTAAAGAAAACTTAAGAGATAACTATGGAGAATATTCAATATTAAGGAAATATATTTGATTTATATGAAACTGATCCAATAGATAATTCTGCTAGTCTGGCTCGTATTGAATCAGGAGAAAGTAAAATAAGGACAAACAATATCCTTTGTCTCACAAAGCTTTAACAAATTCATCTAATTCATTTATTTCCATCATTTCAAATGAAGATTCAGTTGAAAAAATTTTAAACTTTTAATCATAATTATTTAGATACTAAATTATGGGAAAAATATTATTAATTGTAAATTCACAGTCAATTTATTTAGGATCAAATTACCTATCTTATCAAGAATGCATATAAAATAGATACTATCGAAGAAGCTCTATCAATTACAGCCTCACAAATATAATTTAAGAATGGGTTATTTGATAATATCATTGCATCAAGAGGCTTAATTTGTGAAATGAGCTGAAAAGGAAATGGAATTGTAATTATAAAGAATTGCGATATTGCTTATGCTTAAGTTTAATTAATTTCTTCAATCTAGATGAATGGAGCTATTACAATTGATGCTCGGAGAAGCTTATTAACAATATAAATTGAAAATTTAAACTTAAAATATGAATAGAATAAACTATCATCTTCAATCTTTTCAAAAACCCCATCATTGATTAAGAATAAGATAACTTTAAAGTAAATATACACTTTAAACTTTTTTTCTCTTCTGAATCAACTTTTACATTTAGAGTTTGATTATAAAAATGCTGAAAACAATATAGTAATAATAGAAAATTTACATATTTTATAAACTTAAGCTGCATTTATATTTTATGTTATATCAGTTGGAAATCAAACCATATAGATATTGAAAAAGAAGTCTTAGATAATGCTATCTTAAATATGATAGGTTATTAGGGATATATCAAATAAGTTTTAATAGAAGGATTAATGTCATCACCTATTTTCAAAATAGCATATTATGCGAAGATTGTCCTTACAAATTGCTAATTTTAGTATATATCAAATTTTTATCCATTACATTTAATAGACATTAATAAGTGATTATGAATACAAAATAATATATTTATAATTTATAATTGAAAATCATCAATTATTTATTAATTTTTCAACTTAATTTTTACTATAGTAGATTAATCATCTGACTCAGAATCTATTCATATATTTTTTGAAGAAATGATTTAGAATTCTAATAAAAATGGTTCCTTAATACGTGTAAATAGTATAACACAATAAACCCCAATAACAGTTAAAAAAATATAAATTAAAAATAATAACTGCTAACATTGTTTGAATGGTCTATTGTATTTTGAATTAGTAGATTTTTTAATTATTAAAATATAGCAAATATAATGCATTATGAACTTTATTAAAAGGAAGGGGAGCATTTTAGCTATATCAAAAACAGTTTAGATAGAAAATTTATAATTGATCAATCAACATTTATCTCTAAAAAATGGAACTTAAGGAACAGGAGTATGAGGATAAAACATTAGAGTTGCTTTAGCAAATTCTAGAATTATTAACAATATTGCTTCCCAAAAGGGGGAGGAATTTATTGTAATCCTATTTTAAGTAGTTTTTATTATATTAAACACTTATTTGTTAGAATTCTGCTTAAGAAGGAGGTATTATTTATCTTGAAGGGAAGAGTAGTTTAAGTATAGAAAAGTAAGATATTGATTTTGAAATCTTTCGTTTTAAGCTTTCTACTTTTTTTCAAAAATTGATCTACATTATATTTTAACATTTTCATTTTGCTTCTACATATAAATTAATTTATAAAAAAAGTGAATTTTTTATTATAGAAAGTGCTAAAGAATCCATAAATTTATAAAATCTAAAATATTTACTGTTTAAGAAAAAATTTGAAAAAATAAAAAAACTTTTTTGAGATAGATATTTAGAGTATCATTCTACAAATTTCTGCTGTCTTTCTATTAGGGTCTATCGACAAACTCTTTTCTTAAAATGATCAAAACAATCCTTAGTTATTAATATAATGAATTTTAGAATATATCTGTTGTAATACTTCAATATACCAAATTAAAAACGTAAATAATGATAGCATAAGAGTTCATCAAACCAGAATTTTTAATCCAATAATTAAATTTTATTTATATAATATTAAGTATTTTTTAAGTTTCTCATTTTAATAGAAATTCAAATTATTTTCATTAACACGTAATTTTTTGCTAAAAAGTTTATATGATCAAATAATATCTTTAAAAGGAGGAAGCTAAAAATATAATGAAGCAAGAAATTAATGTATTCAAATTTTATCATAGAGATTTAGTCCTCATTCAATAATATTGAAAATTCACTTGATTAAATAATATATGATCTAAAAGTTCATTAGTAAAACAAATTTCCAAATAAATTCTAAAAACATGATCCTGAAATTAATATTCTTTGTTTTCCAGGAACAACACCCGAAGTAAACAAAAAACAATTTAATGATGATTTCAGTCATTAAGTAACATCAGTAATGGAGAAAACCCTCAAAAGTCAAATAACAAAGAAAGAAGAGTTTCTAAATTTAGAGTTTATGAGAAAATATAGTTAAAAGGAAGACTAAATTAAAAAAAAGGATTAAGAATTACAAGATAAAAGTTCCGAAAATTAATAACTCAAATAAACTCAACAAGAAAAATAATAAGAGTTTTGGGAATTGAAACAGAAATATGAACAAGATAAACTATAATTAGAAGACTAAATTAAAAAAAAGGATTAAGAATTACAATATACAATTTCCAATAATAAATACCTCAACTAAATTCAACAAAAAAAATAATAAGAGTTTTGGGAATTGAAACAGAAATATGAACAAGATAAACTATAATTAGAAGACTAAATTAAAAAAAAGGATTAAGAATTACAATATACAATTTCCAATAATAAATACCTCAACTAAATTCAACAAAAAAAATAATAAGAGTTTTGGGAATTGAAACAGAAATATGAACAAGATAAACTATAATTAGAAGACTAAATTAAAAAAAAGGATTAAGAATTACAATATACAATTTCCAATAATAAATACCTCAACTAAATTCAACAAAAAAAATAATAAGAGTTTTGGGAATTGAAACAGAAATATGAACAAGATAAACTATAATTAGAAGACTAAATTAAAAAAAAGGATTAAGAATTACAATATACAATTTCCAATAATAAATACCTCAACTAAATTCAACAAAAAAAATAATAAGAGTTTTGGGAATTGAAACAGAAATATGAACAAGATAAACTATAATTAGAAGACTAAATTAAAAAAAAGGATTAAGAATTACAATATACAATTTCCAATAATAAATACCTCAACTAAATTCAACAAAAAAAATAATAAGAGTTTTGGGAATTGAAACAGAAATATGAACAAGATAAACTATAATTAGAAGACTAAATTAAAAAAAAGGATTAAGAATTACAATATACAATTTCCAATAATAAATACCTCAACTAAATTCAACAAAAAAAATAATAAGAGTTTTGGGAATTGAAACAGAAATATGAACAAGATAAACTATAATTAGAAGACTAAATTAAAAAAAAGGATTAAGAATTACAAGATAAAAGTTCCGAAAATTAATACCTCAACTAAATTCAACAAGAAAGATAATAAGAGTTTTGGGAATTGAAACAGAAATATGAACAAGATAAACTATAATTAGAAGACTAAATTAAAAAAAAGGATTAAGAATTACAAGATAAAAGAGAAAAAAATCAAAAAGAATTAGAGGAATAAAAAGAAAATCTTTTACATTTATAATTAAACAATAATCTTTATGATTAAAAAAGAAAATTAGAAAACCTGCTTAATAAACTTGATAAAATTAACTAAACTTTATCAGCTATAGAGAATGAACAATCTACGATTACTTATGAAGAAATAGTTAAGATATAATTAAATTAAGGAGAATATGTTTCGAATTGCACAAAATGCAATAAAACCTGTCATTATCCATGTGGTATTCCTGAATCTGAAAAAAAATAAAATTGTAGTGTAATGCAGAATGGCTAATGTACAGTCTGTGAAGATAAATGTAGTTGGTAACATCATAAATCTGACATTTTTCGCTATGTAGCCTAATAACTGAAGAAAGAAGTTAAATCTGACAATGATTCTAAAAACGAAAAAATAAATAAATTGAAGAAAAAGGATCGAAAACAAAAAAAAAAAAGCAAATAATTAATATAGGAAGTAATGAAGTTGGCTAAAAAACTAAATCATATTAAACCATTAATGACTGAATTTGAATATATTGATATGATGATTAGCAATGACTATTCAAAAGGAAATGAAGGAAAAAAAAAAGCTTTATAAGCCCTCAAAGAGGGATGGGAGAAGATTTGATAAAATAAAAATTTTAAATATTGTCGAAAATTAATTTATTTTAATTCTTTGGTAAAATGTTACCTCTCAGGAAAAAAATTTTTGATTCATGCTCTTTAGAATTCCATTTTGAATCTTCAAAAATAGAAATTTTTTTAAATTGGGAATTGATGAAAACGCAAACTCTAATCAGGAAAACATTTCTACATTTACATTTTATTTAGAAATTATGGTTTATTCTCATTCTGAAATGAAAAAAAATAATTTAGTTAAAATGATTATCGAATAGCAATTTATAAATCAATTGATTTGATAATTGAAAAAATATATTACCTTGATCTTTCTATTTGCTAAACAGAAATTACTATTTGAAATTAAAATGTTATTGATTAATTTAATTTAAAGATTGAGTTTCATTTGTGATAATTAATATTCATTTTCTAGGAAGATATTCTTAGGTAAAATTAACATTAGAATATTTAGATTTAAAAAAAATTTAATTAGTGAACTTCAGGTTGCAATCAGTAAAGTTGATAAAGCCTTATAATTTATCAACTCTTTAATTGAAAGTCTCCTTCTCAAATAAGACGAAAATTTATAAAAAAGTCAAAAAAGTCAACATCAAGGTTTAGAAATTGTAGATAATAAAATCCATGAATATAAAACTTTAATAAAAAAAGTGCTTTTGCATATTTGATTTAAAATAATTAATAAGAAAGTATATCAAATATATTTTTTTATTTTTGCATTCCTCAATAACTTGAGAATATACAGGACTAAATTTAGGTAGTAATTCAAATGAATTCGCTATTGAAGGAAGTAAATAAACAACAATATTTGATTATGGGTCATTAAACAAAAAATAATCGGAAAAACTTAAATATATAAAACTTTTATTACATGGCCAAACAATTTTCTTTTAATTTTATTTAGATGATAATACTTTAGATAAACAACATTAGGATAATTGCAAAAGTTGTTTAATGATAATTTTGATTTCACTTTTTGTATAACTTATTAAAATTAAATAAATAAATATTTAAACAAAAAATGCAATTTATCCTATAGTTCAAAGAATATTATTGATGAAAATATTTAGTATCAATTCTTAAAGATAGACAACGTGGCCGAGAGGTTAAGGCGGCAGATTAGAAATCTGTTGGGGTTCCCCGTGTCAGTTCGAGTCTGGCCGTTGTCGATTTTTTTTATAAAATACCATCTCAATTCTTGATTAAGATTGCTTTTTCCAAATTTACTAAATACTTATCAAAAGTAACTAAAGATTAGTTTTAATAGATTTATTAATGCAGATACTTATTGATTATATCAATTTATAAAGTTTAGAAATTTGTAATTTGAGACTAAACAAAAATTATTCACAATAATATTTAGAGGTAGCAGAAGCGTTATCAAAATATTGTTATTTTCTGTATTACTTCTTAAGAAAATCTCAAAAGAATAAAAATAACTTAATGATCATTACCTTTCTCATGTTAAGTTTCATCTTGTCTTATATATAATGAATATTCATCATAAAATAATATGACAAATTTAGTTTTTGAGAGAAGTTAATATAAGTGTTATATATTTGCTGGATTACTCTTTAATTCCTTATTTTATTTAAAATGGGCTATGGTTTAATTATTAAGTTACGATGTAGTTATAGCTGTTGAACTCGATAATGATTAAAAATTATATAGAATTACTTTTTTAAGGTTTATTAATCATATCGTTCAAAATATTACTAACTTAATTCAAAATTTCTAAGTAAGAATATAGAGACCATAATGTATTTTCATGATGTTTAAATATTAATTAATGAATTCTTAATAAATTGTCAAAGTAATAAAATGCCATCTTTAATCATAAAGGTTTGAAATAAATTAAGATTTGTGAAATTTCAAGTATAAAACTAAAAGTTGAGGTCATTTTTAAGTCCATATTGTATCATTTTAATTGAGATCTTTGACTTTTCCATATAATCATGACTTATTTTAATATATAAATATAAAATTAAAGAATGAGAAAATATTCATAAATTTATAATTATTATAGATATTAATATTTATTTATTCAAATTAACTTATTAGTATTCTCAATACATATATTGTATGATCAAAAGAATTTCAGAAATTAGACTAAAATGAAATTTAAATTTTAAATTAAATAATAACTTTTTTTAGATGACTGAAGAATCCAATTCAATCTTTTCAACTATCAAATATTACAAAAATAAGTTGAAGTTTCCCACTTTTCCAAAATAATCGAATGAAATACAAGAAAGTAAAGAATAAAGGGATTTATTATTTTGTAATTCAAAGTAAAGAAAGGAAGAAAGTTATCGTTACCTAAAGGAATGGGCTGATAATAGAGGAGAAATTTGTGAAAAAAATAAAGCTTAGATTGAACAATTATCAAATTTTTGCGAATACCAGATTAAACAATCAAGTGAATATCTTTCGATTGTATACAAATTCTTTAATGAAAAATACTTTCATGAATAACAATATGGACAATTCTTATTAACAAAACCTTAACCAGCACTTAAATAAAATCAATTAAGCCAATAACTGTATTCAGAAATCAGTTAAGCCATCTCAATATTTGAAGCGGTAAATCTGAAAAGATGTGAAAAAGTATCTAACTTTTCTCATGCCATTTCAACTTTAATATTGAAAGCAGAAATTCTCTCAGATCTTCTAGATTTGGAAAAGAGATCGAATTAACTATTAAGTTGCATAAATGTTCAGAAAAAATAATTATAAAAATAGCATTCACTATCAATTCAAAAGTTTAAAGCAATAACAGATTTATTTCCTTAAAAATAATCTCAAAGATAAAGAAAACCTATTTTCGATAATCCAATTTAAAATGAATAATAAAATTAAAATATAGAATTAAAATAAAATTAAGAGATTACACACTAATGTGAAGAACCATCTACAATAAAAATTAATGATATAAGTGAAGTACTAGCAGATGATTAAATATAAATTAATCATTTATCAGAATAATCAAAAGAAAATATATTTGATAAATCATAATTAAGTGTATAGTAATAAGGGAGTTCATCTGATGCTCCATAAGATTAAGAATAAAATAATAAAAAAGTTTAATAAAAATAATTTGAGCAAAGCTAATAAAGATCACAATCTCAAACTCTTCCTTTCTCAAAAGCTTTAGTTGACAATTAAGTGGTAAAATAATAGTCAACAATTGATACATATAAACTTATGATGAGCTATATGGCAACATAATCCTATACAATAAAGTTAATTAATTAATTAATTGAACAAGTTAAATAATACTGGAAGCATGTAAATAGTATAAAAATAATGATAGGTTTTAATGATGGAATAAAAAAGAACAAAATGGGCATAGGATTCTTGCTAAATTTATAAAGATGGAATCCTTGATGTTTATAATGTTGATGTAGAATTACCCTAGTTTAAGTTAGAATTAAAAGAATATTTCAATTTAATAAATATTTATCCTGGTTCAAATTCTTTTTAGAATGAAAAAGATTTAGATGAATTTTGTAAATCTTTAATGATCAAAGAACTTGGATGTTAGGCTGCAAGATTACTTTTGATTAAAGAATTCAAAGTGAATGTAATTGATAAAAATAGTGAGTTACCATCAATTTTGGTACTTACTATTGATAAATTTGTTGGGTGTTGGCTCAAATATGATGATTCTATTGATGGTAATTCTCAAGAAAATATCCATTAGCAATTGACACTCCTATTTTTCATTATCCAATAATTGAGATATCAATTTAAAAAATCGGCGAATTAATTTTAGATATTATACCTTCTAAGAATATCTTATTTATGAATGTAATTATAATATATCTAAAAATAATTCTTAGATTAATAATGGTAAACAAAAAAGTAAAATAAAATTTGCATGCATTGATGACATGGAAGAATTTATTACAATAATTAAAAATTGATATATAGTAATATATATATTTACAAAAATTAAAATATTTAATAATGTTCCAATCATTACTTTATTAGTTGAAATTGAAGTTTAGAATGATAAATCCATGTAAAGAAATTAATTCAAATTTTAGTTGACATTAAAAAAGAATTTAAATTTTTGTCCAACACCCAATAATAATGTACATTGCATTCTAAAGAATAATTAAATCAATCCACTTATTTAATGAGATTTGGTAATATTTTTTGTAATTTCACATTTAGCTATTCCACAATAAGATAAATGTTTAGGTACTAGAATTGGATAATATATTTCATTGAATGATCCTAAATTTGATATCAATACTACTAGATATTATTGTCCCATATCAAGAATTGATGATGTAGGAATGTTTGATCTATTGGTTCATGCCATTTATGCAGAAAATAAAAATTTTTCTACTCACATTACAACCTTAAATGTAATACATATAATAATCATAGGAAGGTCACATTCTCAATATTAATGGGCCTTATACTAATTACATTTATCATGGATATGGTGCCATTGAAATCCCTAAATATAATATCAATTCAAATTATTAATATATTGGTATAGTTGCAGAGTCTTCAGCGATTGCAGCTTTTTTCCAAGTTATTACAAATATTTATTTTATGATAGTTGATAGAAGGCATAGCTACCAATGGCGACAATACTCATATAGGTTTACTTTATGTTGCTGACACTTTTGAGGAATTAGTTTTGATGGAAGAACTTATTTGGTATATGGAAGTGAAAAAGATAAATGCTACATTTATGCTAAGAAATGAAAAAGAGTTAATTAATAAGCTGTTTAGTGGTCCTAAGGGTTAATTACAACCTATTGTTTTACAATAATATTTGCCATAACCTAATGATCAAACAATAATTCTTGTATGTGGTAGCAGGTAAATAATATAATGTATTTTTAGGGCTTTTAAAAAGGAAACAAAATAATTATTAGAATAAATCAATCACCAAAATATAGCTATTATTTGATTATGTTTTATTAAATGTTATATTATAAAATTTTATATTAAATTATCAAGATATTATCAAATTAAATCTAATTTAATATATTTGAAAAAAATTTATATCCAAAATATTAACAATTTTCTTTATTTAATATTTTATTCATAGAAGATCTAAACATAAGTTTAGAAATGTAAGAGAACATCATAAAAAAGGAGAAGATAAGATAATATTAGAAAGTTCATCAACTATAAAAGGAGTAACTTCAACATTTAGTCTTTTAAAAGTCCTATTCCATAAAATCTGTAAGCTATTATTATTATGTAGGCTTCTACACTCTTAGAAATTAATTATGCTACTGCAAAATCTATAATATCGAAAATACGAAAATCAAAAATAAGAAAATATTTTCTAATCAACAAAAAATTAAGGCAGTGCCAATTTAAAAAAATAGAATTCTCTACTTCATAATTAGAAATCAAATCTATAGTCTCAGGTTTATTGATTAGTGAGTGTATTTATTATTTGAAATGAATATCTTTGAAAATCTGAATAAAATTATTCTAATATTTTTTGGAGGATTTTGCTGTAAGCAAATACCCTAGTATAAATATAAATTTATAATATAAAAATAAATCTCACTTAAAGTTCACTTCCAAGATGGTGTTATTTGTTTTTAACAACATGTTTTCTGTTAGTATTTATTCATCTTTTAAATATAGCCAGGTACCATTTGTTGACGATTTACCTTCAATTCCATCAATTATTTTCCATTAACCATCAAACAGGACTGTGCATTAATATTTTGATAAAAGAACATCATCATAATATCTAATCAAGCAATCAATATTTCTTCCTATGGTCACAGGTAAATAATTTTTTGAGCTTAAAATATATACATCATCTTTTGCTGTACCTCCATAGAGTTGAATTCTAAGGTACCATTAATCTCTCTCTAATGACAAAAAGTATTATCTATCACAAGGATAACCACTGACAATGAATTCCTTTACGTCATACAAATTATTAAAAGAAGGCAATCTTAATAAATCTTATCCATAACATATTTATGTTGTAAAATACATTTATCCCATTGTAATTAGAGTATTGTTTTATAATTTAATTTCATTTACCTTGTAAAAGCAACCAAATCCAATCCCTAAGTCTTTAATTCTAAAATTTTAGTTTTAATAATCATATTTAATATAAAAATGCTATCCTCTATTCTTCTTATTCAATTTATTATCAATAGATGGGATTTTATAATCATTAATTTTGTATCCCCCTTTTTTGTTTTTATGTTTACAACCAAAATAAATTACATTAGATTAATTATTGGGTTGAAACTCAAAAATTTAATTTTCTTCTAAAGTTGCAGAAGCTATCACTCTTAAAATTAAGATTGGTGTTTTCCTTTGTTGTTCCTAATGTTAAAAGGATGATATTTTCTTGGTCTATTAAAGATCTGTTAAAATTGATTATGGATGCTTTTTTTCTGTTAGTTAATCATTTCTATTTGTATTTATAATATCGAAGTGAGAAATTGTTTATTAGTGATTAATGATATTATCATAATTGCTAGTATTTAAATATTAAGGTGTATCAGCACAATTGCAAGAGCCTTTAGAAATTTATTCTCCCATAATAAATTATATTTTATAGTATGGTTTGTAAATTGAAATAGTTCTTATTAGTAATGAGAGTAATAAAAATATTCATTTTAATTTAAAAATGTTATAATTGCCTATTATTAGTAGAACACCAGGATAGAATTTTAGTTTTAATTAGTTTGCCTCAGCTCCAAATTCTCCTGATAGAAATAAGCAAAGCACTATAAAAGATTATATAAAATATCGATAAAGAAATTTAATTGATTTTGTAAAAAGTAGATAATAGAGTCGATAAAATAGTCCTAAAAACCTTTTTAAAGTAGATCTAATTTAATTTGCAAAAAAGAAAAATGATAGCATGCCTAGTCCTATAATTGGGGAGATTAAATTTTTATCAACTTAAAGATCAATAGGAGATTCAATATAGATAGTAAATGATTAGGGTATGACAGATGAAACATTGTTTGATGAAATAATTGATTTAGAGAATGCAATAAATTCGAATGGAGTTGATAAAAAAGTAATGGGATCACAGAAATAAATAAATCATTCAATAATGAAGAAAGAAGTAACTGAGGATGGTTAAGTGAAAATTAATCAATACACAATACTACAGGAACTGGGTAAAGGATCATTTGGGAAAGTAAAATTGGCTAAAGACAACAACAATAAAAAATATGTATAAAATTAGGAGCTATTAATTTAAGGCAGTAAAAATATGCGATAGAAAGAAGTTAAAATTGAAGTTACTTTCTAGTAAACTTGATGCTTATTCATTACTCGATAAAGAAATAGCAATTATGAAAAAAGTTGGTCATGAAAATATAGTTTAACTCTATGAAGTTATTGAAAATCCAAATAATGATAAATTATATTTGGTTTTGGAATATATGGATGGACCTTAACTCTTATCGATTAAAAATAAAAGTATTGAAATTATTTGGAAACTATTTCGAGATTTCATGTTAGGACTAGAATATTGTATTATATATTTATACTAAATTATAAGTGCATAATTTTGCCAATATAGCTCATATGGATATTAAACCTGAAAATCTTCTATTAAACTAAGAATTAAGATTGAAAATTGCTGATTTCGGAGTTTCCCAAATTATGGATGATGATTTAGTCAAAACCAAAATTGGGACATCAGCCTATTAACCACCAGAAGTATTTACAGAAGAATAAGTAAGAGGTAAACCAATTGATGTTTGGGCTGCTGGTTTAACTTTGTATCAGTTAATTTATAATGAACATCCGTTTATTTCATAAAAATAGGACCAATTAAAGAATAATATTCTTACATAAAATATTAAATGGAAAGAAACCTCAGACTTAACAGATTTACTAAAGAGAATGTTAGACAAAAATCCTAATAATAGAATAACAACTTAATAAGTGTTAGTATCTTTTATTAATTATTACAGGAACATCCATGGGTCACTAAATATGGTAGATTTCCTCTAAAAAATGAATATTAAGGTAATTTTAATGTGACTGAGAATGATATTCATAATGCTATCACAAGATTATCCTTCAATATGGCTATTAGAACTTTAAATAAATTGAAATAGAAATTAAGTTAATCTCGCTAACGATTAAGATAAAGAAAGGCTTAAGAATCATAATGATCTGACTTTAATTTTTATTAATTTAAATTATTTTCTGATTTTATGAAAAAACAATTTTTTTCTAATAATAATGAATTTTCACATCAAAGTGACAATTAACAACACTTTATGTCATCTTACTATTGACAATGATAATAACTTGATAATCATGAATTAAATTCAATTGATGACATTTCCTTTAAATTTAGATTCAAATATAGTATGGAGATAAGAGAAAAACTTATTGAAAGGCTTTGAAATAAATGGGATTTTGTTTTAGGGTGATCATCATGATCTTTGGAATCTCAAATTAATCTTAGGCCGATTAGTAATCTTTAAAAGAATCAGTAACATGTACAACTTTCTCACCACACTAGGGAAGGGCAATTATTCATAAGTATGTTTGCTTCAGTGTAAAATAACAAACAAATTATATGCTGTTAAATGTATGAAAAAAGAGAGTGAAGATGTTATAAAAGACATCAAGAGAGAAATTTTGATTTGGTCTATGTTACAACATAAAAATGTTGCTAGATTTTATGAAGTCTATGAAAGTACAAATACTATTTATATTGTTATGGAAAAACTCAATAAATTAAGGAATGATTATGATCATGAAGAAATTAAACTAATTATGAAAGTATGTTGAATATTAATTAATTATTTAGGATATTCTGGAAGGTGTTAATTATATTCATTCTAAAAATATTATACATCGAGATTTAAAAATAGATAATATTTTGATTGATGATGACAATTCAATTAAAATTATTGATTTTGGTTTAGCATGTCAATTTATAAACATTGAATCCAAAAATATAAGTTGTGGCACTCCGGGTTACATAGCTCCAGAAGTTCTTATGAATAAACCATTTGATTATAAATCTGATATCTTCAGTATCGGAGTTGTAATGTATTAACTTTACTTTAATAAACATTTATTCCAAGCTGATTAAGTAGTTGATATCCTTAAACTCAATAAGAAATTCACAATATCTCGATTATCTGTTTTGAATATACCAGATTGTGGTTATCAATTGTTAAGAAGTTTATTAAATCATAATCCATAATAAAGAATAACAGCCTCCCAAGCCCTCTCGCATTGGTATATGAATTCAATTAAGGAGGATCATTTTATCAAAGTTCCAAGAAATCCAAATCCTAAATTTAAAGATCACCTCTAAACATGCATAGTAATGTGTTCGAAAACTACTATAACTTCATGTAATAAAATATATTGAAAATACTATTTTTCGTTTATTCAATATTGTATTCCAAATCATTTTTTCATTCTAAATTTAAATTAACTTATTTCTTAAATTTTCTGTTACTAAATTCTCTTATTATCAATAGAAACAATTTCTGTATGCTTTTATTATTTGGAATCATCTTAGTATATAAATATCCTGAATTTAATAAGATTAAGTTTTCGATAATTAGTAAGGTTAATAAATAAAACACAATATTTCTTTTTTTAACTCTTTGACAATTCTTTTTTTATAATCTGATAGTTTTTCATTGTATTCAATTTACTATCAAATGGAATAAATAAAAATATATTGTTTTAAAACATATTAAAACCATCATATATAAATCCTAAATTATAATTATTATTTATTTGGATCTTAGCTTTTAAATCATAATTTAATAAATTATCTAGAAAAATACCTCTACAACTATCATTACTTCTAACCTTCAACTATATTGAAAAATTCAACTCTGTTAAATTCTCATCCTAACTTTTTAAGCAGATAATACTGCTTAAATATTTCTCAGCATTTGAATGAAAAATAAATTGGATGAGAATTATTTAAGAAATATTCTAAAAGGAAAATAAAATACAAAGAAAGATGGTTATATCAAAAATTTCTAAAAGTTATTTTATTTTTCATTTAATTAATATTATATAATATTAAATTAATCAAATCATCATAAATTACTTATAAATATCTTAAAGAATTAATTATATTTGAGTATATGGATAACAATATAAAATTATTCATTCATCATAACATAAAATATTGATTAGAATAGTTTTAAAATCAGCATCCCATGTCTTCAAAAATGGAGTACAAAATATTAACATTTTTTAAATCATATTCACACCATCATGTAATCCTTATATTGAATAATAATTATTGAATATTTAATTTTCATTGTTTTGTATTATTGGTAATAAATGATCAACCTTTAGATTATTGTTTTCTTAGTTAAATAGGGATTATGAATTTTTTTGAATGACAACTTCTCCTATTATATTTGATAAGATGACATTTAAATCTTTAAGATTAAAGGTTTTTAGATATTTCTAACTTATCCATTCAGAAATATATTATTGAATTTCAGTATTAGTTTTACCAAGATAGCACTCAATCCCTCTAAAAAATGAAGATATTGGAGAACATAATACTCCTAATTGATGATTAATATCTATTAAATTCTTAATATAACCAATTTGCTTTTAATAATTTAATTTTGTCATATCAGTCACATTTAAATAACCCTACAGGAAACTAGATATTGTATAGAATAAGGCAATATAATATTACTAAGATTAAGGTATTTTAGTAATTATTTCATTATAATTAGAAGTTAATTTTGTTTTTGTTGATTTGTTATTATCTAATTTTTAATACTGATGCAATTTTAGATTGTCTATTTAGAAATATCAAAATTTTTACATAATCTTTATATTGATATTGGATTATCATGTTAGATTTATAGTGCTTGATCATATGATAAAATTGCTAGGTAAATGTTGCTCATTCCTTCAAAAAGTAAACCAATATCAACATGTAATTCTGCAATGTTAGGATTTATCTAAATTGCTTCATTAAGACATTAATGTCCTTCATGCATTTTGCCTAGCATCATAAATGCTTATCCTATTGAATATATAATAATTTCAGAAAACCTTTAGTTCCTAAGGCATAAGCATTATTGGGTCTCAACTTTAAACATATATTCAGACTGTCAATTGATTATTCATATTTACATGTGTTTAAATAATATTTCCCTATTAATTGATTTAAATATACACCTCTCAAACAATAAGAATCAGGATCTTTTGGAAAACGTGCTAATTATTGATTGGCATAAACAAATGCTTTATCATATTCACCATTTTCCATATAACACATGGCTTAATGAAATTAAGTATAAATATACTGATCAATTTAAATATGTCTAATTATTATTAATCTAATTTGTATGCTTTCAAGAAACAATTTACAGCTTTAGTGTATTCTTTTTTCAACATGAATGCTCTTCCCATATCTTTGATGGTTACTGCTTAATTAGGGTTTTTGATTAATGAATTTTCAAAGCATTACAAAGCTTCATTTGGATACTTAAATATTAAATAGATGTCTCCAATATGGTAAAGTACTTCTGAGTCATTTTGATCACATTTAGATAGAATTTAAATAGCTTCATCATACCTTTTTTAGTTTTTTAAGTTAATGGCTGAGTTTATATAATAAATTCATACCTTGAAGAATATTTTCTTAAGTATTCATATATAATATTAAAAATAATTAAGAAAATAGAATTTAGAAATATTTATACAAAAAATCTTTTAAACTCTTTCTTTTGTTTATGATCTATTTTAGTTAAACATAGCAAATAATTTTAGAATTAATATTTCATTTTTCCCCATAGTTATCTCATGTAATCCTAATATCAATTGATAACTAAATTGATATTTAATAATTAAAGAAAACGAATAAAAATGAGAGAATTTATAATTTATTATGATGCTTAATATTTTAAATTTAAATTTATCATATGTAAATTAATAAAACGATTGCTATGATGTTTATTAGGTATGCTTAAAGACATTACTAGCATCTGACACCAAATTTATCTTCTTTAACCCATCTGTATGTATGATCTGATTTGACATAACAAATAGCATCATCAAACTTATAGTAAGTATCAACAAAAGGCACACATTTGTAATTCTACCAAACACATAATTCAATTTAAGGATCTTAAAGATTAACAATTACATTTGTGCATTCTTCTTCGTAACGATAATCTTAACATTAAAAGGGAACACATTTTATGAAATTATAACTCCATTTACATGCAGGATTCAATTTTTCGCAATATTGTAGATTATTTACCGAATCACATGATGAAATGACTTAGCAAGCATTTTTTGCTTCATTAAAATAACAAAAACCTTCAGATCCTAATCTTCCTAATTTGCATTAAGACTATGAGTATTTTTCACATGAATTCAAACTTGATGCTGATTAACATATTCCATTTTAAGTTGTTTAACATTATAATGATTATGCAACACAATCCAAATTAGTTGTTCCATTTAAATCTGTGCATTTTGTAAATGTTACACATTAGTTCTTATTCCACATACATTCATTTTATTAAGAACAATGTACTGAATCAAAAATTTCATTGCATTATGATTTTACACATTGATTGTTCTAGTTTAATTTACATACAGGTTTAGACAATGTACATTCAACTTAGTTCAATAGTGTACATGAACAAGTATTCTTAGGCTTAATCCTATTTAATTGACATGAAACACAAGAACCTTATGTTGTTTAAGTGTTACTCCAATGATAAGTACCACCAGTATTTGAGTAACAACTTTCAAATGTAAATTAAATTAGATATGAAGCTGAGGAGCAGGTTTTTGTATCTATACTCCAAAAGCAAACCTAAATATTGGCTTAGTTAATATTCTAAATTATATAAGTACAACTTTCAATAGTCGTATAGGATGAACAACTTAATTATTCACACTTACCTGAAGTAGTAACAAATTAACAGCTTTTATTGAAAACAGAACATTCACTTTGGGTTTTTAATTAAGAACAACTAGTTAAGATTTAACATTATTAATTTTCATAAGTACAATATCCTTCTTATCCAATGCCATTAGAACATAATTATAAAGTGTTCATACTTTAACATGTTTATAGTAGTGCTCGATTTTGGCAAATTCCATTTAAAGAAACAGGACAAAGTAAACTTTATGATAAACATTCTAAGGAATTATTTCCTCTTAGTCTAGTACATGGGTCTTTTTAATAAATTAATTCTTTATAATCAAGTTATTCACAATAACCTCCTTAGGAAAAATTAGTTGAATACATCCAATAGCATTAATAGCTTTAGATACAATCAATTTAATTTAAACCTCCGCAATATTTATCATTACAAAAACTTCCATACCAATAACATGAAGCTTAATCGCATTCTTAATAAGTTAGTAGTTAAGAACACAGACATTAATTTTTTGGAACAATTACTTATTGAAGTGGAAGATTACAAGGAATACAGAAACCATCTTTAATGTTAGAGCTCCATCTGGCAGTTTGATCTGTATTGGTAAAACAAGTTTATTCTGAAAACAGATTATTGGCAGGTATACAAGATCCGTTTAGCCAAGAACATGATTAGATATTATTCCAATTCTATGGATCAAAAGTAAATGTGCAGGATTCTTTAGTATAAAAGTGTTAGCATTATTTTAGTTTACATCCATTTTAATAATAGCAATAAGGAATACTTTAACACTAGCTTTGACCATAATAATTTTCACATTATGATTAATTAAAAAGATAACATTAGTTTAATGAATAATTCCAACCGCAATAATATGATGGTGGTACAAAAAAATTGCAGTTTTATTAAGTTACTCCCCAGCAATCTTGAATTTCTACTTTGGAAGCTACTTAACACTATTTTTTAATAGGATTGTAATAAGGACAATATAGAGACTAAGCAGCACATTCTTCTGAAGTAGTACCCTTTAAACTACTACATAATGTAAATTATTAACAAGATCCATTCCACATACATTATGAATTTTGAATACATAATTATTATGATAAATTAGTGCATGGTAATTATTAGCAAGAATTGGTTTGAGTATTCCATTAGCATTACAAACTTTGCATACAATTTATTGAAGATACTAATTAAGAACAACTACATTGGTTTGGATTTGGGGGTTTAGGAGCTTGACAACTCAAACAAATATTCAAAGCTTAACTCCATCGAGCACCTTTATTTGTATTAGTTTAACAATTATTGGAATTTAATTGAGTCATGTAATCAGTAGGTTATGTGCAGACTCCTGTTGTTGAGTTCCATTAACATGGAACTGTATTATAAGAATTAATTGAAGTATAATAAAATTAGCAAGTTTCAGCTGTTGAGAATTGTGAGCAACTAGCAGGTTGACAACTAGTACCCCAATAACATTATTTTTTAAAATATTAGCAATCTTATTATGTATTTATTTATGAGCATTTACTCAATACTTGGCAAGAGTTACTTTGCCATAAACAAATTCCATTACTACCTAAGGCATATTAACATAAATTCTATTTTAGATAAGATGAGCAAGCTTATAAATATTATTTGTCTTGGCAATTGGTTCCATCACTTGCTGGACAATTAATGCTTTAAACTATACATTCTGATTAAGATGCTCCTTATAATATATTACATTATTTGAATGTTTCGCATTAATTATTAATCCAATAACAATTAGGATTAGATGCACAAGATGCTTAATTAGAGATATTTGAACATAAATAAGGTTAACAATATACACCTGTCCAATTACAATAGGAAATCTATTAACACTATTAATAAGTAAATAGTTAATAACATTGACATTAATTTGGAAGTTATAAAAAACTTTAAATTTGCTATTAGGATTGGATACATTTTACACATCTTGATCCTGTCCATTTGTAAGTATCAAAGGATATTGATTGACATTATGCAACATCTAAACTATTTACACTATTGAGGTTTTAACATTTTCCATTTTACCAAATACAGGGTTGAACATCATTTGTGTACAATTATGGAATTGTATATATACAATTATTTTAGAATTAAATCTTATTACAAGTTAATTACTAACATCTACCATTTTCCCAAGTACAGGCATATCCAAATCTATAACATAGACGCTATTATGTTATTTGATTACACGATTAAACCTATTTACATAGATTTCCACTCCAATAACAATATCCCAATTAAGATTAGCATTAATATTAGTAATAAATTTTACTACATGAATTTTCAGACAAACTTTAACAAGAAGGATAATTATAAATCAAGCAATTAAATGAGCTTTCAATGCAATACTATTGACTAGATGCTGGAGGGCAGCCTTGAAATGTTTAGCACTAATTATTGTTCCAACTACATTCTAAATTTTAAAGACAGGCTAGTTAATCAAGTATTTGATTGCAAACAACTGGATTACATTCACCATTTGACCATTAGCAATAACTTGATGATTGACATTGTTCACTAAGGAAACTAGAACATGAACATTTATTATTTGGTTGATAATTATTAAGAATATTACATGGTATACATGCTCCAGTATTATTATTTGCTTAAATCCAATAATGTGTTGATAAAGTTATAGATGAACAATCTTAAGCATTTAATGATTATGCACTATATACTTATTGACAAGTTCCATTTAAAAATTAGCATGGCATTATTGTTTATGGATTTAGGCCTAATATTATATTGGTACAAGTTTATTAATTTGTAAAACTATTACATTGTAATTGTACACATTCCATATTTGTAGAATTCCATTAACAAGTATTTTTCCATTATGTACATTAAGATTATGTTTATAATTATGAGCATGATGTTGCTGTTTAGCATTATTAGGCACTATCCAAAAAACATAAAGTTCCTTGATAACCTATTTATTGAGGTGTACATTAATCTTGATTAAAAAATGTACATTAAGGTAATTGATCTAATGGCAAACAGTTTGTAGAGTTACTAACAAATTAGCCACATTGAATATTTTATTAAGTGCAGGACATATTTTGATAGGTTAATTACGAACAAGAAGTAAATTATTAACATTTACTTCCATTCCAATAACACTCAGCGAAATTTTGAAGACAAGTTTCTTATGAATATAATTATTAACATCCCTTTCGTTAACATACTTGAGAAGTACTATTCCAAAAACAAGATTAATCACTATATTAAGTTCCACATGAGTTTTGACTAAATTATGAGCATTCACATTAATGAGTAATTTAGATTGTTAATTAGGCCACGCATATTGCTCCGAAAGCAATGATGATCAATGAAATGATATTTTGTTTCATAAATATTAATTAGATTTTTTGATCAAGTTATCCTTATTTAGTAAATCTTATGACTTGTATATTCTATAATTTTTAGAATCATAAGGACAAAATTCATATTAATTTTTATTGTTGTGTAAATTGAATTTGATAGATCTATTTAGACATATTCCCAACGCAAATTCAATGTGATAATGGCTTTCTGGTATAAATGATTTATTATTCTACAAGATTAAAATACTCTGCAAAATGTATTAATTATAATAATTAAGTTGTAGTATATATATATTTCTAATTTTATCATTTTTTATAATTTTAATTTCAACCTATAAGAAAATATCTAATAAGAAAGTTATAAACAAGATTAAAGAGCATTTAGAATCTTATTAACGCCTTTAATGCATAATATTTATAATGGTATTTATTTCTTTAGGCCTTTATAAAATTATCTCAAAATTTTCCATGATTTAATTAGTTATATATTTTATTAAACAATATTAATTTTTAGAATAATTATTATCAATTTTTCCATAATAAAATCAAGCTTTAAGCAATTCTTGCTAAAATTATAATAAACATTAATAAATACAAATCCTTAGTATGTATAATTAATTCCTAATTCTTTTAGTTTTTATTTCTTCTCTTCTTCATTTGCTAATAATCTTTAAACTTCTTTAACAATTTATTCATTTGATTTATCCTAACTATGATTTATCTTAATACTTTATTTGATTCATCAACTGCTTTCTCAGACCAATTGATAAAATACAATTTTTAATTTCCATGTTTATATTTAAAAGGATCAGGATGTTATTCACTTAATACATTAACTACTAATTTCTTTCCATTCATTAAATAACCATTCATAGCTTATGCAGCAATAGGTGCTACTTCCTTATCAGCAAATTTAACAAATCCATAACCTTAGACTCTATTAGTCTAAACAATATATAAATTTTATAAATTACTTTTTTGCTTCTAAATAATTTGACCCCAATCACATCACCAAATTAAGTAAAGTATTCTTTTAATCCATCTTCAACAAACCCATATGGTAAATGTCCAACATAAATTATTCCATTTTGTCTTTCTTATGTTTATTATTCTAATCTATTGACTTTAGTTTTTATTTTTTAATCTTTATTTGAAGTTTCTTGACTTTATTTCTCAACAATCTTTTATTTTTTACCAATAACCTTCTAGGTTTTTTTTGTGCTCATAATTAAATTATATTAAATTATATGTTAATTATTTTAATTAGAATCAAATTTAATAAAATTCTAAATCAAACACAACTATATTTATTACAATTTTTATAATCTTAATTAATAACTTTTTTACATAAAGTATTTAGTTATTCCTCATTTATATTATAAAAAAGAAATATAAAATATTATGCAAATTAACAATTTTTATTCTATTTTTATATACTTTCTATCACTCCATTATTGTTTTTTTGTTCTTCACAATTAAAAAATAAGTAAAATATATTTATTAATATTAATTAATGTGTATAATATTATTAGAGTATCTATTAATCATTAGAAAATTAATCTATTTTAATATATATTACAATAAATTATCATTTGCAATTGTGTATTCTATTATATTAATTATTGAATCTACAATATCTACTTTATTCTGTTTATCCCTTAAATATATGAATATAATTAATAATGATTTAAAATCATCCTCTTTGTCCTAAATCAGCAATGGAAAAGTATTATATGGAGCAACAACTCCCTAAATATCAAACATTACCTCCATAATAGACCCAGAAAAAGAATCACTCTTATTATCATGATAATTCAAATATTTGGAACAATCAACATCAATCCAGTTCAAATATGAAGGTGTTTGCCAAGATCTAAGAATAGAAACTAAGAGGTGAGAAACGTATTTAGCAATTACAAATGCAAGAACAAAAAGACTAATAATTATATTAAATGAGCAAGCACATCTATTTCAATTAATTAAAGAATGAAGATCATTTGAGAATGTAAACTCGTAAATTAGAACGTGCTGGTCTATAAAATCTTAGTCAATAATAATCAGATATTGAAGCAGACTAATTACTTATTAAACCAATATAATACAATACTACTTTATAAGGAAGACCTGAATTGTTTTGGAACAAAGTTGGTTAGCATTCATAAAAACATATTAGAATGTTAGTAAATCCAAAAATATTAGCTATGGAAGAGGAGGCAGTTAAATTAATTGAAAAACGTATTGAAAAAGAACATATAGTTGAATAAATAAGATGGGATTTAAAACAAGAAAATATGAAACTTATTCGTAAACTCAATGCAAAAAGGTAAGAAGAGAACAATGAAATTCATTATAAGGCAGGATTATCTCCAAATCATAAGATAGGAATCTCTAAAACCACTCACCTCAAAAGACCATCTCATGTATCTCGACCTTCATTAGATATTATTGAATAAACCCTATAACAAATTGAGGAGAAACAAGAAAGAACAAGTCGTCCATTCACAGTAGATAGTGATAAACCATCATTTTCATTTCATGTAAAACCTCAAACTAGTAATTAGAATAGTTAGTCAACAAAAAATGTGCATTGTCTAGCCAAGTAAATCTTATAAGCATAACAAGATAGTAATCACTTAGTGTCCATAAGAAACGTAATCTTAGAATGGATAGATCTGAATTTAAGGGATTGTATTTAGCATAGGCTTGCGATGTTAGTGACAACAATTTCAGTAAAACTATCCGTTCTAATTGTACCATTCTAAAGGGAATCTCGAATTAAAAGATTAAAGCACAATAAATACCTCATAATAATAGATCAATTAATAAACCTGAGGAGGATGTAAACAAAATATTAGATTCATTTGAAGGTAAATTGTAAAGTAAAAAACTTCAATATTGAAATAAATATATATATATTTTATATCATTTGTTATCTTCTTCTTTTTTCAACAATTTATTAAGGAGAAGAAACAAAATTAGATGGGATTGTCTTTAATTTTCCATCACTTAAATTATTTGTTTCCAACATTTTCTGATTACCAATATCTGTATGTTAAGTCTATCTATCTATTTTTATATTTATAATATTGAATTACTTGTAAATAAGATAGTAGTATAGATCTTTAATCATGTTTACTACCAATCAATTATTTTTCCAAATTTAGGAAGAGTGAGTTATATTTTAATATTTAACTTTCTTAATATCTTGAATAAATATTAAGTTCATAGTATTCTTCAAAATCATAATCTAATTTCTATATCAAGATATCAACTCTTGCTAATTTTGAATAATAATTTTTGTCTATCTTATTCTAATTGTAAATTAAATTCTTATAAGTTGGGTGCCTACTTCTAAATTATTTTCATAATCAAGAGCATTATGCTGTTCTTTTATAGACTGCCATTTATTCTCTCTACAATAATATATTCATTGAATATTAAGGAATTCATAGAACTTTACTAAAATCTTTTGGTTAAATGAAAAAAATTGAATATCACCTCATTTGATATTGGTTAATTGAAAAATACTTCATTCTTAAACCTATTAATCTTCTAGCCTTCCATTTCATCTTCAAATATCAACAAAACAATCTCAATTCCATACTTGCTTTACAGGTATAAATTCTTTATTTTCAAAATTAATAGCTCTTATCTGAATTTGTTGTAATTACCACATGTTCTCTATAATTGTTTTGTAAATGATTATTATGTTTTTAATGCTTATTGTAACTAATTATTTATCTAGTCCTTCAGGTATTGGGATTACTTAGAGTTGGCTTTTCACTTATTTACCCATTTTGCAATTGAGTATTTCCTCATTATGAACAAAGATTAAGTATATCTCACTAGTGATTTTATCAGCTTTGTAGAAAATATTTTAAGGGTCTTTGGGATTTATAATTAAGGCCATAAGGATATTAATTAAAATATGTAGTAAATAGAGGATCAATACGTGCCAAACGATGAAGAATATGAGCAAAAGGATTAAACAACCAATACTCGTTTTGGTAAGTTTGTGAAAGAGCAATGGGAGAAAATAGAAAAGAAGAATTTTAGCTAATTTGAGACAAGAGTATTGTCAACTCTTCAAATATTGGGTAATAAAAGTGCAGAGGATTTGATTGAAAAATAAGTGGTTGCAGAAGTTGTATAGAAAGATAATAGCAAGTAAAAGGGTGGTAAGCAAAAGAAACCAGAATAAACACAACCATAATAAGAAGTTTAGAAATCTAATGTCATATATGAAATATGTGTGGGTTAAGAACTTTATTTAAAGTATTTGAGACCTAAATTGGTGGAGTATGGTATATTGAGTAAGATTGATGATGGCAATCCTAAATAGGAAGATAAGAAGTAAGCATAAGGTAAAAAGGGTGGTAAGAATACAGTAAAGAAAGAAGATTTAATGCGTATTGAATTATCAAAAGATAAAGTTAATGATTAAACCATGAAAATGTTGTAATAGATGGGATTGATCATTTTAAATTAGGAATTAAAACCTAAAGAAAATGAATTTCTTAAAACTGAATAAGCAAGTAAACGTATCAAATCCTTGAAATGGATGGAACTCAAATTCTCAGCTTTGATGATATATGCAACTTAATTAATTAAATGTCATATCCATTCCAAATTTAGAGATGAGTATGCATTTGAATTGATCTATTTTCTAAAGAATGTCTATTTAAATTATAAAGAATATGAAGGTTAATCTTATTTGGATGAAACAAAAAAAGAAAGATTAGCACCTTAAGCTATTGAAGATCTCAGATATAAACTTAAAGAACTATATAAAAACTTTGGTTTTTCAAATAGAGTCTTATTTAATAAATATCCAAAATTGGTTATTGATACAGATTTAAATCAAGCATTCATTAGAACAGATGTTCGTCCATATAAATCATAGGAAAACCTCTTAGAAATTTTGAAGAAAATAGAATAGCCTTCATTAATCTTCTTTAGCACTATGGTTGGTACAGGTAAGACTGTTTTGAGTGTTGCAATTGCTTAATACTTGGCACGTTTGAGAGAAAGTTACGCAACCTAAGAAAACAATGCCTATAATTAATTAAAGAATATTGGTTATAGGAATCCTAGAGAAGTCTAGTTTTTGTATTGTTGTCCTTTGGATACAGTAAGAACTTAAGTTGGTGCTGCTGCATATGAGAGGAAATTGAAATTTGCTATTGCATCAATGTGGAAGGATTCTTAGAGTTCTAAATTGGATTCTGATTTGGGATATGCAGAATGTCCAAGATTAGTCAATTCTTGGTAAAATAGATAGGAAGAATTTCCAACTTTGGTAGTGGCTGACTTCAAAACTACTTTAGAATTATTGAAAGAAAGACACACATTATCAGAAAAGGAAAAATAAGTAGTTAGATGGTAAGGTAAGGATCGTAAATTGGTTTCAAATAATCCAGCTAAACATGGAAAAGATTATATACTATTTATTGATGAACCTACAGTTGATGCAGATTTTGCAGATGCAGAAGTGACTAAAATATTGATAGACATTATACGTAGAGCTCCACCTATTACAATATTATCTAGTGCTACTTTACCACCACCTGAGAAAATACCAAATTTCATCAAATTATACAGAAAGGCTTAAGTTGCTGATATTGATATTCCAGTAGTTCATGATTCTCAATTCCATATTGGTTGTTAGGTCTTTTCTCATAGTGGTCATAAATTCTTACCACATTATTAGGCATAGAATAAACAATAATTAGCTGAAATTTTGGATAGATTGGAAAAGAATCCATTTATGAAGAGATGTTATAATGCAAATGCTTATTGTGAATTGTATGATAGAATGAAATCATGTGGAATTGTTAATATTGAAGACTTTGAAACATTTGATATTATTACACAAGAATTTGTATAAAGAAAAAGCATTGAATTATTAAAGATATTATTAACAGTTGATGATGAGATATTTAAAAAGGTTTGTTCAGAAAAATAGGATGTTGTATAATAATAATAATAATAAGATATTGATGAATAATAATAAGGTGAAGGAGAAGAATAATAATAAGAAGGGGAGGAAGGAGAATATGAGTATGAATATGAATATGTATATGAGGAAGTTGAAGATACAGGTGCAAATAATTAGACAGAAGACAATACATAATTATAATAATAATAGTAATAAAAACCAAAATCTAAATATATTTATACAATTGAAATTGATGATGAAGATAAAATGAAATTTACTGCACCATATCATAAATTAGATATTAGATAATTAGGTGGAAATATGGCTCATAAATTCTTAGGGGGTTGTTTAATTGCTGTAAATAAACCAGTAGAATTTATTAGAGCTAAATTCCATAAATTACTAAAGAAATGTGCTCCTGCTTCAGAATATGTGAAATAATATTTAAAATAACATGAATATTTAGAGAAAGAAATATAAAAGAAGGAAAGGGAAATAGATAATGAAGATGAGAGATCCAAATAAATTCAAGCATTATAAGAAAGCATGAAATTGACTATTGCATTTCCTGATTTCTTAAAAATAAATACATTGGAACATTACAAAGTAAATAGTTAAAATTTATATTTAGAAATTTGTTACTAATGACCCTCTGTATCTAGAATAATATAGAGCCAGAAAAGCATTCTCATTAGAAGGAATTAATTATTAACTTAATATTCCTGATGACATTATGTTGTATCTCTTCTCTGGTATTGCAGCCTATACAGAAAAGGTATATATTAATTTTTATTTAGTAATCTGAATTGGATATTGATTATTATGAAGAAGTCTAAAAGTTGGCATCAAATGGTTAATTAGCTTTAATTATTTCTGATGATTCTATGTGTTATGGTGTCAATTATCCATTGAATCATGTTATTGTCTTTGATGAAATGGCTGAAAAGCGATCTATTGGAGCATTATTTTAATTAATAGGAAGAGCTGGTATTTATAGTGAATTTATACTTAAATAGGTCGTGTTGGTGTTTCATGGACAGCTAATGCATATTTGGGTGATAAGACATTTGACAGATTGATTAAATATTTAAATGGTTAGAATGAAGAGACTGAAAAGGATGAAGCTTATAATATTGAATAGTAAAGTAAGAGAATGATTTAACATTTGATTGAATTGGCAAAAAAGAAAAAGGAATAGTAATCGTAATGAACATATATATATTAATACAATTAAAAAATGATTTCCAAAAATCAAATCGACCAAGTGTATGACTTTCTTAAGAGTATCAATGATGGCACTTTAGAGAGTTATAGAAAGTCACTTCCAGAGTAATGGATTCTAAACTAAGTCATTGATGTAGCATGTTTGACTCCATCACAAAGAATAGTGTGTCTATACTTTGCAGGGGATGAAACTCAATGTGGGAATGCTTTAGAAAAGAGACTAGTATTGAATAAGGAATAGGTTTCGCTATATAACTTAATTTAGAGTGCGGGTAATGTAATTTGAGATAACTTGTTGATGAATGGAGTACTTCAACCTAATTAATTAATAATCAACCCTAAAGCATGAGAGCCATTATTTAATGTTCTTCATTAAGAAATGCTCTTGAACATATCCTCACCACTTTTTCAATAGATTATCTACGACCTGTACCCACAATAATACAATCATCATTTAATTGGATCAGTCTTCATGTAGCTGATCCTTTTTGGGATTATACTATTGAAGTAAGCCAAGAGCCACTAGTAAGAATCAAGGAGAATCTCCTTAAAGCTCAATAATGCAAATTGTCTCAGAAAGAAGCATAAGAAACTATTGATCTTCTTAATCAAGATTAGAGACATGTATTAGATAGTGGAATTACACCTAATTAACTGCCAAATCTTATTGAATATAATCCTGATCTATCAAGTTTTCTATTGGCTCGCATCAATCAATGTGGAATCAGTATTCATGAATATTTTGAATGCTTGATTTAAATGAAGATTTCACTTCAGAGTTTAGAAGTTGTCAACAAACTTTCCAATTCCATCAAATTACCTGAAGCATTCCTCCATATGTATTTGACCAAATGTATTCAATATTGTGAAGAATTATAAGTATATATAATTATAAAACAGCAGCCTAAGTAACAGTTGGTATCCAGATATGTGAGATTAGTGGCTGTATTCATAAAAACCCTCATCAAATCAAAAACCTTAGATCCAAAAAGAATGTTCACTGAAATACAAGGATTCTGCATCGAGTTCTCAAAGATACCTGAAGCTTCACTGCTATTCAAACAACTCAAAGAGACTGGAGTAGAAGAAAAATAACATCAGTGATATTGATTGAATTATGAGATATTGTGAATTATCTCATTCTAATCCTTTTTTTTTTCTTTTATTTCTCTAATGTTTCTCTATAATCCATACTTGAATCATATTATATAAATAGATCATAGTGTGTAATGAATAAATATATCAAAATTGTTTTTCATTTATGTCTATCATCTTATGATTTAATCCTTACTCTAATTTCCTATTGATAACTTCTAATTCTTTCCAGTTTCTACTCCTATCTAAATTCCTTTAATTTCTTATCTTCCTTCTAAAATTCTTCCCTATTTTTATTGAATCTTTATTCAGCCGATGCCCATAGACCACTTTTTTCTAATGGTACTATATTTGCAAAAGTATCCTTTAAACAGGGTGTAGCTCCATATCTTGTAGATGGTTTATAATCAGATCTGTTCTTTGAGGCAATAAATGGTTTCTTAAATTCATCAATAGATCTCTATAATTCAGGTAGAAATGATGAAGCTGCTATTATGGTAGTTTTACTTGGTTAGGTGTTTACATTAATTAATTGAGTACCATTCTCATCCAAAATAGTCATTCCATTTCTAATTTTTTATGAAAATTCTGTAAAATTAGAAAATCCCTTATTTTCAGGATCAAGATATTAAATAAGTAATAGTATTTCATCCTAAGACAAAATATGTTTCATTCTTTATTACAAATCTACTTATGAAACATAACCATCTTAATCAACATCAAATTCTTTAAATATCTTTAATTATTTTTCTCTTTTATTAAATATTTTATCATCCACTTTCTTGAGAACACTTTGAACTTATTTCTTAATATTTGGCATATTCATTGATAATCCAAGATCTTTACTGTAATAATTTTTATTATTATCTGATTATGTATCTTATATTTCTTCTGGTAATTATCCTTATAAGATTGCCTTATCTTATGGAGGTGGAGGCTATTTGATCTATTATTATGCTCTTTCAAAGAAGTCATCATCATTTTCGCTATGATTATAATTATATATATATACTCATAGAGAATTCTCAATACTTCAGATTTAGATTATGTATTATATTGATTGAATTAAATGACACTCATCAATGATTCAATATCAAATTTATGATGTGTTTCGTTAACACTATTTAGAAATTGAACAACAAATTTATTAAATTCTTTTTAATTAATTGTATCTCCATTAATCTTTTCTTATAAGTATTCTTGGAAATTCTCTTTATCAGGCAAATACTTCTTTAATTTATTTATCATATTATTAGCTCTATATCTCATTCTTTCCAAATGCCATCCATTAACTTTGGTTAGATCAAAAACATTAATTCTACTTTTTATATAATTATATTAATACTTCTATTTATCTTATTTATTCTTAATTAATTCAACCTTTTCCTTAAGAGCATATGGATCATCCTGATCAATAGCTATAATATATTTACATAAACTTCCTCTTTTAATTAAAACTATTTTAAATGTGTAATAAATTATTTGTAATCAATAAATTGATTATCTCTTTTAAAATTGCTAGCCAATTCTTTAATATCATCATTGCTTAATATCTTTTCATCTATTCTCAATTTCTTGACAACTTCCTCAAATTTCTTCTAACTTATATATCCTTCTTGTTTTTCATCAGCTTCCAATAACCATTAACCTAATTTCAATTACTAAACATAAATTTCAACATAAATACCCTATTCTTAAGCATAATATTAATTTAATTATGATGTTTTCTTTAATGAGCTTATTAAGCATCTTAGATCAATATATTAATAGCAGTATTCTTATCAGTATCTAATTATTTTAAATCCATATTCAAGATATCTTTATCATTAAATATTAAATCCATAAATTCATCCATACCTAAATCATTTGAACCATCTTTATCTGCACTAGCCAATAATACTTTTGCTTCATCTTAATTAATATTAATTCCCATCTTATTTACCATATTGTATAAATTCTTAACACTAATTGCACCATTAGCATCTTCATCCCATGAATTGAATATTTTTTAGAAGTTTTTCCTATTAGCATATCTTCTTCTAATTGATCTTTTGATATCTCTCACTTTCTCTAAATCCACCTTGCCTTCCAATGTTACTTTGTTTTCTAATCCAACCAATTATGTTTCTTGAATTCCTTTTGCATTCTCTTCCATCTTTTAATTTGCCAATTTAGCTTTATCTCCTAAATTCTAATCTGCTTCTTTATCAACAATCTTTTATATTTCCTTTCTATTATAGAGCATATTAGAATCTCCACAAAATGGTCTTTTTGATTACTCTTCTAATTAAGTTTACCTAGGATAACCAATCTAATGATGTTCATATTTCTTTTTTGTTAAACTCATGGTTTCAGCAATTGGATCTACAAAACTAGATATCATTTTTCTTCGACTTTCTAATAATTAAGGGAAGTTCTTCTTATTTGAGGTATTTAATGATTGAATTCTTGGTCTTTCATATTCATTTTAATCTCCACTCTCACTCATCTTGGATATATATCTAATGTATATAAATTATGGTTTTACTTTAGATCTTTATTGGTTTTACCATGATAATGGATTCTTTCTTTTCTAAGTTACATGATTATAAATTTTATTTATTCTTAATTATAAGTTATATATATATATATATCAAAATTAAGGAATATTTATTTCAGAATCACTTTACTCCCATAATTATATTAAATTCAATATTAAATTTATACATCCATCATCCTTACTTATTGATGTTTGATTATTTAGAATTTCCACAAAATCATAATTATCCACTTTCTATAATATAATTAATTTAAATTATTCTGGCAATCTTTGAAAATTAATAAATAATTCAGCTATTTATTTAGTTAAGTATGTACACATGAGTAACCTATATTAAAATATGATAACAAATTACATCTCACTAATATATTTTAAACAATCAAGATTGATGAATATCTCATTCAAATAATAATCTGATAATTGTTGATGAATTATTAGATTTTATAATAGATATAAGTATTCTATACAAATTTCTTATTTAAGAAGTTAAGATTGATTAAAGTAATTATGTAGGAATGGCACGAAAATTAAGATTGCTTTTTCAACAATATAAGCATGAGGATAGTAAATAATGTTATTAAAACATTTATAGATTATTTCAATTAGTGATACATCTCCAAGATTTGATAATCTATTGATCATAGATTCAATTAAACCAATGTCAATCAAATATTGAAGAATGTAATGATCATCATCTTTTTCATTAAGGAAATTGGTGAAAATTGAATAGATTTTATTTGGAAATAAATTCAATTTAAGAATCTTCTCCCAAACAAATTTACTTAAAGTCAAGGTTAAAGCAGAAGTGACTTTAAATCCAGATAATTTTTACAATATCTCTAAAACTCTTTTATAAATATTATCATCATCCATTTAAACTTTATCTATTAGATATGTGCATTATGAGATTATGCAATTAAACTTAATATGAATTAAATTATATACATTATAATGAGGAATGTTTGTTAAATCAATTTCATTAGATTCAAATAATTTACATTCCAATAATAGAATGGCTTTCCATTATTTTGCTATTGGATTTTTTGGATATATTTTTGACCAAATTCTAAATAATTGTGATCTAAGTATTTCTTCTCTAAATAACAAAACATTTCGATTATCCAATTCAAATTAGATGTTTATCAAAATAAGACAAATCTGAAAAATTCATAGTATAGATTGATTACGCTTTCAAGAATCTCACACCATCTATCAAAATTAATCTGAATCTTGTCAGTTTATATCATTCTACTCAATAAATTCTTCAATAGGATATTGATCAAATCATTTTACAATAAATTCTCAATTATATCCTTTCTATCCAAATATGTAAAATTAATCAATATTACCAATACTTAATTTATACACATCAACCTATCTGATGTTAAATTGAATTCTAATGGAATATCATTCATTTGAATTATATCAAAGAATAATTTTAATCCATTCATATTAGTACTAAAATGAGTAATAAATTAATTCAAAATAAACAAATCATTTAAATCTTATTCTTCCAACAATTTTAAATAATTCATATTGTATTATTTTAACAATTTAGCCAAATTTTTAAAATCTTACTCTAAATTAGTCTGATATATAAAATTAATTATCTCATCAGGATTGCATTTTTACAACAATTCTTCATTTTGAATAATGTTTGATTGTCTTTTCTTAGAAAATATCTCTTCTCTAGCCTACTTTCTAATCTGAACCATAAATTATTCTCTCTTTATTTACAAATGTGAATTCATTTTTTATTAATATTAAAATTTTTTATATTCTTTCATCAAAGATGTACATTAAATTACATGATATGAAGAGAAAGATGTAAAATTTATCATTTATAATATATATAGAGGAGGATTGCAATATTCAATATTATCTCCACAAGATGCTATCAATTTAGCAGAAGTCAAAATCTTTAGAGATAAGAATTATGATAAAATGACAGGGAAGAATATTGAACATGGACCACTTGATTTACGTATGGGTTAAAGTTTGCGTGATACTTAATGCAATAGTTGTACTTTATTGAATGAATGTCCTGGACATTTTGGGTATATACCATTATAATTGCCAATCTATCATTTGGGTTTTTTTACTCATGTTGTAAAGTGTTTGAAATGTTTATGTTATGTATAAAATTATTTAGAATTCTCTAGAAATGTGGTCAAATAAGATTAACATCCGATGAAATAAATCAATTAACCTAAAAAATGATTCATTGTATATAAACACGATCATATAATGCATAATTAAAAGTATTCAAGAAGGTTTTAAAAAAATGTCGATCTAATAAATAATGTCCTCATTGCTTTTGTGAATAGATTGGGGAAGCTAAGAAATTAGCTAAAGGTGATGCAGGTAAGATTATATTAGATACTATGGATATTAATGCATTATATGCATGGAATCAATTTATAAACATTCCAAAATAACATTAATTCTTGTTTTGTATTAATCCTTTCTTAAATGATTTATCTGATCTACTCACTTCCATAATACCTGCTCCTCCAAATAATATAAGACCTAGTAAAATGTTAAGTAATACTACAAAAGCAGATGAGGATGATTTGACTATGAAATTGAAAACTATACTCTATCATAATGATTTATTACAGAAATAAATTAAAGAAGGAAAAGATGGAATGTCTATTCTTAAGACATAATTTCTAACACAAGCACATTATTTTCATTATTTCAATAGTGAAACACCTCGTTTACCACAATTCTCAAGTAAAGATGGAAAAGTAGATATACGTGGAATTTATCAAAGACTTAAAGGTAAAAGAGGAAGATTGAGAGGTAATCTATCAGGTAAAAGAGCAGAATTTACTGCACGTTCAGTCATCTCTCCAGATCCTAATTTAGCTATTGATTAAGTTACTATTCCATAACATATTGCATGTATTTTGACTGTACCTGAAACTGTTACTGCTTTGAATATTCAAAAGATGAGATAATATGTATTAAATGGACCATCTATATATCCAGGAGCTAAATTTGTTAAATTAGGAGGAGTCAATTATAATTTATTATTTGCAAGAAGAGCACATTTAGCATATAAATTATAGATTGGAGATGTTGTTGATAGACATTTATTATCAGAAGATATTGTTATTTTTAATCGTTAACCATCATTGCATAGAATATCTATGATGGCATTCAGAGCTAGAGTTGATAAATGGCATACTCTTAGATTTAATGAATGTGTATGTACTCCATTTAATGCTGATTTTGATGGAGATGAAATGAATATACATTTACCATAAACATATGAAGCAAGATCAGAAGCATTAATTTTAATGGATGTTAAAAAGAATCTCAAAACTATTAAGAGTGGTGAATCTCTTGTTTGTTTACTTTAAGATTTTCTTACTACAGCTTGGTTGATAACAAATAAAGATGTCTTTTATTCAAGAGAATAATTTATGTAATTTTGTGCAGCCTTTTCTGATTCAAATGAATAAATAGATTTACCAGCTCCAACTATATTAAAACCAAAATAATTATGGACAGGTAAATAAGTAATTAATTCATTACTTGTACCTAATAGAAAAACTAGATTAGTATTAAATTTAGAAGTCAAAGAAAGTAATGCATTTAAAGGAAAATTGGATTATTTATGGATGGATCCTGGTGATGGATATGTAATATTTGATAAATGTGAATTGGTTTGTGGAAATATTGGTAAAAAAGTATTAGGAGCTTCAAAATTAGGATTATTCTATGCACTTATTAGAGATAATTCTACTTAAATAGCAGCATCAGTTATGTAAAGATTTGCTAAATTGTCTTCCAGATGGATATCACATTATGGAATGACTATAGGTATTGGAGATGTGATGGCACCTAAATCATTAATAGAATAGATAACTTAAAATACTGAATAGAGTTACTTACAATGTAAACATTATTAAAGAAGTGCTATTGATGCTGATCCTGGATTGACAGTTGAATAAACATTAGAAGCTAAAGTAAATAAGACACTATCAGATGTAAGAGAGTAAGTGGGTTCAAAATGTTAAGAATAATTGAAGAGTGATAATAAAGTATTGATTATGTATTTGTGTGGTGCAAAGGGTAGTAATGTGAATGTAGCTTAAATGATTGGTTGTGTTGGATAATAAGTTATATCAGGAAAGAGAGTTCCAGAAGGATTTACAGGGCGTACACTACCACATTTCAAAGATTGTGGAGATCGCTATCCTAATTTAGATATCTTACATCCAAAAGCCAAAGGATTTGTTAAGAATAGTTTTTATACAGGAATGGATGCAATTGAATTTTATTTTCATAATATGGCTGGTAGAGAAGGATTGACAGATACAGCAGTTAAAACAGCTACTACTGGATATATGTAACGTAGATTAGTAAAAATGCTTGAAGATTTACATATTGCTTATGATTTAACAGTACGTTCATGTGATACTAAAGAGATTGTTTAATTTAGATATGGAGAAGATGGATTAGATCCTCTAGCTGTGGAAGATGCAAAAGAAGTTATTAAACTATAAAATATTTTCACTAATTCATTTACAGTACTTAGAAAGAATCAAATATTATTGTGTAAAGGTGATATGTTGATGAAATTAAATGAATTATTTATGATAATTGAAGAGAGACATAAGAAATTCTTAGAAAATTATGAAGCTACTTATGAAAAAGAGAAAAAGAGAGTATTAGCATTATTTTAGAATACAAATTAATTAGTTTCTGAAAAATAATTGTAATGGTTTATTAGAAGTTGGATGGAAAGATTCTTAAGTATGGTTATGGCACCTGGTACTAGTGTAGGACCAATAACGTCTCAATCAATTGGTGAACCAGCTACTCAAATGACTTTAAAAACCTTTCACTCTGCTGGTGTTGCAGGAATGTCAATTACATAGGGTGTTCCTCGTTTAAATGAAATTATTAATGCTAGTAAAGACATCAAAACACCTTAAATCAATGTTAAATTAATAAGTCGCTAGATTATGGAACATGCTAAATTATTTGCTAAGTCACGAGATCCTCAATATTAATATGCACATCATGCAGTTCTATAATCTGCTTAATAAGCTTAAAATGTAAATATACAAATAGAGTAAACTAAATTGATGTAAATATTAAAAAGAATGGATGAAATTTATACAGCAGATAAATGCTATATTGAATTAGAATTAGATTTACATTGTTTAACACAATTAAAATTAGAATTTGTTACTACTAAATATGTGTGTGATTTGATTTTAAAAGAATTAAAGTTACCACTTGATGATGTTAAATATGATAAGAAAATTATTAGAATTGCAGTCAGAAAAAATCCTAAGAAAAAATAATCAGATAATTTACTATTTTTGATCAAAGAATTATAACGTAAACTTTTGAAATTGCATATATATGGTTGTTCAAACATTCAATAAACTGTCATCTAAGTTACAGATAAGGATGATAACGAAAATGTTAAGGGAGAAGCTAGATTATTTGCATCGGGTATTGGATTCAAAGAGATTCTACGATTAGATAATATTGATTGGAAAAGAACTGTCAGTAATCATATAATGGAGATTCAAAGTGCTCTTGGAATTGAAGCTGCTAGATAGAGTATTGTCAATGAAGTGTACACAACCATGTAAAGTCATAGTATTTCTATTGATATAAGACACATTCTGTTGTTGGCTGAATTGATGACATTCAAAGGTATTTATGTAATTTTGATCAAATTTAGGAAGAATCCTTGGATTCACAAGATAAGGAATAGATTAATTAAAGAATTCTACCCTAATGCTTGCTTCCTTTGAAAAAACTATGGATGTCTTTTTTAATGCAGCTATCTAAGGCAAATAGGATTCAATGAATGGTGCATCTCAAAGGGTAATTATTGGATAGAATGTGCCTCAAGGAACTGGAATGTTTGATTTGATGTTCCCTGTTAAAGAAAATATAATCATGGAGAGTTCACTCAATCAATAGAAGTTTTTGTTTGCTTCCAAATGATGAATAATGACATCATATTTATAAATATCATATTATTTGCAGTGTTGTTTTTTGGTGAGAGCAAATCACAAACCCGAATGCAAAGCTGCTCTAGATTTCAACCTAATTAATAGTTTCAAACAGCCCTTCCTTAAACCAAAATATATCTCTTATCTAGAGGGCTCATTTTCCACTTGATAAACAGTTGAATCAATCATTTCCCCTTATTGGTAAAAAGGAACTAGAAATCAATGAAGTCTATTTATAAGAACGGAATCTAAAATGGGATGATGCTTTTACACTTTATTGTATATTTATAATAATTTAAAACCATTAGATTATATAAAATAAATTTTAGCTTAGTCATTTAATTTGATCCTTCTGCTTCCAAAAGATTATGGTAATATCAACTTTAATATTTTAAGGGTATCAAATCAATTATTAAATATGTTTCTATTACCTTAACAAATATGTAATTCATCTTGGATAATGTCAATATTCCTTTGTTGATCTTCTAAATCTCATGATTATAAAGAGAACCAAAAAGATTATTGTCTAAGTTGCTTCACCAGCTTTAGGAGTTTTTTTATAAATCAAAATTACAAATGACCTAATAATTTGATGATTACACATATTACTCAACAACCTTCTGTTATCTATGGATAAACTCCTTTTATGAGCCTTCAATTAGATATTCAAATAGAAAATGTAGAAACTAGTAATTACGGTCCCATTTTTGATACTGGTAGCTTACCAAATAGAGTAAACTTCAAACAAGCATTAGAACTAATTATTGGTATTAACATTATTGATCAATTACTTTGGCTATTAATAGACAGCAAAAATTAGATCTAACACTAGATAATTCCAAGTTGGACAATTTTGATCTGCTAATATAATTAACTACTTTTGGAATTAAGCTTATCATACCTGACTTTTATGATGCTTATGGACTAGATAAATGAATCTATATACTTATTTATAGATAAACAGCAGAATAATAAATGTATATTATACTCTAATTGAAATAACATTTTTGAATTCCAAATGAATTACCATCCATTTATACTTGGAGAAATGATGTTATGATGGACTTCATTGTAGATAATGATTCCAATAATTACCTTAGTAATAAGGCTGATTGTAAATCTTGTGTAATTGCTCAAACAGCTGAAGTTTCATTAAGTATAATTGTTAAAATCTATAATAAATCACCAGAACTCTTTGCAGCTTCAGTCATGCTTGTTAAAATTATAGATATCGATGAATCTTCAGGTGAACTCTTATCTGTTCAATAATTAAGAATTATGCAAACTCAAACCTCTCTAGTTGGTACACTTCTGCCTTCATTCAATCAGAATCTTAAAAAAGACATTTCAAATTCCTTTATAGAATTCTTTAGACTTAATGAGATCACTATTGGTGATAGTTACATATTTTTAGGAGTAGTACTTAATGAATGATGATGATTGTTAAATTTAGTTTTGATTTCTCTAATATTTAATAGATTTATTAAGATATCTTATTTATTTATGTTGTTTTAATGTCTATTTTTTTATCTTGAATATAGTGTAGGTTCGTTATTCGTATTTGGAATAATCTACTGCCTTATTCTTACTGATTGTGTATCTAAAGATTTTAATACTTAATTTTTCTTGAAAACTATCATTAATCCGTTAAATCTAGAAAAATAATGATGATAAAAGAATCTACTTCAGTGTTCATCTGTGATGTATCTATTATATTTATATTATTTAATAATAATAATTAACAATGGAACTAAATTTTCTATTAGATATTAATTATGATTGTGTTAATAAAACTAAAAAATGACTCAATTTGTATTTTTAAGAACTTTAAAACAAATAAACTGCTAAATATTAATGATATTTATAATAGAGATCAATTAAATTTCTTTAGTAAGTCATTCTATAATTTTTTTAATTCTTCTTCATCTTCCTCTTCAAATAACGTGTCAACTGAATTAAATTCGTAACCATCCTCTAAACGCGGTAAACTCTTTGCTCTTAAATCTTTCAATAATTTTTATTTTTTTGTATCATCACCAACAAATATAATGTTTTAGGCTTACAAAAATTTAAAACTTTGCTTTAGTTGTTCCTTATCTCTTTAAATATCTTCACTCAAATTAAACTTAGTTATTACGAGAGTAAACAAGTTTTTAAATTTTGAAAAGTATTTATTAATATTTATGACTTTTTTTTTCATTAAATCTGTTCTCTCAAAGTTCACTACTATCAAAATTGATCTAACTCTATTTGGATATTCTCTAAGCAAATTCTTATAATTTTCAATCTGTTCTTCTCTTGAATCATAATCTGAATCAAAATCAAACGATGAAGTATCAACAAAATAATATCTCAATTATTCTTATAATATAGGTTTAAAAAGTTGAATTCTTACATCTTCATCAAAAATCTTCCTCATTATTTATGTTTTCCCGTTGCCTGCCTAGCCTATAATAAGTGACAAAGGAATTGTTTCTTCACAAAATTCTTCAGAACTAAAAGTAGATGTATTAAAAGATTGATTACTAATTGTCATATTATTAAAATCATTGGAAATTTTTTGATTAATAGTTTCATCATTAGTTATTAAATCTTTAGCATTTTCATCATTAGTTATTAAATCTTTAGCATTTTCATCATTAGTTATTAAATCTTTAGCATTTCCATCATTAGTTATTAAATCTTTAGCATTTNTTTATGTTGTTTTAATGTCTATTTTTTTATCTTGAATATAGTGTAGGTTCGTTATTCGTATTTGGAATAATCTACTGCCTTATTCTTACTGATTGTGTATCTAAAGATTTTAATACTTAATTTTTCTTGAAAACTATCATTAATCCGTTAAATCTAGAAAAATAATGATGATAAAAGAATCTACTTCAGTGTTCATCTGTGATGTATCTATTATATTTATATTATTTAATAATAATAATTAACAATGGAACTAAATTTTCTATTAGATATTAATTATGATTGTGTTAATAAAACTAAAAAATGACTCAATTTGTATTTTTAAGAACTTTAAAACAAATAAACTGCTAAATATTAATGATATTTATAATAGAGATCAATTAAATTTCTTTAGTAAGTCATTCTATAATTTTTTTAATTCTTCTTCATCTTCCTCTTCAAATAACGTGTCAACTGAATTAAATTCGTAACCATCCTCTAAACGCGGTAAACTCTTTGCTCTTAAATCTTTCAATAATTTTTATTTTTTTGTATCATCACCAACAAATATAATGTTTTAGGCTTACAAAAATTTAAAACTTTGCTTTAGTTGTTCCTTATCTCTTTAAATATCTTCACTCAAATTAAACTTAGTTATTACGAGAGTAAACAAGTTTTTAAATTTTGAAAAGTATTTATTAATATTTATGACTTTTTTTTTCATTAAATCTGTTCTCTCAAAGTTCACTACTATCAAAATTGATCTAACTCTATTTGGATATTCTCTAAGCAAATTCTTATAATTTTCAATCTGTTCTTCTCTTGAATCATAATCTGAATCAAAATCAAACGATGAAGTATCAACAAAATAATATCTCAATTATTCTTATAATATAGGTTTAAAAAGTTGAATTCTTACATCTTCATCAAAAATCTTCCTCATTATTTATGTTTTCCCGTTGCCTGCCTAGCCTATAATAAGTGACAAAGGAATTGTTTCTTCACAAAATTCTTCAGAACTAAAAGTAGATGTATTAAAAGATTGATTACTAATTGTCATATTATTAAAATCATTGGAAATTTTTTGATTAATAGTTTCATCATTAGTTATTAAATCTTTAGCATTTTCATCATTAGTTATTAAATCTTTAGCATTTTCATCATTAGTTATTAAATCTTTAGCATTTCCATCATTAGTTATTAAATCTTTAGCATTTCCATCATTAGTTATTAAATCTTGAGCATTTTAATCATTAGGAACTACATTTTTAATATTTTAATAATTAGGCTTTACATTTTTAGTAGTTTCCTCATAAGGTATTACATTATTTGAACTTTTTATTTAATTATACTTACAAAAATACTAATAATTACAATTTTTTTCTTAAATAGTTTATTATAAAGGTTTCCAATGAGTTTATTGCTTACAAACTATCTATTTCTTATATATAATTTAATTGTAAGGTGGTTTTTACATCAAGTTACTTATGAAAATAGCTTACTATGGTTAGTTATTAGTGTTATAATTATAAGTCTATTGGATCGTGTTGATTTATGTAGTCCTTTTATATGTAAATAATTGGTGACAACCATTCGTTTTTGGACTTTATTTCTTTTTAAACATCTTAATTTATGCAATCCAAATAGTAGATATATATGTTATTATAGTCAAAGTCTAATAGAATTAGAAAAATATATTATTAAGCAAATTAAATTCATTATAATTTAGGATATATTTTAATTTTTATCTATGACAAATTATTGTTAATGCATTATTAATATACTAAATATATAGTTTAATGAAGTCTAAGTATAATTTTCAGTTAACATTTTTATGTATTATTCATATCATTTTAAAACCTTTAAAACATCAAGCAAACTTGCATTCTCATCTATATTCAATAATAAAGAGTAATTTTGATATTCAAAAAATGTTAATCCACTTTCTAATATTTTATTTTTGCATTCATAAACATCTAAACACTACTACTTATTTTAAATATCAATCTAATACTAGAAAAAGATTTATTTTTGGAAAATATGTTATTAAATGTGATCATTATTAAGATGAAATTATTCATTATTAATTCTTTTCATTAAGATATGAATCCATCCAAGATCCTTATTTCACTATCAACAAGATTAAAAACTTGTATGCCTAAGGATAGAGTTTACAACTAAATATGTTAGTCTAACGATACTCATTACAATAAATTCAAGTAAGTTAAAATATCTAATTCTTTAAATACTCGTTGTATATCATATAACATTATTGAAAACATATGTTTTAAAATAAAAAACACAAAATATATTATAAAAATAATAAAATAATATATAATATCAATTCACGCTCTTGCCGCCAATTGTTATAAAGCATCCCTTAACTCCTTTGTTTCTTCTTCATCAGGTTTTTCAAATATTGTATCAGTCAAATCAAACTTATAGTCTTTTTCAATAGAAACTAAACTATCTGAACGTTTTATTTAGCTAATTAATTCTTCTTTAGATGTTTGCTGACCAACAAATAAAATTGACTTTGATTTAAAAATTTTTAAAGCCCTTTATAAATCAACTTTATCTTATTCCTGGTCATCACTTAAATCAAAATGAGTAATAATTAAGCTTATTTAACTCTAAAACTTCTTAAAGTATGGGTAAATATTTAATATTGATCTTTTCATTATATCTGTTCTTTCAAATTTTACAACAATAAATAATGTAGCCACTTTATTTGGTTTGCTATCAAAAATTCTTTAAAATTCTTTTATTTGTATCTCCCTTTATTCAATATCATTTTTAAAATCGAAAGAACTTGTTTCTAAAAATTCATATTACAAGATTTCTTAATCATTAATTTTGTTTAATATTTATGTTTTACCAACACCAGCTTCTCCTATTAATAATGCAATAGGGTATTCTTTAGGTTATGAAGGGAGAGTAGGAGGAGCAGGAGCAGGAACTGCTGAGTTTGAAGATGCAAATAAATAGTTATAAAGTCTTTTTAGTATCTAAGTCAAGATATAAAATCTTTTTATCATTATAATAGCCCCATTGTAAAATATGATTATTATAGCTATTGGGATATCTAGGACTTAAATTAAAATGAACTTGATAAAATTATAAATTTTGAGCAAAAAGTTTAAAAATATTTAAAAAGCCTTTATTAAAATTGATTTAAACTTGTTAAATAAAGTTAAAAAATTCTAGATAAAAAGTTATAAATTTTCTAATTTTTGCTTTATTATTAGTTAATTTGGTTCTATAAATAAATCATTCTGTTATCTTTCTTCTTTAAAAATTAAAAATAGTTAATGTAAAAATTTTTAAACATAGAATATAGATTGGTTTATTATTAATAGTGTAATGCTGATAAGTATGTTGTAATGTGATGTTATTTTAGTTCTAATAAGTGATAGAATGGTAAAAAACATAGTAAAAAATTGTAAAAACTAATATTGTATTTATGTTTGGATTTTGTTTTTTAGTTTTTTAAAGATACTTTAAGTTTTTAAAATATTTGGTTTATTTATAAAATAATAGTTTTGATTTGAAATTTATAATTATTAGGATTCCTAAATATATTCTTAACTTGGTTTTACTTACTATTCAGTTGAGACATAATTTAATACTGATTCTTAATTAGTTTCTAAATTCAATAAATTTTAAATATGATTTGAATCTTTTTCTTAATTCGTTTGTATTTACTATTCAAGTAAGATTAAATTTAATTGTTAGTCTTCACTAGATTCTACTTACTATTCAAGTTAGATTTGGTTTAATTGTTAATCTTCACTAGATTCCACTTACTATTCAAGTTAGATTTGGTTTAATTGTTAATCTTCACTAGATTCCACTTACTATTCAAGTTAGATTTGGTTTAATTGTTAATCTTCACTAGATTCCACTTACTATTCAAGTTAGATTTGGTTTAATTGTTAATCTTCACTAGATTCCACTTACTATTCAAGTTAGATTTGGTTTAATTGTTAATCTTCACTAGATTCCACTTACTATTCAAGTTAGATTTGGTTTAATTGTTAATCTTCACTAGATTCCACTTACTATTCAAGTTAGATTTGGTTTAATTGTTAATCTTCACTAGATTCCACTTACTATTCAAGTTAGATTTGGTTTAATTGTTAATCTTCACTAGATTCCACTTACTATTCAAGTTAGATTTGGTTTAATTGTTAATCTTCACTAGATTCCACTTACTATTCAAGTTAGATTTGGTTTAATTGTTAATCTTCACTAGATTCCACTTACTATTCAAGTTAGATTTGGTTTAATTGTTAATCTTCACTAGATTCCACTTACTATTCAAGTTAGATTTGGTTTAATTGTTAATCTTCACTAGATTCCACTTACTATTCAAGTTAGATTTGGTTTAATTGTTAATCTTCACTAGATTCCACTTACTATTCAAGTTAGATTTGGTTTAATTGTTAATCTTCACTAGATTCCACTTACTATTCAAGTTAGATTTGGTTTAATTGTTAATCTTCACTAGATTCCACTTACTATTCAAGTTAGATTTGGTTTAATTGTTAATCTTCACTAGATTCCACTTACTATTCAAGTTAGATTTGGTTTAATTGTTAATCTTCACTAGATTCCACTTACTATTCAAGTTAGATTTGGTTTAATTGTTAATCTTCACTAGATTCCACTTACTATTCAAGTTAGATTTGGTTTAATTGTTAATCTTCACTAGATTCCACTTACTATTCAAGTTAGATTTGGTTTAATTGTTAATCTTCACTAGATTCCACTTACTATTCAAGTTAGATTTGGTTTAATTGTTAATCTTCACTAGATTCCACTTACTATTCAAGTTAGATTTGGTTTAATTGTTAATCTTCACTAGATTCCACTTACTATTCAAGTTAGATTTGGTTTAATTGTTAATCTTCACTAGATTCCACTTACTATTCAAGTTAGATTTGGTTTAATTGTTAATCTTCACTAGATTCCACTTACTATTCAAGTTAGATTTGGTTTAATTGTTAATCTTCACTAGATTCCACTTACTATTCAAGTTAGATTTGGTTTAATTGTTAATCTTCACTAGATTCCACTTACTATTCAAGTTAGATTTGGTTTAATTGTTAATCTTCACTAGATTCCACTTACTATTCAAGTTAGATTTGGTTTAATTGTTAATCTTCACTAGATTCCACTTACTATTCAAGTTAGATTTGGTTTAATTGTTAATCTTCACTAGATTCCACTTACTATTCAAGTTAGATTTGGTTTAATTGTTAATCTTCACTAGATTCCACTTACTATTCAAGTTAGATTTGGTTTAATTGTTAATCTTCACTAGATTCCACTTACTATTCAAGTTAGATTTGGTTTAATTGTTAATCTTCACTAGATTCCACTTACTATTCAAGTTAGATTTGGTTTAATTGTTAATCTTCACTAGATTCCACTTACTATTCAAGTTAGATTTGGTTTAATTGTTAATCTTCACTAGATTCCACTTACTATTCAAGTTAGATTTGGTTTAATTGTTAATCTTCACTAGATTCCACTTACTATTCAAGTTAGATTTGGTTTAATTGTTAATCTTCACTAGATTCCACTTACTATTCAAGTTAGATTTGGTTTAATTGTTAATCTTCACTAGATTCCACTTACTATTCAAGTTAGATTTGGTTTAATTGTTAACCTTCACTAGATTCTACTTACTATTCATTTTAAACTTGGTTTTAATCTTATTATTAAGTAGTTTCTACTTACTATTCAAGTTAGATTTGATTTAATTGTTAACCTTGACTAGATTCTACTTATTATTCATTTTAGATTTAGTTGAATACTTATTCTTAATTCGCATATACGTTTTAGTCAGTCTAAAATTTATTAATTATTTATTCTTAATATGACTCATCTTTTTATAAATACTAAACTAATCTGTCGACCTTAATAAGATGATCTAAATTAAATTCCTTATCATAGTTTCCTACAAATTTCACATGTTAATTTTTTGATTTTAATTATAAACTTTAATTTATATCTTAACTTTCATTTTATTACTTACCATCTAACTAAAAATTTATTTATTTATATCCATTTTATTTACTTTATATTAATTGTTTATCATACTCAAAATCTATATTTATATTTTTATCATTACTGCTCTCAGGTAATTCATTATTGTTTTATTCATCCTATTCACGTTCAATGTTTAAATTATTATTGCTATTAGCTTCCACTTGTTTACTAAAATCCATACTTTCATTTAATCCCTCCTAATTAATATATTCTTTGAATTCTTCCATATTTGTTGGTATATTATTTAATTTTACTGTTTCTTCATCTTATAATTCTCTTGAATCATTTTACTTACTTTATTCTCTATATATGTCAACATTTTCTGAACCTGATTCAGTTGAATCCTTTTCCATAATAATTTTTGACTACCCATTGTCATATAGATCTGTTTCAATTTAAGTTACTTATGCTTCTAAGCTCATTTTTAATTATTATCATTTATTTTCTCTCTAATCAGCTTTTAATAGAACTTCTTTCCTAATAGAATTTTCAAAAATTGTGAATTAATTTTTCTAAATTCTAATTAAAAACAACTTATAGAATTATTATAAAAATGAAATATTTTCAAACAGCTTTTTCTTGATTATAGATAAGTCTTCATATCATTTTAAAGGTAAAAAGTAAAAGCAAAATTGACAATAATAACAATAAAAAAATATAATTTTTGAAATTTACATAATCACTCTTGATATTATTATAATTTATCATATACTTCTCTTTAAACCACTTCTAAAGTAGGTTTATCTAATTCTTTTAGAAGAGATAATATGGCACATAAAATGTTTGAATTTCTTTCTTCATCGGCATATTCTGATTTCACGACTTGTCTTTATATTTGTTATTGTTACTGCTATTATTATAGAAATAATTGTGATTATTGTTATTGTTAAATTTATTATTGTATTTGTTATTGTTGCAAATATTATTATTGTTATTATTATTATTCTCTTTCTCTTTATAATTGTTATTATTGTTATTGATAGAATTGTTACTATTATTGTTGCTAATGAAATGGTTGCATTTACTATAATGATTGTCGTTATTAATTTGTTTATTATTCTCGTTAATTTGAATATCTTCCTCCGCCATTATTTGGAGAATATTGATTTGGTTTAATAACTTCAACATATTGTGCCATTTCTTCTTCTACTTTTTGAATTTTAGTTGGTGGACTTTATGAAATTCCATATTACAATTATTATTAAGCATTTGCTCTATCTTATTGGCTAATAACAACATCATCCAATTTTTCAAGTGTTGAAGAATTACAAATTACAGCATCTCTATAATTTGGATGATCAGCAATGGGATTTTCTATTATTAGATTAAATAATACCTTAAAGCCATAAGACTTTCAATTTAGGTAATTGTTATAAGAATTGCAATTCTGTAATACTTGAAATATTATTCTTTCTTAAATAAAGTTCTTTTATATTCTTGCATTTTGCAATATCAGCAAGAGTAGTAATCCTATTAACTGACAAGGAAAGAACTTCAAGATTTGGGAGTCTTTCAATGATGGAGATATCATCAAGATCATTTCCCCATAAGTTTAGTGATTTGATGCTATACAATGCTTCAGTCTTAGCTTTCTAAGCAATTAATGTTGAAGTTAGAGGTTTAGACATAATTTGTGATGGTTATATTAATTTTAATAATCAATTTTATAGTTTGTCAATTATTTATTTTAAAGATATTGTTTCCTTTTCATTCTTAATTTCAAGTTCAAATGTAGAAATCTTCTTTTGTTCATTTTAATCTAATTTAGATTTAATTTATCTTATTGTTTATTCAATTAAAATGCAAAATGCATAGTCATCATTTAATAAGCTAAATTTCTTTGATAAATTAATCTTAGGGTCAATTGGTATACTATCAAGATTATAATAGTAATTTTAATCAATTGAAAGATTTTATGAGTATTCCATAAAATTTAATTTAATTTTTCCATTCTTTTCGTATATTTATGATAATGGTAAATATAATTAGCAAATTTAATAATTATGAATTGATTAAAGATTAGTAGCAATCTCTTTGAAAAAAGGTTACCATAAGATGAGTCTATCTTATTAAATTATTTATGCATCTTCTACCCAAAAACTAAAAGTGATTTCCGTTTCATTTTAATTAATTTAATTAGTTTTAATGTCGAAATCTATAAGTTTCAATACGAAATCATGCTCATTTAAGATTACCCAATTTATAAATTATTTCATTCTTTGTATTATTTCTGGAAAGCAATTACCTGAATCTTTAGAAGAAATTATTATGTAACGTTAAAGAATTTTATTTATGAATTTAATTGGTTTGAAACTATTTATTTATTTGATAAATTTTTTCATTACTTTTAAATAAGTATATATATATTTAATTTTTCTCTCATTTTATTAAATTTCAATTTACTGAAACAAAATTTCAATTAATTATTTTACATTTGAATTGTTTATTTAATATAAATAAAAAAAAAGTCTCTATAGAACTTAGACAAAAGAAATTCTATTGTCTTTACTCTTAGTACAATCTAGTATTAAGTTTCTTATAAGATCATTGTTGATTTATTTAATTGCAGTTTGATGATATTCTTAAAACTTTTTAATTTAACCATGAATTTATTAATAATTAAGTTCTTTAAATGGTATACTTCCAGAAAAATATTAAAATAAGGAAACCCCAAAAGAATAAACATCATTTTTCCTACTTTAAAAATTATTGTAAACCAAATCAGGATCTATATATTTTATAGTCATTTATTTTAGGCCATTAGAAAGAAAATAAGATTATTAAGAATACTTTGACAATCCAAAGTCAGCTAATACAGGATTTTTTTTGACTGAATCTACTAATACATTATCAGGTTTCAAATCCAGATGGAGTAACTCTTTATCAAATTATAAAATAGCAAGTCCTAATGATAATTTATAAACATATTTGATTTTATCAATTTCTTCCCATTCTGATAATTATTAATAACTATTGTAGAAGTTTGTTATAAGGATAATTTTATAAACTTTAATTTATCCTTATAATTTTTCAAACTTGAATCCTAAGTGTTCAATTCTCAAACAATATTTAATCTTTGACATTGTAATATCACAAACTATACAGATTTCTAAAAGTTTATTTTAAATTTCTAATTTCTCATCATCATTAATTGTTTCTCCTGATCCTTTATATTCAAATTATATCACTTTTGCTGCATATTCTTATCCTTAAAAATAGAATTTATAAACTTCACTATTTCCTCCTTAACCAATCTTTTCTTTTAAATTATTATTTATAAATAATTCAGAACTTTCATATTTCAAAAATTATGTTTTTTTTACAAATTCATCTAATGTTCTTTCTAAATATAAATCTTATTCAGATATAATATCATGTTTTAAATTAAGATAAAAAAATTCAATATCTTTTCTAACTGGAAAGTTAAAATAGAATTACATTTTCAATAACATATTATCTTCATTTGATAATTAATCATGAATACTACTGGAATCACTTTCAATATTTTCAGCCATTTATGATTGAACCATCATTTTCTATCCTGAAATTCTAGAATCATAACTTCTATATATTGTATGGCATTCAGTTACTTAATTAATTTAATCATTTTAAGAATCTTCTTTAAATTTTTATTCTAAAGATTTTGTTGATTATGTCAATCTATAATTTATTTAAACAGTGTTAACATATTCTATTTCCCCATCTATTTTTTCTGTTAATAGTTATTAATTTTAACGTCTTAATAATACTTATTAAAACATTTAAGCAATCATTTTATACTAATTTTAGGATTAAGCTAAATTTCTAAAACTAGTTATAGCAAGTTATTAAGGAGATTAAAATTATAATTTTTCAAAACCACTTTTATCTAATGAACTTCTCTCTTTATCTTATTAGATTTTATATAACATTGCACAATTAAATAAACAACTTGGACTGATATCTTATTTATAATGTTCAATAGCTTCTGAATATCTACCTCTATATTCTAAAATTTATCCTATCATTTTATGATTATTTGTTTTAACTGCAATATCATATGCTTTGTCAAAATCATGAATAAAAAAGTAAATTTAAGATTTTAATTACTTATTAAAGAAATCTTTTTCTTCAAGAAATATTCTTAATTATGGATAAAAATTAGGATTTAAATATTATAAAATGTAAATTTCTCTATGACGAACCAATACATTTATTATAAGAATTTCTTCTATTGCTCTATAATAACTTTTTATTTCAATTAATTGATTAGCTTTTTTATTTGTTGAATCAAAAATTTATTTAATATTTGCTAAAAGAGTTTATTTTTTAGATTATATATCTTATCTTTATTAACAACATCGTTAAATTACTTATAAAATATGTTCTAATTAATTTTTCCCATCTTTTTCTTAAAATATAACTCCTTATTATTAAACAAGTCTAAAGAATTCATATTATAACAAATTAAAAGGTCTTTTCTATGAATTATTATGATTACTTATTAAATGAAGTGTTGAGATCCTTATTGTTATATGTTTTAATTTATCAATTTATTTTGTATATGCACTAATTAATAATTGTAAAAATAAACAAGAATTATAAATATTTCTATTATTTGGTTAATAAAATTCTAAATTCTTTTCTTAATATTATAACATTAGGTCACTTAAATGATTTAATTTTTTCAATAATCCTTAAATCTACCCTTACAAAAATTGAATTTTACAAATCTTATAATAAATATAAACTCTAAATTTCTCTTTATTTAAATGATTTGTAATTTGCTTGTACAATTTACTATATATATCTAAAGCATATTCCCAATATCTTAATTTTGATAAACATTTTCCAACTAAAATTAAATTAAAGAAAAATTTATCTGTATTTCCTGCAATTTACATAATTTGATCTAATAATTGCTCTTAAACAGAAGATGATTTTAAGAAAAAGAAATTTTGAAATTATTTACAATCTAATTGTATTAAACTAAAAATGAGGATTCCTGCTTACAGATTATCAAATTTTTCTGTTAAATAATCATAATTATAGTTCTTTTGTAAAAATGAAATAGCAACCTTCATTTTTGAATCTTCTAATGTATTTTCAATCTCTTTTTTATGTTTTCTTTATATAAATTCATAAGTATTGATAATAATTTCTAATTTTTTTTGGGTTTAAAAATTTATAAAATCATCTTAACTCTTAGATGAATACACTGCAAATATAGAACAATCTTAATAAAACATTAGATTCAATAATCTAAGTAATTTTTCTCCTTTTGTATAACTACTAATTAAATTCATAGTTTTCTCTAAATCAAAAGCTAAAGATTATTTAGATTACATTTCTAATTTTATATGAAATAATCTTAAATATTCATTAGCTTAAGCTTCTTCATTATTAATCTTTTTAGCTACAGCTGTTAAAAATAAATCCCATTCATTTTCCATTTCTAACTTAATGCAACAATCTATATTTAATTTTTAACCAATTACAAACATTACAAACATAGGAATTAATGAAATTACTTAATTTGTATTATTTAATTGAATTCCATCTATTGGATATAATAACATTTTTGCTATTCCATAATTCAAATCAATTTCAGGAAATTTAGCAATTCTAGTAAGTTGATAATAATTCTAATCAAAAACTATTTTATAGAAAAAATTAATGATTCCAAAATCTTGATTTCTAAATATAATAAGTATTTTCTCATAAAGCTTTTAGAAATATTCATTTTTTAGCTATTCTATTTTCTTTTCTTGAAACATTTGAGTAATTTTAATTTATAAAAAAATAATAGTGTAGAATATATATAGAATATGTCAACTCAAATTATATAAGAGGGAGGTTTCCAAACTGGAGGATATAAAAATTGTTTAATTTCATTAACAACCTTATATATATAATATACTATACTTCATGATTCCATATTCTAGAATATTTTGTAGGACTTAATTTTAATTTACTCATTTTAATAGCCCATATATTTTATTCTTTTTATGATAATAAAATTTGTTTATTTCTTTTACTTCTATTTTAAACAGATCTATTTGATTTATTTTTCTTTGTTTATATTTACATTCTTTCTGTTTTATGAAAACTATCATTTCCATTAATCTATGAAGATCCTAACAATACATCATATTAAAAATTAGTAGTATTTTTATTTCTTTACTCTTAGAAAGAATGATTAATATTGAATTGAGCTGGATGTTACTTATTCATCTTTAATTTAGGCAAGAATTACTTTTTTGATTCAGTCTAAATTGCAACACTTGAATTATGTTATCTGTGTGAAGTTTCTAAAGATTAAAATTATAGACCTTAATCTAAAAGACTTAACAAATCAAATTATTTTTGAAGAATTGGTTATTTTGGATGAAAATATAACCTATTTTTATTTATATAATACATACATATCATGGTTACTAGTATTATGAGAAATATTTTAAACAACAGTTTCTGCTTTAGATTCCAAAAGATCCTTTTAAAATTAATCTCCAATTTCATCTAAATCTGGTTCTTCAGCTATTTTAGATTAAACTTCTTGATTTTCAATAATATCTTTAATTTAATGATTATATGGAAATTCATTTAATGAAATTCTAACCTTATCAAATGTTTATAATTAATTCTATTTCCAATTACCTTTCAATATCAACTAATCATATTAATAAACACCTTCTCCATCCATTAAACCATCTCTCCAATATCCTTTATATATTGCTTTATCAGGCCAAATAATTTATCCATAACCGTTTCGTTTGTCCTCCATAAAATTACCAATATACACAGTTCCATTTGAATATTCAAATCTGCCTTCACCACATTTTTTATCATCTGTATAATATCCTTTATAACAATTTATCCCATTCTTAGTTTTACTCTACCATATTCCATAACCATTTCTTTGTCCATTCTCAAATTCTCCTTGATAAGAATTACCATTATTCCAATAATACTCCCCTTTACCATTAAGTTTCCCATTTCGAAATTCACCACTATAAAATTCACCATTTTCCAAATACTCTTTACCTATACCATGTTTCAGATCATTAATTACTTCCCCTACATATCTATTAATTATATATATTGATATACATCTATCCATTAACATGTAAACAGAAACCGCAACATCTTCCATTCTCCCATTAACCTATATAATAGTCTTTATGAATTCCTTAATACCATCCAATCCCATGCTAATATATTAAGTCTCATTTATTACTTTTTTCCCTTAATGCCACTGTCCAATATATTTTTAACTATTTGACCAAAATACACCTTCTCCTTAAGGTAAGCCATTTACATAGTTCCCATAATAATATTAATTGCTTTTTAGTATTTCAAATCCTATCCCTTCCTTTTTATCCTTTTCAAAAGACCCTTCATATAATTATAATGTTTATTTTATTAATATGCCTTGTCCTTATCGAAATCCATCAACTAAATTTCCAAAATATGCTGCATTTTTATATAGTTTTATTTTGATATCATTGACTTAATTTAATTGAAGGATTATAGGTGAGTAGTTTAAAAAAAATTAAATAGCATTATCTTGAGTTGGAAATTCATATTCATTTATTTGATTAGGTATAGGAAATTTAGTTTTAATTTGTTAAATTAGCATGTGATATTATTGTAGAATTGAGGTTTTATACACTTCTGTCAATTATTAGTAATGCCATTCATCTAAATTAGAGAATAATAACTAAATATTTTATTATTTTATCATTAATAAATGTTATTGTAATCAACAACATCTTAATGAATTTCTAACTATATTAGATGTTGTCATATGATAATAAATTATAATATTTATAAATTCTAAAATATAACTACTTCACATCATTTTTTAAGACAAGTAAGTTTTAAGTTTTGGTTGTGATTCCTGAATATTCATATTCATATTAGAATTTTCTTTATCATTATTAATTATATCGCTTAACTTCTTATCGAGAGCTGTTAATAGTTTGTGATAAATTTATTGTTCACAAGGAACTGATTCTTTATTTCTTAATTATTCATATGTTTTCTATATTTGACCAATCAAATTTAATGCTTGTTTATTTGGTATTAACAGTTTCATCTTATTTACTAAATATTCCAAACCTTAAAGATCTTGAAGTAAAGAGACACAAAGCTAAGTTTACTCTTAATTTTCACTTTATTAATACAATTAATCTTCCAATTCGCTTATCTTAGATACACTTTCCTCATATTTCTCTTTTAAATCAAGAAATTGTTCTTATTAGCATTAAAAATAATGCTTTTATTACTAATATAATTCCTTGAATTTCTATAACTAAATTTATAATTCACGATTCTCCCTTTCTAAGCTATTCTGATCCAAAGATGTTTTAGGACGTTCAATTTCAATCGATTCATATCTGTTTAATCTATTATCTGATTTAATCTGAAACATTTTCAGTTAATTTTATTTATATAAAAAAATAACAAATTAAATTTCTATTATATTTTAATATTTTCTTTAAACCTTATTTTAAATTAGATGTTGTTTAAAGAATTTAGAAAGGGAGCAATAATTATTAGATAAAGATACAAATAAGTTTAATTAAAAAAAAGTCATAATAGTATTTAATTATGTTATATAATTAAAATAATGATTATAAATTTTCTATTTTTAATTGATATTTAATACAATATTCATCTATAATATTTTATATAACTATTTTCATTAGATTTTATTCATTCTCCATAATCATTTTTTTATTAATTTCCATTATAACTTTTATAATCATTCCAAAACCTCGTTTTCCTTTTACTCAAATTTAATAATTTTAAATTCTATCTCTCTCTTTAATCAAGGATGAAAATCGTTAAATTAATATTTTTCTAATCCATAAATACTATATTAAATGAATATCTGTTGTATTTTGGATATGTATTTGCAATTCAAAAAGTTAATCAATAATAATTATTTAAATTTATATTTCTCCAATATATAAATGAGTCAATCTGATTTAGATAGATAAATAGCTTAACTTAGAAACTGTGAAAACATAACTGAAGGGGAGGTTAAAGCCTTATGTACAAAAGCTAGGGAAATACTTGTTGAAGAGAGCAATGTATAAAGAGTTGATGCTCCAGTGACAGTAAAATATAATTAATGTTAGATTTGTGGAGATATTCATGGCTAGTTCTTTGATTTAATGGAGTTATTTAAAGTAGGAGGGGATTGTCCAGATACTAACTATTTATTCTTAGGTGACTTTGTTGATAGAGGGTTTAACAGTGTGGAAACATTTTTATTATTATTAGCTTTGAAAGTACGTTATCCTGACAGAATAACATTGTAAATTAATTAATTATGTAGAATACGTGGGAATCATGAATCTAGACAAATTACTTAAGTTTATGGTTTCTATGATGAGTGTCTAAGAAAGTATGGGTCATTAAATGTTTGGAGATATTGCACAGACATTTTTGATTATTTAAGTTTGGCAGCTGTAATTGAGGAGAAGATATTTTGTGTACATGGTGGATTATCACCTTCAATAAAGACAATGGATGATGTTTTAGAAATTTAATTATGTAGATACGAGCAATCGATCGTAAATAGGAAGTACCTCATGATGGAGCTATGTGTGATTTAATGTGGAGTGATCCTGATGGTATTTTGATGTTATATGATTATTATAGAAATTGAGGGATGGAATTTATCTCCAAGAGGTGCAGGATATTTATTTGGAGGAGATGTTGTAGATGATTTCAATAGAAAAAATAATATTGAATTAATATGTCGAGCTCATTAATTAGTGATGGAAGGATATAGAGTTATGTTTAATGAATAATTAGTAACTGTATGGAGTGCTCCAAATTATTGTTATAGGTAATTTATAAAATTTAATGAGATGTGGTAATGTTGCTTCAATTCTTGAATTGGATGAAAACCTTGCTAAATCATATAAAATATTTGAAGCTGCTCCATAAGAAAATAGAGGATTGCCAGCAAAGAAACCAATACCTGATTATTTTTTATGAATAAATATTTATGAGTGATTTAGATTAATGGATTACAAAATTAAAGAATTGTCAATTTTTAAATGAATAGGAAGTGATATCTCTATGTACTAAAGCAAAAGAAATTCTAATTTCAGAAAGTAATGTAGAAATTGTTCATACTCCAGTCACAGTATAAAATATATAGATATTAGGTTTGTGGTGATATTCATGGATAATTTCATGATTTAATTGAATTATTTAAAGTAGGAGGAGATTGTCCAGATACTAATTATCTTTTTTTAGGAGATTTAGTTGACCGCGGATTTAATAGTGTTGAAACATTTCTTTTATTATTAGCATTCAAAGTTCGTTTTCCTGATAGAATAACAATGTAATAATTACTATGTATTTTAAGAATAAGAGGAAATCATGAATCAAGATAAACAACATAAGTATATGGATTTTATGATGAATGTCAACGTAAATATGGTTCTGCAAATATTTGGAGGCATTGCACAGATGTTTTTGATTATCTGACAATTAGTGCTGTAATTGAAAATAGAGTATTTTGTGTACATGGAGGATTATCTCCAAATATTGTTGAAATTGATGATGTAAAATTATTGTATACTATAATATTTTAGGTGAAATCTTTAGATAGAAAATAGGAAGTTCCTCATGAAGGAGCAATGTGTGATCTTTTATGGAGTGATCCTGAAGATATTATTGGATGGGGAGTATCTCCAAGAGGAGCTGGATATATATTTGGAGGAGATATAACTAAAGAATTCAATAAAACTAATAATTATGATTTTATATGTCGTGCTCATTAACTTGTATTAGAAGGATATAAAACTATGTTTGATGATTAATTATTAACAGTATGGAGTGCTCCAAATTACTGTTATCGTGTAGGAAATTAAGCATCAATATTAGAATTGGATGATAATTTAGAAAAAAGATTCAAAATTTTCTTAGCAGCAAATGTTGAATAAAGAGGATTAATTGGAAGACATCCTGTACCTGATTATTTTCTGTGATATAGCTATTATTATTATTATTATTGATATAATTAATATGAATTTATTATGAAACATAAATATATTATTGAATACTTTTTACTCTTCATATAAGATATAATACTTATTTATAGATATTATAAGTGGTTAATAAAGTTAGTAATTTAATATAAATTATTTTCTTTGGATAAAATATTAATTTAGCTAATTTATATTAATGCTGTGTATTCATGTTCATAACATTTAAGTCCAAGTAATTTTAGTTTTAAATTTTATAATACCTTATATAATAGATACTTTTTTCAAATTTATTTAAATATCAATCTCTATTTAATAAAAGTATTAATTAAGAATCCAATTATCCTTGATTAAAAACGATTATTAATTATATTTATATCTAGTTCCTAAAAATAGAAATTTAGTTTTGAAAAGGTTTTTAAATAGAATAATTACAATTTTTGTGATATAAAACAAAAAATTTTGAAAGAAATTTATTATTTATTAAATGGAACCAATATTCATTATTACAATCTTACTTGTAATTGAATTAAGTTTAGAATCAAGATTTAGCATCTATAATTATGAATGTAACAATTATTTGAATAAATTCGGAAATGTAGATTTACCAAATGGTATAGGTCCTTCTAAGCTTGCTTTTACAGGAGATGTTTCCTTTATTACAGGAACAAATGATGCAAAGGTTAATGTAAGATATTCTGATGTGGAATTTTTTGATGACCCAATATTTTTTGGTTTTGTTAAGGAAGATGGAAAAACAGAGGACACAGTTTGTCTTGAACTTAAATTATTTAAATTTACATCAAATTATTCAGTTGAAGTCAAGGACTTACCGATAACATCATCAAAAAATTAGGAAAAATAATGGAGATATTATTCATTCACTATTCCAAGAAATGAATTCAAAAATAGATTAGTTGAGACAGCTAATTCCAATTAATTCATATATGAAGGACTTTATGCTATTGGTTATTATCCAGTTGGTCTAATGGAAATCTAATATACATTCTATTTTGAATTATCTCTTACTATAGATAAAAGAACAGGAGCTGCAGTTGATGCATTATTCACACCTTTTAATGAGAGATACTCACATACATTCGGGATGATAGACTGCAAAGGGAGAGATGATACTTATTTAAAGTGGTGCACTGATTCAACATGCACTTCATTTACATCTCCAAATCTTCATTAATATGATCGGTTTTTCCTCTAATAAGTTATTACAAGAGAAGAATGGTCTGGTTATTATTTGACAGGAACTGAGGTTTGGTTTACAGGAGTTGGTTTGAATAAGAGAGCAACACCAATTTCTATAAATAATAACAACACAGGATAAGTTATTATTGAATTGATGGCAGAAATTGCATGGTAATCAGTCACTATCAAAGTTATTTCAACCTTATCAACTACATAAACAGAAAGTAGAAGAATGTTAGTTTAAACTAAGTACGATCCACTAATTGGAGAAACTTAAGAAATTGAGTGTATTAAAGCTAAAGGAGAAGAGGCATGTCCTACATGTGAATAAGAATGTGATGCTAATGGATTTGCTCATGGTGAATGCGAAGAATGTTTTTTATCCTAATAATAGATAGTATTTATTTTCTTGGCTTTATTGCTAGTTTTAACAATATGATTCAGTCATTGAGAATAAATTAAATTAAATCAATTTTTCAAGTTTTATCATAATATTAATAAGCTTTTCTTTACTTAGCTAAATTTTATTTCATTAAAAAAATGTTAAAATAGCTTATTTTTTTACATTCTAAAAAGTTAAGGGATTAATAATTTACTTATAGTTTAGCATAAATATAATTTCATTTTAATCTTGTCAAGAGTAGAATACAAAGCATGATGTTGATTTTATATTAAAATTCAATTGATCCAAAAAATTGGACAAATATATTGATATTATAATAGATTAAGAAATCTTATTATAAAATATTAAGGAAAATAATGAGCATTAAAATTATTTTTTTTAAGTAAAAAAGAAGCAATAAAATTTTTTAGATTGATTAGTTTTTTTATCTATGTGGCTTTTTTGAAAGGATATAAATTCAATAAATAATACTCCTGGGGCATTTTGTTCATCTTGATCAGAATGAATTTCAAAGAAAAATAATAAATCATATCCATATTTCTGATAAGAATTTGTCATTATATTTTTTTAATTGAAAAGTATGATAATAAAAATATTATGAATAATGATTTCTTTATTACTTATAGAAATTCTTTAATGATTTTTATTAGTTGATCAATAATAAAAGATATTGAATGTCAATAGTTTAAGTTTAATACTATTTTTTTAATTTCATATGTTTATTATCTTCTTAACTATGGTTAAAAAGAGATTATTGTTAATGTGTATTCTTATTAATTATTAATATTAATAAAATAATGCATTCTGATCCAATTTTTGAATTTATGGCTTAAAAGGGTATATCTGATAAGTTGAAAAAGAAAGTTAAAGGCAAGATTTGCTTCAAAGTACTTAAAGGATCTGAACATAAACTTTGGTTAATTGATTCAGATAATAAAAAAGTAATACCAGATACAAGTAAAGATGCTGATACTATTTTCAACATTTAAGATGACGATATGGTATGCTTTTCTAAAGGATAAACTAATTTAAGAACATTATTTATGAGAAAAAAGCTAGCCATAGAGGGGGAGTATTAATTGTAAAATAATATTAGTTATTCAAATGCTATCCGATTCACTAGTGATTTATTACCAAAAATGCCTTTACTATGAGTTTAATTAAATTGATTCATCATCATATAATGATTGTTTATTTAATAAAATCAAACATATTTTTAAATATCATTTAAAGTTGAATTGAGTTAAAAACTTAATTCACTATTGTTAAACTCTTAAAGAAGATAAAGATTGATTAGAAATACAGAAAAAAGAATTTTATTAATATATTTAATTAACAATAGATATTAATAATTTCTAATTTCATATAAAATGAAGAATTAATTAAATTATTCATAATCAATTTAAGTTTTCTTATAGTATCTAATTTAACAATTGTATATTAAAGATCATTTTAAATTAAAATATGAATCATGACTAATACCTATACTTTTTATTTATTAAAATAAATTTAAATAATTAATTAACCTTATTTTTTAGATCCCTCATTATTAATTTGAATTCTACAATTATTTAAATAAAATTAATCTCTAATATGATTGATATTTTTCAATAAAATTTTTTAATTATTTAGATTTAATAATCATGGTAACATATGTCATTAAATATCTTAAGAAAATATTCTATAATGTATTTAATTTATTAATTATATTCTCTACTATTATATTCTTCATTTTTGATATAAGAATTTCAATTTAATTTAATGTAGAATTTTTATTTCTTTAGATGAATAGATGACAACTTTATTATGTTATAATAAAAATATAGATAATATCAATCAAATTACTATGAATAACCAAGAAATTAAAATTAATAATGGAATTAAATTTGATTGACTGCAAGCCTCACATCCATCATGAGCAAATCCATTAGTTTCACATTCTTATTCACATGAGGGACATGTTTCTGTTTATTCAGCTTTAATACATTTTATCTATTGTGTTAATCCTGTAAATGTATCATAAGTAACTTAAGTTAATAATCTTCTTCCTTATGTTAAACTAGTAGATAAAATAGAAGAAACTTAAACATTCACATTATTCCAAACTACTTCAGCTTTTAATTAAACAATCACTTATCCTTTTACGTTATTAATCACTGAAAGTGGAGTTGCTTATTTAAGAATTCCATCACCACTATACCAAACTTCAGTATCAACTAAATAATATTCATCCTTATCAGCAGTGTTCATAACCTACTATAAAACAAATATATCATTTAAATGAAGGTCAGGTGTTTCGAATGAAGTACATGTGAGATCTTTGCACCATTTTAAAATACTATCACCATTAGGATCACATTATTCAAAAGGATTACATGTTGCAGTTGCTTTTCTACTTAATGGCTTAAATGCTGCTTCTGATAAACCAGTATTTCGATCAACAATGGCTGTAAATTCAAAATAGAATGTATATTAAAGTTAAATAGAATTAGCAGCATAATAAGCAATAGCATAATATCCTTTGTATAGAAATTAGTTAGAATTAGTTGTCTAAACTAATCTTGTACTAAATTCTGCACCTGGAATTATGAATGAATAATATCTCCATTATTTTTAGAAGTTGTTTGATGGTGTTATTTTTAAATCAGTAACTTCTACACCATCAGCATAAAGGTTTGATGTGTATTTAAATAATTTAAGATCAAGACATGTTTCTTCTGCTGACTTTCCATCTTCTTAAACAAGACCAAAATATTTTGGATCATTAAATAAATCAACATCAGAATATCTTAAATTTACCTTTAAATTAGCAGTTCCTGGAATGAAGTAAACATCTCCTGAGAAAGCAAGTTTTGTTGCACCCGATCCATCTGAATTATTAGCAGTTCCAAATTTTTCCAAATATTTGTTACACTCTAAACCACTAGGGTTTAATCTTTAAGTTGTTGATCCAATAGCAAATAAGACAATTAAAAATACAATAATTTTCATAGAGATTAATTTAATTTAATTTTTTATTACTATCATCCATTAAAGAAACTCAATTTTGATTTTGTTATTCTATTTAAGATACTATCAAAATTATTTCAATTCTTTGAAAGATATACCTAATTAAAGTAATATTATGTCAGAAAAGAAGATTCATAAATAAATTTTACAAATCCTAATCATAAAAATTGCAAGAAAAAAATTATACTTTATATTCTAAAAAATGATATTTATATTTGTGTTTTATTATTCTTCATTCATATTTCATTAAGAATTCTTGCCATTAATTATGCTTATAATGTAATCATTCATTATTTTAATCGATTTCAATCAGGTTGGATTTATTTGATATTTTATTTTTAATATAAACAATTAATGAAATGTTATAATTCAATAGTTAAATTTGTTATTTTAACAGATTTAAAACCTAATTGAAATTAATTAAATCTATCTATCATATATAGGTTGATTTTTTAATTGGATTCGTAATTAAGTAAATACAACTTCAAAGACAACATTCAAATTAAAGTAAATGAAGATTTGTCTATATTTATTAATTGAAAATATATTTGTATATTAAGCAAAATAATAAATTTTTATGAGAAAATATGATGTAAATGATTTTTCGTTTATCCTTTTGAATATGAATAAAATATGAAATATTGATAATTCAAATATTTAACAAAAACAATAATATCATATTTAAGAATGCTGTGAATTAATAATTATAGCATTCTTCGCATTCATCTCTAGCAAATCCATTAATGGTACATTCTTCCTTACAAGTCCCACAAGTCTCCTATCCTTCAGGTTTTATACATTGTATTTAATTAATTTCTCCTGAAATTTATTGAGATGAATCTTTTATATAAGAAGTAACTTTAATTGTTAAATTTGTCCAAATAACTTCAGCTTTTAATTCAATAATAACTTATTTTTAAACATTATTAATAACCCTAATTGGTTAGGCTTTCTTATTCAATCCTGTGCCAATTAACCAGACTTCGGTATCAGATATAAAAAAGTCATCATAATCTTTGTTTATAACAGCTTGTTAAATAATGAACTAATCATTCAAGTGTAAATTTGGAATTTCATCTAAAAAAGTTTAACATGATATATCAGAACACCATCTTATAACAGAATCATTCTAATATGGATATTCTGGGCTAGAGTCCAGTGGTTTAAAACTAGTTTCAATAATATTTTCAACATTATTGATAGAAGGACTTCCAGATAAAGAAGAAGTAACATTAATACTTATTTTTTACCAAACAATTTCTGCTTTTAATTCAAGTATAACTTATCCTGGAGTTGTATTAATGATTTAAATTGGTGTTGCTTTTTTATTCAAACCATAACCAATATACCATACTTGAGTATTGTTCAGATATTAATTAGTAATTCCACTATCGATAATCACTTATTTTATAACAAATGTATCATTTAAGCGAATAAATGGGGATTCATTTAAAACAGATTAGCAAGTAATGTTACTACACCATAATAATTTGGATTGGGGAGGATTGATATTTGTTAATTAATCCTTAAGTTAAAATTTGAATGAAGTATCAATTTGTATTTAAGAAGGTAAATTAACAGTAAGAGTGAAATCAAAGTTAAATTCATGCTTAATAGCTTCTTGATTTTTGGTTTCCATAATAAATGAATAGAATCCATTATAAATGATATTATTATCAATTATGTTAGATTACAATTCTGAAGCTGGTATTTTGAATTAATACTATCTCCATTTATTAATTGTATTGTTTGATGTGGTAATTTTTAAGTCTGATAATTATTTAGAAGATTAGTGATGAGTGTCAGTGAAGGATAACACTTTAAGTTTAAGACATGTTGTTTCTGGTTATTTTCCATCTTCTTAAACTAAACCAAAATAAAGTGGATCATCAAAAAGTATATCAGTATATTTAACATTAATTTAGACTTCATTAAATTCTTAAAAATAAATTGCATCTCCACTAAAAGCAAGGGGTGATTCTTTAGTTCCAAATTTAGACAAATATTTATTGCAATCAATTTAATCATTACTTTAGCTTTAGCTTATTGCAATGACAATGAATTAGATAAATACAATGATTTCTTTCATTTATATTATTTAAATTGATGTTGCTTTATTTTTGGCATTTAAATATGGAGCCTATAAAAATTATTCTATTTGTGATATTATTAAATTTATCATGATTATTTTGAATATTATTCTATCGACCATAATTATTCTCTCTACTATTAATATTCAAAAATTAACAAAGCCCTACTTGTTTATCTAATAGTAATAAAGTAAAAGAGAATTCTTAATCTATTTTAAATTTACAAAATATAAATTCATAGAAAAGAATAGAAGAAGTTAAAAAAAGTCTATTAAAAATTGGAATGTCTATTCATTGTTTAAATTTTATAAATTTACATATTTTAGGTAATAATTATTATAATAATTCATAAGGAAGAAGATAATTTGATCGAGAAAATAATTATCATTATTTATTAAAAATTAGTAGTAGAACAATAATAAATAAATTACATGAAATATTAATTATTTAATTAATATAAAACTTTTTTTATTAATTCAGATTGTAAAATATTTAAGTTTATTAAATACTTTAAAAAAAATGAATAAAACAATTTTGAAAAATGATTGGTTTTGAACTGAATATAACTTGAACTTTGATTAGATGATAAATAATTAATTTCTATTTTTTAATATTTTAAGAATAAATGATAATAATGAATAGATATTGATGATATATAAAGAATAACACAATTTCAAAATACAGACTTTGTATATAATATTAAATTAATACATTTTCGATTTATAATAATATATAATAAATGGGATCAAGTTGTAAAACAAAACCAATACGTAATCATATTCATTACAATACTTATTTGTGTGCATCTACACAATTAGAGAAACCGATAGTGTAATAACAGTATTCTGGGGATGAGATTGTTTATGATTCAGTTTCTTCATGTGATTACGAAAAAGAGAGGAGTGATACTAAATCAATTGTTTTACGTTCTCCAGATGTTTCATTGAATTCACAAACTTAAAATGATTCTCCTCTAATATCAAAATTACACATCACATCAGATGATTTTGTAAAACTTAGAAACCGCAACTACTTGGATTTTTATTCAAATGAGAGGTTGTTGGGAGTAGGTAGTTATGGTAAAGTGTATTTGGTGAGGAATAAATTGACAAGTAGAGTTAAGTTTAATATATTAGATTAATTGAGAGCTATGAAATAAGTTAAAAAGAAATAGAGTTTGGCATGTAGGAAGTCATTGAGAGAGATGGAAATATTAGAGAAATTGGATCATCCATTTATAGTAAAGGCTTTAGAAGTATTTTAAGATGATCAAAATTACAATATGATTATTGAGTAAGATTAATTGTGTATTTTAGATTCATATCAGGAATAGATTTATAGGAAGATATATCAAATGCTAAATTTACAGAAGAGAAGGCATCCAAAATAATAAATCAATTATTATTAGCTATTGGTTACATTCATCATTAAGGAGTAGTACATAGAGATATTAAACCAGAAAATATATTATATCAATACAACAATGGAAATGATTGGATTAAGTTGATAGACTTTGGAATATCAACTAAGATTAAAAAAAATAAGAAGTTAAGTTCTTAATTGGGATCTGTAAATAATGATATTTATTTAGATGTACTTTATGGCTCCAGAAATATTTCAAAAGGATTATGGCAAATAAATTGATATTTGGGCTTGTGGAGTGACCTTATTTTATATGGTTCATAAACGCTATCCATTTATAGGTAAGACTGATTAAGAAATGAAGAATGCGATAATTAGTGGTCATTTCACTTTTGATTAAGGCATTAGTCCAGAATTAAAAAGTCTCTTAAGTAAAATGTTATAAGTGAATCCTAATAAAAGAATTACTGCTTAATAAGCATTACATGAAGATTGGTTTGCCAAATTTAATTAAGGGTTTAAATTAAATTAATCTGTATTTATTTATTTGAAATCCTTAGGTAATCTTAAAATTATTGAATTATCACAGTACTTCTCTCTTTGAAGAACTCATTTTTTCATTAATAACTTATTATGTTTAGAATTCAGATGATTCTGGTTAAGCTATATAAACATTTTTATGTTTGGATAGAGATTAGGATGGATAGATTTCTAAATAAGAATTAAAACAAACTATTAAAAGTTACAATCTTAATATTGAAAATTAATCTAAACTAATTGACAATCTATTCTCAAGTCTGAATAAATAATAAGATGATACATTAACTTATAAAGGTTTAGTTTTTTTAAATAACAAATAGAATTTTTGGCTGCCTCTGTTGCAAGTGAAAAAATCCAGACTCGAAAATGCCAGAAATTATGCTTTTAATTAATTGATGCTGATTAAGATGGCAAATTTTCAGAATCTGATTTTTGTCATCTTATGGGGAGAAAATAAGTAAATTTATGGCATTTGTTGAATCCTACAGATAAGTCCTATATCACAGAAGAAGAATTTTATGGTATGTTCAAATAATGAATTACTCTTTATATACTTTAGTATGTCATTTTTTGTTTTGCTTCTCTTGTTTCGGGTTATTTGCAAAATAAATCTTGAGGCCTGTCTTGTCATTTTTATCGAAACGGTATCCCTATGAAATGTAAAATGGTTTAAGTTCACTTAAAGAGTTTGCATCACAATAGTAGCTTAAAAGGCATCATCGAAATCTACAAAGCAAAGCAAATATTCTCTTCCTTTTTGAGTTTACTTTTTAATCAGACGGACTCTTTGGAACCCTGGATAAGGACGAAATATATCTAAAGGATATGAAGTTTTAAATACGTGCCACTTCTCGTTCTTGTGCATCATTTGGAATTCCTATTGTATATATTAAAGATCTTACCATCGACATAAAGAGAATGAGTGGACTCCTTTTAAGGTTGAAATTACTAATTATCTCGAATCAATTCAAAATACTGATTATTAAACATGGGGTTTGGGTATGGGTTATTGAACATTAAATATATAAAAATTATTAATATATTAAATGGATAAGTCATAACCTATCAAGAGATCTTCGAAACAAAGAGACACTGATTACTAAGAGAAACCTTAAGTAAGACAATCATTCTAATGTAGTCTAAAATAATGTAGGATACTCAATAGAGTAGTCAATAGTACATCATAACAGATGCCACTTTCGAATTAATTATAAGAGAGAGAGATGCGTTAATAGAAAGATTGGAATCTGATTAAAGATAATTAAAATATCAACTGGAACAGAAGAAAACTGAATTATATGAAATCTCATAAAGATTTGCATCCTAGCGTGGGAACCACCTTCTTAAACTCTAATAGTCAGGTGTCTAACTAAAGTAAATTCAGCCAGATGCAGACGCTTATAAATGACTTACTTAATTAATTATAATTTTGATATTAAAGTATGACTCACAAAATGTTAATAATACTAAATAAAGAATAACTTCTCTTGAAATAACTCTAAGTTATATTGTATCTTCTTTTTTCATTCTCAATTTTGTATTTAGTCGATAAACAAATATTAAATTTATTTAATTTTATCTTTTTTGTTTATAAATATTATTTCTAATCCAACAAAATTGCAATTAATATTATTTAGCCAATATTTTTTCATTAAAAACTTTGAATATCTAACAAAAATCAATAACAATTTTATTACTCAAATGTTTACTCAACCTACAGATTTAAACTTATTTGACTGACAATCTAATTACCTATAAGACTATTTTCATAAGTAAATTATTTAAATGATTAGCTTCAGAGTTTATCTATGATGAGACTGATTTTAAGAGAATTATTTAAATAGTACACCATATCATCATTTCTAGAATAAGGAATTTGAGACTCCTTCAGGAAATCAACATTTTTTAAGAATGTTAGATTATAATAAACTATATAAGTGAAGGAGGTTGAAGAAGTATTTTTGAATTTGATGAAATTCTAAGTTTGCTTTCTAAATATTTCATTATATTGTCTCTAGTTATAGAACACTATTTCTATATAGGGTTTTAAAGAGAAATCTGTAGAAGTACTTTTGAATAGAATTATTAAGTAATTTAAGGTATGTGGATGAAAAGACTTAAATACTAATAAATATATTCATTACAGCCTTATTTAGGGATATGTATTCAGAAAACTATATCCCTCTTTAGATTCTTAAAAATTACAGAATTCAAAGGATTTTAATTTATTTTGCTTTAATGCAAGTAAAGTAACAACCATTATTTATTGTTTAATATCACTCTATGAAAAGATATCTTTAAATTGAATGTTTCAATTACTAAATATAATTTTGCTAGAAAGGTATCAGCCAATCATATTGATGAATATGTTAATTATGGGAGATTGAACATACTTTAATTAAATGAAGAATAAGTGAATAAGGGAGTAAGCTATAAATATAAAGAATGTTGTAAAGTAGAATTCTTCTCTTGTTGTATATTTACTTGTCTAAGAATATATTGATTTATGAATCTATATGAAAATGTGAAAATTTTTAATTATAACAGTTAATTTAAATATTAATGAAGCAGAACAACGAGAACAATTATGTGAGAGTGTCATATAATAACTTTATGACCACACGTAATCGATAGTTTGGAAATGAACTAACAAATTTTTAACGAATACCTACTCGTTCTGCTTCACAATTCATATGTTCAAAGCCCCTTCTTAAAATGGAAGAGGAAACTATGCCTCCAGAATTGGTCAATCCATATGTAGGTGATATATTTGAATACTTATGTGTCAATTAACATAAGTTCATGTGTTAGACTCCATTTTATATGAATTTATAATTGGATATAACTAATCAGATGCGTTCAATATTAATAGATTGGTTAGTGGATGTACATCTCAAATTTAAGTTACAACCAGAAACTCTTTATTTAACAATAAATCTAATCGATCGCTATTTGTCAAAGAATACTATAATGCGAAATAAACTATAATTGGTTGGGATTGCATCTTTATTCATATCATCTAAATTTGAAGAAATCTATGCACCTGAATTAAAGGATTTTGTGCATGTTTGTGATAATGCCTACACTAAAGAAGAAATCTTAGGTATTTGTACATCCATATATAAATAGAAATGGAAAGTAAAATTCTATTGACTGTCTAATTCAATTTGACTTACACTTCACCATTAAAATTTTTAGAACGATAGATTTAAGGAGCCTAACTTTGTGATAAAATCAATTATGCCTCTCGCATGATCTTAGAATTGTCCCTATTAGATATTAAATGCTTAAAGTAAATTATAAAATTACAATTTGATTAGGTTTTCTTCTTCATTATTAGCCACCACTTCCATACTCCTAGCTATCAATTTACTTAGATCTCCTCAAGTATTACCCTCATCCTTACATTATATTGAAGACTAAGAAGTATTGAGAGAATGTTTATCTGAATTTCTACCAGTGATTTCACTTTTAAAGAGTTTTAACATGACTGCAATCAGAAGAAAGTATTAACTTGAAAAGTTCAATAAGATTGCAGATATGATCCTATCCATTCTACCTAATTAATAATGATTCCCATATATATTTATATATATAATTTAAATAATAATCAATTGATTTTATCGAGTTCGAGTTATAAATCCTATTGTGTTACATAACCTTGTTTCTATTTATCTAATAATTCAAAAGCACTCTTGATTTAAGTATCAAAAATTTGGTTATTACACCGCCTATATTAATACAAAAAGCTTTCATTACAAAATGAATAATTTAAATTCTTCATACTTTAATTTTCCATCCTTAGCTTAATTAAATTTATCATAATATTGGGCTAAAGTTTGATTGAATTATTTCATTATTTATTTAATGACTATAAAGCATTCCATAGCATTTTATTTATATGATTAAAATGGAATCTAAAATTTAATAATAAATTTTAATACCTAAAACTTATCTAACCATTATTGAAACTCTTACAAAGTTAGATATTGATTATTTGCTTTTTCAATCTTATTAAAAATATGTTCTAATTAAATTCTTTGTAATTTATTATCAATTTTTAAAAATAAACTCTCAATATCCTTTATAGTGAGTTAAGGACCCCAATTCAATTTCTATACTAATTATTCTATTGAAATATCTTATCTAACAATTTCATTCCTTAAAATTTAGGCTATAAATTTCTCTTTGTTCTAATTTAATTTTTTTAAAACATACATTACAAATATCATCCAAATTTACAATGTCTTTAAAATTATTGGAGAACAAAGGATGTTTATAAAGATCATACCAACCAATTCTCTCATCTAATTATAATAAATTAAATAGTAAATACCTTCATTGATTATTAGACACCTTCTTATAACATCCTTTACATTATCATTGACCTACTTTATCTTATCTGGAAATAATAGAGGTTTTTCTTGAATGTTCTTAACCAATTCTGGAATAGAATTAGCAGTCCATGGAGCTAGATATATGATATTAATTATTTACTTCTTCCATATAATACTTCATAGAATATGAATCCTAATGACCATATATCACATTTGGTTGAATATCTAAATGATGAGTTTATAGATTACTATAAATTTTGCAGCAATTGTGGACTCATATATAATGGAGTACCCAGAACAGTCACAAATTGTTATTGAGCATAATTATCCACTAATCTTGCAAAACCAAAATCAGCCAATTTGTATTTTCCCTTAGAAATTAGAATATTTGCTGGTTTGACATCTCTGTGTATGATACCATTCTAAATTAATTCTAAGAATCCTCTTAATAAATCTAGCATCATTTTTATGGCTTCATCTTATTGTAAAGTTTACTACTTTTCTAACAATCTAAATTTTAAATGTAATATAGCATACTATTTTAAGTCTCCATCGCATAGATCTATAATCTAATAATAATTGTTTTAAGTTGCTAATGTCTCATGTAATCTAACAATATTTTCTCCTTTTAATTTAGTCAATAGTCTAAGCTCAAAGCTCAATGCTTCAGGATCATAAACTTTAGTTTTAGGAATCACTTTGATAGCAACAATTTATTGTGTGATTGTATTAATGCCTTTATAGACAGTACCATATGATCCATCTCCTAAAACATTAGATGTGTTGTATTGATATTTTTCAACCTTTTTTTCTAATCCTGTATTCTGTATCATATTTTTTAAAATTTTGTATATTTAATGTATGAATATAAATCTATTTATTGAACACAAAATATTGTATATAAATAAATAAATATATCGATGTAATAAAGCAAATAGTTTACTATACGTAAATCTACTGTAGTGTAAAAACCTAAACTAGAAGCAAGTAAAATAGAATATTTTATTAAAGTTCAACAAAAACCTGTGTGTAAGATTCTTCAGCAAACCACTGTTTAGCAATCTTAATTATTAGAGAATAATTCAAATGTATTTAAGTATTGAATGAGATTTAAACATTTTTAGTAGAGATGAATTAAAAAAATTATAGAATGAAAATGAACAACTAAAGTAATTGCTTAATAATAAGTTTTAAGAGTATGATAAGAAAATTACAATAATGAGCGAGGTATTTTTATTCTTATCAAAAGTTAACAAAATAATTAGAAAACGAATTGAAGAAAAAGGAAGATGATATTGATTATTTTGTTCATAGGATTGATATAAAGGATAAGGAAATCAAATTATAGAAAGAACTTATTATTAAATTGAAAAATAAGAAGAAGGATTATAAGAAGAAATTCCTAGAATCATAATAATCGAATCAATAACAACAATAATAAGATCCCTTTTAATAATTATTAGAAATGAGAGCACTTCTTCTCTAATTTAGATTGACAGCTTAGGTTCTACCAATTCTTTAATAATAATCTAGATTAAGATAATATTAAAATCAATTTATTGATGTAGACAATATGAATTATGAATAATTATTATAGTTAGGAGAATAGATAGGGTATATTTTTAGTATTTATATTAGAACTGTGGATAATGGTATAGCTAGAGAAGATATCAGAAGAATTCGTAAGAGAGTGATACAAGCAAGTGATAATATATAAGGAGTATGTCCAGTTTGTTAATGTAATATGGAAATAGGGGAGAAGTATAGGAAATTGGGTTGCAATCATTATTATCATGCTAAATGCATTAAAATATGGTTATTGTAGCATAATAATTGTCCTGTTTGCAAACAGACTGTTGTAATTGCTATTTGATTATTAAAAAAATGGCTGATTTATTATTCTTTTATCCATTAAGTTCTATCGAGCGTAAATTTCCATATCTTTATGTACTTGAGATTGCAGGAGTAAAGTCATGATTTTTATAGTGTTAGATAAAAGTAATGTGGAGCCAAGGATTCCCTCTTCATGATCTTATGTATTTGACAATTCAATAGAAACTCAAGAAAGTTAGGTTAAATGAATCTAAAGATTATTCATACAAAGAAGGGGAATACTTATTTATGAATAATACAGTAAGATTTGATTTATAATTCATCAATCACATTATTTTCAATGAGATAGATGTATTTCTAGTTTGTACTTAAATGGATCTATGTTTACTTAATTATTTGATTAGATTAAAGTAATTTAAGCCTTAAATCATATGTACAAATGCTACTTATCTTTTGGGATAACATTTCATCAAAGAACTTTATTAATGGTCTGAGATAAGAAATCGTCATTTTTATTCCTTTTAAGAAAATTATAATAAAGAAGAAGAATCATTTAAATAATTTGAAGAACTTTATCATACAAATTTCTAGGAATTTACAGAGGCATTTCCATTTAAAGAAATGGATTGTACACTTGTAAATTATGGATAGATTGTTAAGATTCCATTACTTTAAGTATTATATAAATGATATCAAGATATAAGAAGCAATATCAATTGAAGCCTAATCTAGTGGGACTGGTATTGGTGATTCATCATATATAATTTCAATGGGTGATTATTTCAAAATTGTTATAGCTAATAATCTTAATAATACTAATATAAATTATGCTCATAAAGAGATATCATTAAAATTGAAAGATGCTGATTATCTAATTTGTGGAATTCCATAAAATAGAATCAATTATTAATTTCTGTCTAAAACATATGAACTTTTATAATATGGTTTAAATGTTGTAATTCCATTTAATTCATATTAGACAATATTAGATTTATAAGATGAAATGTAAATATTATTATTATTATTAAAATTAGAGATGATAATTTATAACATAAATGTTTTAAAATATTCATAATAAGTTAAGAATTTCATAATTACACTTTAATTGCAAATTCTTTAGTAGAATATCTTAATAATAAATTATAAGCAAGTATTATGAAAGAAAATCCTTAAAATCCTTTCAATAAAATTCTATTTCTAATTAAAGCATAAAAAATAATAGTTGCACCTTCCATTGAAAAAATTAAATTTGAAGGATTCTCTCTTAATGAAACTCTTAAAGGGATTACACCAAGTGTTTTCTTCATTTTTGATAGTAGTCTTAGATTAGCTTAAGCTGTATTTCTATTTGATTTACTAGAATCAATAGGATAAATGACAACAATCTATACTCAAAAAATCAATAATTCAGATATTACATTTGGATTATAATTAATTGATCCTGAATTCTATGATGAAAAACTATTACATTAAATTAAATCCTCATACAAATTTTGTATTGCTAAAACACCTATCAACAATAAACCTGAATTTATACCATGGTCAGATTCATCTATTAAAACATTCCTTATTCCTGAATCTACTACCATATAAACCAAATCATTAGTACTCAATTATAAAATGTTATAAAAAATGACTTTAAGAATCAGTTAAATTACTATCCCTATTCAACCAAAATTATAAGGTTAAGGAAAGAATATCATTGGCAATATTGAACTTAGTAATGTTAAAATGAATATTACTAATAATGAAGAGGCAGAATTATAAAAATCTTCACCTCCTGATATATAATATATTGTAGGAAATATTTAAGATGAAACTATTAGAAGAATTTCAGAAGAAATACAAAAATAATTTGGTCTCTTTCCATAATATTAATCCTTATAAAATATAGAATTTATTAATATGGATAATGAAATCTGTGCTAGAGTAGAGATCTTATAAGATGAAACCAAAGTTTATGCTAAAACTTAAGATGATATTAAGAGAATATCTGATATTGTATATAGATGTTTAACAATACGCAAATTATGATCAATGATATCATTATATTAAATTTAATTTATTAACTCTTCTTTAATGATTTGGAGTGGTTTTTGTGTCAAATTCTGCTTATGATAAACCTTATGCAAAATGAAGAGCAACATTTTAAGCTATATTATCTAATGGTATAATAATCACATTGGCATCATTATGCTAATTTATTTTTATTCTTATACTTCTCTACACATTTATACAAAATATTAATTGTAACAAATAGCAGCTCTTATTTTATCAAATTTATTAAATATTATTTATGATTTCAAACTATTCTCTGTGACAAATACACATTGAGTATCTTTGCTCAATACTTCATTTACTATTTATTTGTAATTTGACTCAATAACCTATACATTAAAGTACTTTTCAAAACTGTTTAACAAACATTCAACCTTTCCACAATCTGAAGCAAAGAGAAGCAATCTATTCATTTATTAATTAATATTTATTTATTAAATTAATATATATTTAAACATTTTTGAAGTAATTATTATTAATAGAAGTAATAATTTATTCTAAATATAAATTCTTTTGTATATAATATTATTTTATTAAAATAACAATAACAATTATTAAAATCAAATATATGAATCTAATTATATTAAATCATATTAAGTAATTAATCTTAATTATATAAAGTTAAAGCAATAATGAAATTCATTTTAATAATCATATTTGTAAAAATAGAGGTATAGATTATTAATACAATAATTGAAATAAGATAGTTGAAATTCTTTGAGTGTGATATGCTTTAAAAATAAATTTAATTTATTTATTTATTGAATTTATATAAATAAATAAATAAATTTTATAAAAAAAAAGAATGAAATTTAACAAAATTGTTTTCAGCATTTAGTTGTTTGAATTAGACAAATCAAAAACTAAAGTTTGAAAAACAAAAAAAATTTTAGTTTTTTAGTTTCAATAAAATTAACCTATAATAACTATCAATAATATTAAATTCTTGTGGCCAAAAAATAAAAATTATATTTCTGATTTTGCTTTTAATTTTAATTTTTTCCAACTTAGTTATACTTTTTGGATCTAACAATATTCAATCTTTAAAAAAATTTAATTTAAAATAATATAAATGTTTATATGATTCTCTCATATTTCAGTAACATAAATTTTCAAACAAATCCTAATCTTTAAGAATATAGAAAAAATATATATAATATTAAATTAACCATTGATTTTATTATGATCAAATCGGAGTAATTTAATTAAAAAGGATTAAATCTCATTTCAATTAAATTACTATAATATTATTATCTATGAACTCATAATTACAATTAAATAAACCATACAAACCCTAAGGAGATGTTGAGGATGTTCAGATTAGAGACTTTTCAGTCTAATTTAAGCCACAAAACTCAATTTGTAAATTTAAGATGACACAAAGGGTGGATTTTATATCAACATTTTACACTGGCAATATACCTTCATTATAGAAAACTCCAATTAGAGGAATACTTAAATAATGATTATAATACTATACTGTTAATAAAGTTTTTCATTCTTATATATTTCTTCTAAGCTTTCTCATTTGAATTTACTTGTTTTCTTTAGTACATATCAAATATTGTATAATTTAGCATCATTTTTTAATCACAACTAAAGTTTTCTAAATTTAAAGTTTATAGCAAATAAATTCAAAGGTGACAATCTTATTGTTGTCATTTTAAATAAAAAATGATAAATTAACAAATAGTAATTCAAACTTAGTTGTTTTACTGTGTAAAATACACAAGTAATTATAATTGAATTGATTGTGAGGAAACGAAATATAAATTATTTTAGTCTTTTTTTCTAAATCATCTTTCAATATTATTAAAAAATGATTCAAAGCAATAATGAAATAAAATATATATAGATATTAGTTAATAAATTAGAAAGTAGGATATATATTAAAAAAATATTAGTAAAGAGCTAAATAATTATAATATAATTATTTTGAGTAATTATATTTATGAAATCAAATTTGATTATTACTATTATCTTAGACAAAAGATAAGAAGATTAAATAATTAGTATAATTATTATAATGATTAAATAGTTAGTATAATTATTTCAATGTACGCCATCTTAAGTTGTTATAGAGAAATAGAATTATTTTATTGCAAAATTATTGTAAATTAAAAATAAAAGTATAGTAATTTCATTTAAATATCTATTGGAAATATTTACATACTAGTGAGAAAAATAAAAACAACAAAGAAATTGAATTTCAGTAAGAATGACATAGTTCAAAAGAGTCAGATAATCGTGTTAGAATTTAATAGATTAAAAATTATCAAATATCTTTCATAAAAATTAAATGTTATGAATTTAAATAACTTCTTCAGAGAATGGTTCTCCAAATAAATTAGAATTTATTTAATATACAAAAAACAAAATCTCAAAAATAATAGTGCAATAAGCCTTCTTAACTTCTAATTTAAATAGATTATTTAATATTAAAAATAAAATGTTGCTTTTATTAATATTTTTTGGCATAGTCACTGGAAATTGTGATTATAGATGCTTCGATTGCGATGAAACATCAAATTGTCTTAAATGTCAACCAACTAGAAATTTTATAGAGGGATTGTGTTAGTGTTCGAGTTCAATGATGGAATTATCTACAATAAAATCAAACTAATGTTTTGAATGCAATTAGAATTGCAAGACTTGCAAATATAATTAAAGAGATCATTGTTAAAGCTGCTATAATGAAAATCATAGAGTTCTTGAAAATGGTAAATGCATTTGTGAAAATTCATATTAAGAGTTAAAATAATCCTAATAATGTGTGCCTATTGGATAAAATGTAGAATTATCAGAAATACTAGATAAAAGTCTTAAATAAGAAGGATCTTTTAAACATTTATGTAATGTACTACTATATAATGATACAGTAATTTCATTTTTTGATAATGATATCATTTAAACAGTGGCTTTAACATTTTAAGATAATATAAAGAATTTAATATCGATTGAAAATCACAATAAATACTTTTACAATAATGATGGAAAACCTCTAATATAAATTAAGAGAGATAATGTTTTGGTTATTGCAACAATGTTGACAGATTTATTCATTATGTCATTTAATTTTGGAACAGGTTTTGCTAAAATTTAGGATAAATATTGGAGTGTAAAAAATTATGGTAATAATTAATACGATGTAGAAATTTATCAATACTTAAAATAAAAAATATTAATTATATAAATGGGAATAAAACGAACAGTTGAAAAATAATAGACATTAATTATGTCTTTCCTTCTTAGTTATTAGAGTAATGACTTTGTTGCTTATAATGTCTTAGAAACAATAATTGATCATGCAATTAGATAAATTTAATTTTGTACTGATCCATTTTGTCATACTTGTAGTTTCTATGATTAAAGTGAAACTTGTAAAGTATGTAAATCATAAACAGAATTTGATACAGTAACCAAGACTTGTGTATGTAAAGGTGAAAAACATACTGATGGTTAATGTTATCCAAAATGTAAGAATCCAAATTGTATTGGTTGTACTGAAGGAGTTTGTCTATTGTATCAACCTGATAATAGTATTAAAGAAGTTTGTGATGATGGATATTATGAATCAAGTTAAATGTGTTTCAAATGTCAATCACCTTGTTTAACTTGTTTAAGTTCAACATCATGTTAAACTTGCGTAGAGAATTATTATAAAGATAATTTGATATGTAAAGAATGTGAATAACCATGTAGGACATGTTAAAATTAATCTGAATGTTCTACTTGTTTAGATGGGTATTACCTTATAAATCTTTTTGAGTGTTTACCTTGTTCAGTTATTAATAATTGTATATAGTGTGAGACTGCAAGTTAATGTTAGGTATGTAAATAAGGATATTATTTAAATGAAAGTAGTAATTGTTCAAAATGTTAAACTTTATGTAGTAGTTGTACTTCATATTCATAATGTAATGGATGTATTGATGGATATTATTTATCATTTGGATAATGTAATACATGCACTAATAGTGAATGCTAGATTTGTCCAAATTCAAGTTAATGTCATGTTTGTAAGATAGGTTATTTTGTTGAAGAAATGAAATGTAAAGTTTGTGATTTACAATGTTCTACTTGTGCTGAATCAGGTTCTGAATGTTATAGTTGTAAACTTGGTTCATCTTTAATATCTAATAAATGTGTAACATGTTAATCACCTTGTTTAAATTGCATAGATACAATTAGTACATGTTTATCTTGTATTAATGATTCTTATTATTTGGAAGAAAATAAATGTATTTTATGCTAATCTCCATGTAAAAGATGTTCTTCAAAAACATATTGTTTAGAATGTTAAATTGGTTATATTTTAGATAATTAAACTGGATTATGCAAGAAATGTGAGACATCTTGTCCTACTTGTTGTAATCAATGTTAATCAAAATTAGTTTAAAATATTAATTGTAATTATTGTCAAAGTACATGTAATGAATGTACAATTACACAAACATGTTAATCATGTTTAGATGGATATTTTATGAATGAATCAAACTGTTAATTATGTTCTAGTAATTGTTAAACATGTGTAAAAAATTATATTAATTGTATGAGTTGTTATTCTGGATATTATTTATCTAATGGATAATGTATTTAATGTCATGTAAATTGTGCAGAATGTATAAATTCTGAATAATGCATAATTTGTAAATCCAATTATATATTAAATCAATAATAGAAATGTTAATTATAAAATTGCAATATTGATTAATGTATTACATGTTATGAATAAGGTACATGTGAGAAATGTGGTATTACTAAGTACTTAAATAATAATAAATGTTTACCATGTTCAAAATTATGTAAATCTTGTTAAAATAGTAATAATGAATGTACTGAATGTTTTTAAAATTATTATTTAGATAATAAATAATGTTTGAAATGTGATGACAAATGTGCTACTTGTATTACAACATCTTATAATTGTACAAAGTGTGCAATTGGATATTATGAAAAAAATGGAGATTGTTTAAAGTGTAGTATTACATGTAAAACATGTTTGAATGAATATGATAATTGTACTTCTTGTACAGATATTTATTATTTTGAGAATAATAAATGTATTGAATGTTCAAAAAAAATTGAATAATGTTCTAAATGTACTAATAGCTCTACTTGTTTAAAATGCTATAATGAATATTATTTGAATAATAATAAATGTTAAATTTGTCCTTATGCATGTAGTTAATGCACATCTTATGATTATTGTACTGAATGCAAATATGATGCATATATTTCAGCACCAAATAAATGTACTAAATGTCCAAAAAAATGTAAGGGTCCTTGTTAATATATTAATTCATAAATTATTTGTACTGATGGATGTGCAGATGGATATTTTGAAAAAGATGGAAATTGTCTTGAATGTGAAGCTCCTTGTAGAACATGTAAAAATGATAAATTAAATTGTTCTAGTTGTATTACTGGTCATTATTATGAAATTACTTTTAATGATCTTTGTAAACGTTGTAATACTAGTAATTGTGGAGATTGTGAAACTTCAGATCATTCATGTGCAATATGTGCTAAATAATATATTGAAATAACATCAACTTCAAAAATATGTATACTTTGTGGAGATAAATGTTCTTGTTCTTAAGGATATTATTATGATTGGAATGGTTTGAATGATGGAAGTGATAATAAATGTTTAAAATGTAGTCCTAATTGTTTAAATTGCGAAGATTCATCAACTAATTGTATAGAATGTGCTAATGAAAAATATCTTGATTTAGATAGAAAAATGTGTTTTGATTGTTAAACACCATGTTTAACATGTTCAGCCATAAATTATTGTCTTAGTTGTATTGAAGGTTATATTATTAATAATGGAATTTGTTAAACTTGTCAATTAGATTATTGTAATTTATGCTCAAATAATAATTGTGTATCATGTTAAATAGGATATTTTATTAATTCAAATCATAAATGTGAACCTTGTCCAAATAATTGTCTAGAATGTAATTCAAAAGATAATTGTTATATATGTTAATAAAATACTTATTTATCTTAAGGTATTTGTAAAGTATGCAATCAACCATGTTAATTATGTGATCAATCTAAATGTTAATAATGTCCTTCTGGTTATTATATAGAAAATTAAGATTGTAAACTTTGTCAAAATTTCTGTAAACTTTGTACATCATCAGGTGATTGTTAATTATGTAATGATTCTTATTATTTTGATGGTATTACTTGTAATTAATGTTCTACAAAATGGGATTATTGTAAATAATGTACAGATTCATAATGTCTTGTATGTTAAAATAAATTTTATTTGGATGATCAAGGTAATTGTTAATATTGTAAAAATTAATATTGTATATCAAATTGCAATTTTGAAACATGTTAAGAATGTGGATAAGGATGTATTAGATGTAATCTTGAATAATAATGTCTATAATGTTTAACTAATTATTATCTCGATCATGGATAATGCATAGAATGTAATTCAAATTGTTTAAAATGCAATTATTAATAATGTTTATTATGTAATTCAGGATATTATTAAGAAGGTAAAGATTGTATATAATGTAAACATAATTGTTTACTTTGTGATAAACAATAATGTTATTAATGTCCTAATTTACATTATATTAAATAATTAGAATGTAAAAGATGTTAACCAAATTGCTCTATTTGTATTGAAGATTAATGTCTATAATGTGTAGATGATACCTTTTATATAAATGTTAATTAATGCTTTAAATGTTAATCTCCATGTTTAACCTGCATGAATAAAGATTAGTGTACAAAATGTTAATCTAAAAATTATTACCTTGATGATTTTTAATGTAAATAGTGTAAATAAGGATGTTTAGAATGTACTAAAGATTTATGTACTTTATGTCAATAATAAGGATATTATTTAGATAAAGGTGAGTGTTTTTAGTGCAAATAAGATAATTGTTTAATATGCTAAAAGGATAAATGTACTTAATGTAAAGAAATAGGGTATTATTTATCTGAAGATTTTACTTGCAAATCATGTCCAGAAAATTGTGAGATTTGTAACTAAGATAAATGTTTGCGTTGTACTAATGAATTTATACTACACAATTAGAAATGTCTAAAAAGTTGTCCTAAAGGAAAATATGAAAATTAAAAAACATGCCATGATTGTCCTATAGGATGTTTAGAATGTTTAACACAAACAATTTGTTTAAAATGCGCTGAACCTTTATAATTAATTATAGATAAATAGAGTTGTGAAGAAATTGTTATAAAAAAGGATATCCTTTGGCTAGTTGGAACTATTTTTGCAATATCCATTTTTCTACTATTTATTTAAGTATATGTGTTTTCACTATACTAATTTTATTTGTGTATTACTGCTCCAATTAGATATTATTATCATCGATTTATAAATTGATCAAAATTAAATTATGATATTCTAATAATTATTATGCTCTAATTCTCTCTTTTAACAATATGTATTACAATTTCCATCAAAAATATATCAAAGAATATTATCTTCTAGTGTAATAGGTTAAATGAAAAATAACTTTAATTAACCTTGTTATCAACATTAATTGGTTCCTCAATTGTATTCTCTTTTTTATTATTATTTCTTTTTTTAATAGGTGAATATATCTATTATAATAATTCTAAATGATATGAATACTATATTTTATATAATGGAATTATTATTAGGATGAATGAGAATTTTAATAATAAATATACAAAAATTGAATAAACTATAGATGCAATACTTAATGAATATAGAAAATGTTTTATTATTTAGGATTGTTATAAGAAACATAAGACTAAGAGGGAACAATCAAGAATACTTAAAAAAAATTATTCAGTAATTATCAATGTTAAACAGATGAAAACTAATGTCATTATTTATTTTAATTGAATCTTTTCCTTTGAGTATTTTAGGTTCTCTCTGTTAATTATTCGAAGTATGGACTGTATTATTGATTGTTATATCTAAATTTCTCTGAATATGGTTTAATTTAAATTGGAGCTAGACGCTTATTGGATTTATAACGATCATATCGTTCTAATAAACCATCATGAGAAAGATCTCTTTCCATATGATTGACCCAACTGAAATCCAAATTAAGCTTAGATACATTTTACAATTAAGGAGGTAATGAAGTTTTTTACTCTTATAGTTCTATTATTTTCTTCTTTAATTCTTCAATTTATTGTTTTAGTTACACTTCAGCAATTTGATATGTCTCATTCAACTATGTTTATCTTTACATTCTCTCTTTTAATGAAGCAATCTAATTATCTCTTTCATTAATTTGATCACTTAAATATTGATTTTTTTTCTGCAACTCCATTATTTCTTCCCCTAATTAAGTGATAATCTCAGAATCTAAATTGATTTAAACTGATTCATCTTAAATTTGATTTGTTTCAGTCAATCTACTCACCAATATTTGCTTCTCATCTACACTTTCCTATTGTTAAACAATCGATTAATATAAAAATTGAGATTCAATATCTGATTCTTACATAAATATTTATAAACAATTTAACCTAAAACAAAATACTTTGTATGCGGCAACAACAAATTTATATATTAAATTAATTAATTCATGATTCTTCAAGATTCTTGTTACTTTACATCTCCTCAGAAGCATTTTATAATGTAGTATAATCACCTTTCATAGCCATCATATAAGCAGAAGCACCTGCATGTATACTCATTTTCTTTATCAATTTCCTCTTTTCTTCTGCTGATTGAGGTTTTCCATCTGTTGATTTGAATGAACTTGTAGAAAGTGGTTAAACAAATTTATCAATAACTGCCATTGCTTTTTCTGTTTAACTAGTAGATTTTGGAATAATAACTATTAATTTCAATAATTCATTTATATACCTGATTAACTCACTTTATCACTTCTTACAAATTCTTATTATTATTACTTTGATAATTAATATTACATCTCATCATTGCATACTTACAAACTATTAGCCTTATTTTCAAGAGCTGCCACTGTCTCTTTTAGTTCAGAAATTAAAGTCTCTTTCTATTATAATTCTTCTTAATATCTTTATATCAAATCAGTTTCATCAGGCATTGTTGGAAAATTGCAATTAGCTGATGATACTGAAACTTTTGATTCAGATAATTTATTTTATGTTTCTTTTTGATATAATTAGATCATCAACTATTCTCTTCTCTTTTTATAGAGATTACATCGTTTTTCAAGTAAACGATTCTTACTTAATAATTTCTCAATTAAATCCTGATGATCTGTCTCATTTTAAATATTAATAATTGGGTTTTGACTCATATACTTTTTAATTTATATAAATTTTATTGTATATTTAATCCAATTTTCAATACATATACTTTTAAAACACCCCCTCCATTATTATTTATTAATATAATTATAAATTTCTAAAAATAAGAAATATATCTATGATACTTTTATAAACTTATCTTAATATATATATAAACTTTTAAGATTAAAAGAATATCCATTAAAGAGAATAATCAAAATAACCAAATTGAAAGAATTCTACAAAATAATTCTTTATTAATCTACATTTAATTTTTATCATTATTTCAAAACCTAAACTTATGGATTTAAACAACAACATTACAACTTATTATGCTAAATTAATCAATAAAATGGAAAATACAAATGGCACCAGGACAAAAGTAGGTAAAAAGGATAAAGTTATTTTTAATTATAAGAAGAGAAAAGCAGATTACTATAAATTAACCATCATATATCTAATAGAATAATACTAATTATATTAAATTGACGAATTTAATTTAATTCATTTAATCACTCATAATTAACTTTAATAATAATAATAAAACTTTAAAATTGCTTTTAGTTCCTTTATTTTTTCTTTCTTTTTTTATAAAACATGAATTATATATAATTATTCCTCTTCTTTCTAATCTAATGGAAAAGCTTATTATAAAAACCCTAATTATTGGTATACTATTTTATACTATAGCAATCTAAAGATTAGATTTAAAATCAAAAAAATCTCTTAGTATGTTTCTTAAGCAACACCAATCAAATTATGAAAATCAAGAATTACTTCATCCTAACACATTTCAATAAAAATTGGCAATAGGTCTTCCATATTTTATTTTAATTTATTAAAGTTGTATTCTTTCATAAACTAATGCCTATTTTATTAATATTTCGTTTATAATTCAATATTCTTTCTAGTCTCTTGGTCTAAAGATACATAGAACCATGGTAGTTACTATTTAATTTTCATTTATGATTTATTCACTTCTTCTTCTATTAAATTTAAAAAATAAAATCTCAAATTAGGTGATGGCAGCTATTAAATAAAATTGATAATTAGCTTAAGAGTCGATTCACATACACTATTAGTTTATTTTATTCTTAATCTTAATAAATGATGATAAAGTACTACTTAATGATATATACAATCATTTTTAACTATATCCAAAGCTTTTTAATTATAAACCTCTGCCTTTTTAAATTCGTTTTTTAATGTTAGATATTCAGAATATATATCAAAAATAACCCAATTAAAATAATAACCTTCAAGATTCTCTTCTATAAAATTTATAAATTCCTCTAAATTATATCTATATTTCTCTCCAACAATATCAGTTCCCTCCAGATATAACCAACAATAATAAAATATTGAATAATTATCATATTCCAAATATTCTTTCATTAATTAAACTTATGAAAGTGGCTTCTTTAATTGGCTTAAATATTTTAAAAACTTTGGATTATCCTAATCGAAAGATGGTTTCTCAAGATATTTATTTATATTAATAATCTCAATTGTTTCTTATGTAGGTTGACTATTAGTATTTTATTTAACACTATTACGTTTTGGATAATAAAATTTTTTGTAGATTTAATTTAATTATTTCTTTGCTCTATCTATCCAAATGGAATCTATCATTAAGAATTTCCACTCAAATAATACTTAATAACAATCTTTATAATTTCTTACATAGTGTATAATATCTTCATGATTTTCAGCCCATTAATTATTTAATCGAGCCTTAAGACAACAATATTTAAGAATTTATTCATCGCTCTCTAATTCTTATGGATAATCAATACTGTTAACGATTTATTTTGCTTCATCCCAAAAACCCATGATATAAAGTAGCTCCGCTTCTTAAAATCTTAGACTACTATTCTAGTCTCCCAATATCTCTTAATATCTTTGACATAGCATTAACTATAAAAGTTTAGAGCCTCTTTTTTCAAAAATATCAAAATATAAGTCATATGATAATTTTGACAATTCTTCAAATTTAATAGAATCATAGATTTCTTAAACTGTAAAATATTAAAAATAATAAAAATGTAAGTTTTGAAGTTTTTAGGTAATACTCGAATTGATTTCCTTTTTTTGATATTCTTAAAATGCAATTTTTCTGAAAATAGTTTGAAATACTCTTAATTATTTAAAAGATGATAAATAAGTAAAGACGAAATATATAAATGGATCATTTTGTATATTTGTTTTTGCTCCATCTAAGTTGATAACACTAAAATTGTATTTTGTAGTTAATTTTTTTCTATTGAATTTAATATAACTAAAATCTTTTTTAATAGTATAATAATCTTTATTATATAGTTAATTAATTTTTGGATGTATTATCTTCTTCTCATCCAAAATGGTATGCAAATCTAAAATAGATTTTTGAGGATAAATAATTTAGAGCATTACTAATTAGAAGGCATAAATATCATTTTTAAATAAGTTCATTTTGTATTTTCTTTTACTTTATTAATAAGCTAATCTAATTGATTTTTCTTAATATTAAATAGTGCCAACTATTGGATATTCTCCATAAGGTGTTTTATATTAAGTTGAACATCCAAAATCAGCTAAGACCCATCCATTATCTTTTGTCTTTATAATATTACCTAATTTTATATCACGATGAGCTATTTTAAGTGAATGAATATTTATAATACTATCCAAAATACAATAGTAAATATCATCAATTTCAGTCTCAGTAAATTCTTTAATTTTGTCTTGATATTCTTTTAAGTTTCCCATTCCTAAGTCCAAATAAGCATGCATCTTGTAACTATCAACATAATTTTGAGCAATAAAAACTTTACCTTATATCTTAATTATGCAATCGGGGAAGATGTTTGCTATTAATTTTTGTATTTTGAACTCCTCAGCATATTGAATGACATCATTAAAGGAACAATTATTCTAAACTTTTAATGCGGTTTATTCATTAGTTTATGGGTTATAAGTGTAATACACTTCTCCATGTCCACCTGAGCCAATCAGAATTCCATTCTGTTGGACAATGGCTCTATCACCACTTTCGTAATCATAAATTTCAAAATCATTAAAGATGAATACATCTGAATGATTTTTTAGTATTTAGAAAATAGTTGTCTCTAAGTAGGTAGATGCAATATTTTGTTTTGATGGTTTGGCTTATAGAAAATTAGAATAATCTATTGTAGCTGTTTCTTCATTCTGTGATGAATGATCCATTTTATTGTTTTTTAGAAATTATTAGATATATTTGATATTCAATATGGATTTTACATTTAAATTTGCAAGACTATTAAAATGCTAATAATAAAATTAATATAATTTATAATAGATATTTTTATTGGAATGATATTATTATTATGCATGTTAAAAAATAATGTATAATAATATTAAAAATAAAGCAGAAAAAAAATGAGAGATAAAATATTTTTATATATTATTTGCAATAATATAAATTATTTAATAAATAATAAAGTTTGATCTTGTTTAAGAAGTTTTATGGAAGACACATTTGAAAAATTAAGAAGAACTACGGAATAACAAATATAAATAGCCAAACATTCTTGCGAGTAAATTATGGAAAGATAAATTATTTAGTTATTGTTTATAATCTGATGTTAATGCTGTTGCATAATGTTTAACTTGTTAGAGATGGTATTGCAATGCTGCAACAAAAAGTGGATCACACATAATATTACATTTAATTAAGAATAAACACAGTTAAATCAGTTTGCATAGTAAAAATAAAGTGGAAATAACTACAATCGAGTGTTATTGTTGTGAATAGAAAAATTTGTTCACTTTAGGATAAGTTAATGGTATTAATAGTTTTTTTTGATTTATTTTAGTAAAAGTGGAAGAAGATGAAAATATATTGATTATTTGTAGAGGTTGTCTACCATTGAAATAATTAGGAGAGATTACTTGGGATTCAAATGATTTTTAGCCATTAATCAAAGATAAAAGTATTTAAGATTGGTTGTTAGGATAAGGAGATAAATTAAATGTAATTCATGTTTTCATTTTACTATTAGTCACGTATGGTTACTTTGGAACGTATAAATCAGTATGAAGAGGAAAGAAAAACAAAATAAGGATTGAAATTTGAAGATTTGGATAGAAAAGGTCCAAATTAATTTTTAAAGGAGGTATAATTAAGATATAAAGATGCTAATCATTATTAACAAGTATTTTCACCATTAGTGAAATTGGAAGAAGAATAAGATAAATAAGTAAAAGAAGGTTAAGTTTTATAAAGTGTAAAAGTAAATTGGGATTTGAGTTTGAAGAAAAAGAGATTAGCTTATTTTTTATATGGAGGTAGAGAAGAATTTGATACAAATACTTTATTAGGAAATGAAATGTTATTGAGTTTAAAAACAGGGAGTATAAATTGGTAATCTAAAGGAACTGTGATTAAAGTTATTAATAATGAGGAAATATGTTTGGAATTACATTAAAGTGAACCTCCTCCTAATAATATAGAAGAAGGATATACAGTTGAATGTATATGGGTGTCAACTACATTTAAAAGAATGCAAATAGGCTTAAAAACATTTCTTACTTAAAGTAGTTCAACTAGTAATTATCTATATAAAATGATCTTGGGTAGAATTGATACTTTGGCTCCTCCTACTGCTGTTGAAAGTATACCTTAAAAGTTATCTGCTCCCAATCTACCAGATTTGAATGTTTATTAAGTAGATGCAGTTAAGAAAGCTTTGAAATCTCCCTTATCATTAATATAAGGACCACCTGGAACTGGTAAGACTGTTACAAGTGCCACTATTGTCTATCAATTAGTTAAAGCATTGGAAAAATAAAAATAAAAAGGATAAATTTTAGTTTGTGCACCAAGTAATATTGTTGTAGATTAATTGGCTGAGAAAATTAATAAAACAGGTGTTAAAGTAGTTAGATTATGTAGTAAAACAAGAGAAAGTGTTAATACAACTATTGAATTTTTAACATTACATAATTAAGTGAGAAGTTTGGATATTCCATAATATCATTAATTATAAGCATTTTATGAATTACTTGATTAATAAGGAGAATTAGATTAAAAGGATGAATAAGTATTTATAAGAATGAAAGATGAAGCAGAAAAAGAAATTATTGAATAAGCAGATATCATTTGTACTACATGTATTGGTTCAGCAGATAAAAGACTTAAAGATATGAGATTCTTATATGTTTTAATTGATGAAGCAACTTAAGCTATTGAACCAGAATGCTTATTACCAATGTTAAAAGGAGCTAAACATGTAATCTTAGTTGGAGATCATAGATAATTGGGTCCTGTTGTTTAAAGTAGAGAAGCAGCATCTGTAGGTTTGGATAGAAGTTTATTTGAAAGATTAGTATAATTGGGAATAAGACCTGTTAGATTGTAAGTTTAATATCGTATGCATCCTGAATTAACAGTCTTTCCATCTAATACATTCTATGAAGGTACATTATAGAATGGAGTTACTATAAGTGATAGAACTCATTCTGGTAATTTCCCTTGGCCAAATAAATAAAAGCCTATGATATTCATTAATGTATCAGGCTAAGAATAATTATCTGCTTCAGGCACTTCATATCTTAATACTTAAGAAGCAGTTACTGTTGAACAAGCAGTTTATTATCTTTATTAAAATACTGTTAAATTAAATAAAATAGGAATCATAACTCCATACAAAGGATAACGTACATATATAACTTCTTATCTATAAAAGAATGGACAATTACCTTATAATCAATATAGAGACATAGAAGTTGCTTCAGTTGATGGTTTCTAAGGTAGAGAGAAGGATTTCATTATTATTTCTTGTGTTCGTTCAAATGATACATAAGGTATAGGTTTTTTGACAAATCCAAGGAGATTGAATGTTACAATAACTAGAGCCAGATTTGGATTGATAATCATTGGAAATGCAAGAGTATTATGCAAAGTATATTATATATTATATATAATAGGATAATCTATGGAACAATATGTTAAATCATTTTAAAGATTTGGATTTATTGATGGAGGGTTCATTACCTAATTTAAAATCAAGTCATATGAAATTTAGACCACCATAAAAGTTTATTCCAGAAAGACGTAATAATACAATGAATGGAATCAATGATGAAAAGAGTGTTTATTCTTATGCATAAACAGGTAAATATTTTATATATATATATACTATTATAGACAATCTTAATCAATTTGATCATGATTTGGGAGATTTTCCATTGACAAAGGGAGTTAGGAATAGTGAATTTGGTTTCAATTTTATACCAGATACTTAGGCATTTATCAAAATAGCTGATTAAAATGAAATTAGAAGAAATTAAGATTTACAAGATATTGATAAATCGAATATTATTAATATTGGACAATTACCTTAATCAATTATGTAGATTGGAACATTCTAAAATGATTTATAATTAGATTTTTGATCTATGGTCTATTGGGTGCAAAAGGTTAGAAAGAAATTATATAATATATATCATATCATATTAAATAGTCATTATTGTTATTCTATTTTTTTAGTTCCTCTAGAACTTAGTTTAAGACTTATATAGGGAACAAATTTAAATTAAGCTTTGAATTATTTCTCTAGAAAATGTTAATCTGGGTAATTGGATGCGTCATATACTAAATATTGATTCTTTGGCAATTCTTATTATAGTATTGTTATTTTAATTTATTCTTCTTCTGATTAAATTTATTTCTATTCATTTTTCTTCTTTATAGATTATTCATGCAATTGATTAGATTCAATTTCCATTATCTTTTCAAAAATTTTAGAGAATTCTTCATAAAGAGGTAAGGATCTTTCTTCTAATTTAATTACGGCTGGTCTCTTTGTTTGTAATTGTATTTCATTAACAATTATACCTCCTAATCCATCTATATAATTCATATCCAATATCAAAATTTCAAATCTGAATTCTTTCTTAACTCTCAAGAAATCAATCTAATTCAATACTACTAATGCTCCCTTATATTTTGATTGAAATTACTCTCAACATTTTTAATTCATTTTTCACATTCTTATTAATTTTATCACAACATTATTGTAATACAAACTTGTATATTTTGGCAGGGAATATACATTTTGAATCTGAAATTAACAATTCAAAAATATCATCAGCTGTTTATCTGATGTTGAAGATTTGACATATAATACTTTATTATCTAGTTGAAATGTTTTTTTTTTCAAACTATTATTAATACCATTCTTGAAAGAGCTATGAAATAATTTAAGGCATTTTAGAATTTGCGAGGGTTTTATTCATTAATATAAATAATATCATTTTTTAAAGACTTTGATTTTTTTTTAAGAAATAATTTAGCTTTTCAATTCCATCATTGCCTTTCTAGGAGAACTCAATAAATAAACAGAATATTTATTTTACTCTCTTTTAGAATTTAAAGATGGCAATTTAAGTTGTTTAGATTATTTTGGAGAATTCATTATTCTTATTGTAGTACAAGATTAAACAAATTACTGAACTGTTTTATTTATATTTGGATGCATCCTTCCATCAGTAATCTTTCTATTATGCATAGAATTATTTTTTGTTTTTATTTTAGGAGTTGTCAATTATAATTACTTATCTTATAAGAGTTTTTAAGTTTATTCTTCATCTGAACTTGTTTTGGATTCATTAATTAGGTTATTATAACTATTAAGCAAGAAACTTGGAGATTTTGTGAAATTGATAAATGATATCAAGGCATTTTCATAAGTTTATGAATTCAATGAATTTTCTAAAAAGCCTTTAGATAACTTAAGCTCATTATTATAGAAAAACTCATATTTTATTTGCTGATCATCCTTTGTTAATAGTCTCTTGCCTTTTCTCATTGTTTGCTGTAATTCTTTTGTTATAGAAATTGTCTTAGCCTTTCTTAACTTAGGTATATTCTAAAGTATGATTGTGTTGTTTTCTGATTATCCAACATTTAAACTTGTAGAAGTAAGGTAAGTACCTTTTTTCCTTTAAATTCTCCGTTTCCTTTTCTTACAATGATGAGCTCTTATATAAGTTTAAGGATGTTGAGCATTTTATCTTTCTTAAAAAGGTCCAACTCCTCCACATTCAGAACATCTGCAACTCTATCTTCTAAAAGGTTTATTGTTAGTTGATTTGCCAATAGAAGGAGAAAGAAAACTACGTTTCTTATTTACTAACTATAGTAATTCCTATCTACGAGATCTATTCATATATAATAAAAATATAAATTTATATTCAATCTATTATACTACAATTATAAATGTAAAAAAAAGATCATATCAAATATTTTTAATAAATTCATGAAAAGATATAATATAACATATATATATATATATATAAATTCAATCCCATAATCTTATTTTCATATCTTCTATCTTAGTGATTATTGAATCATAATTATTTGAATATCTAAAAGATTGATTATATTAATTTTTTGATTCTGAGATGGTTATTTCATCTGATTCAAATTAAAAGAAGGGAATATCAATAAATTATCTAAAGTGTGGATTCTCACAAACTTATGGATTCTTTATCAATTCATTAAGATATTAGAGAAGTAATACACTTCTTTAGTTTGGATTAACATATTATGATAAAGCACTTTATTTTTATGGTAATAATGGCAAGAATTAAACTCTATATAAAATTAATATAATTTACCTCTATTTTAAAATGCTATGTAATTCATCAAATTAAGAATATCTTTTAGATATAATGTGAAATGAATTAAAGAAATTATTGTTTATAATTTAAAATTGATATTTAAAATATTTATCTCCATTTTAATCTAAAATATCTTCATATTATAAAAATTTAACAATAGATTAAGAAACTAATTCTATATCTTTTTAGATACGATAATATTATTTCTATAAAAAGGTTTCTTAATTTATAGACAAACCAACGAATTTGAATAATGTTAAACAATTATGATTGTTTCTATCATTCAATAATACTTTTAAATAAATTTCTAAATCTTTTTATCGTTCTTCTATATCTAATTCAGTTAATTTTCCAATACTCTTTTATGGGAATAAAGATGAATACTTGATACCTTATTATTTTAATTATTCATTCAATTCATGAAACTCACTAAATCTTTTCTATGAAATTAGATTTTATTTATTTATTTTGATTACTATAAAATATTAGATATAAGAATCCCCATGTAATTTAATTTTTTGATGCTCTTTGATTTATACATCCATGTAAGGGATATAGGGTAAATGTAATTCCCATTTCTTATAAGAGAGATGGATTTATTATTTTTTAACCAAAGATGATTTATGAATTTATGGGTTTTATAATTTTAAATCATTTAACAATTCTCTTTCTTATTGTGGAAATTCAATGAAATCCAAAAATGTATTTGATATTAAATCAACTTTACTTATTAATATATTAAAGTATTTTTGGATATTGTTAATTAATTACAAATCTGTATTATCTGAAATTTATTTAATTAAATAATCTAATTAAATTAAGTCATTATTATGTAATTCAAAATATACTTAACATTCAATTATTAATTTTTAATGCATTTCAAATAATTATGAGACTCTCTTCTTTAATTTCATGCTTTTTTCTTTATCAATCAAATGACTATATTAATATATACTTATTTACATATTCAATTTAATCTCAATATCATTGTCAACAATATTCCAAATCTTTTAGAGTTCCACTTAAAATAATTGTGTTTAAAAATCTTAAAATTATAATATAATCATACTATTTAAAGTTGAAATCCTCAGTTTCTAATCTAATGAAGATATATCGATATCTGGTAATTCACTATTAAAAAATCCTATATCTTCAAATTCTACTAAGTCTTGTTTTCTAATAAATAGTGTATATATTAAAAGAATAGATATTAAGATTATTCTACCTAAGATAAGATAGAGTGTGTTAGTTAAATAACCTTATTAATTTATGATCATAATGGCTATTATAAAAAGTACTATCCAATTAGCAATCCAATATAATTTATGTGCAAAAAATAAAGGGACTCGTTTCTTATACTCAAAGATCTAAATTTCATTGTTTTTGTACCATAAGGAATATTTAGAGAAATAAGGTAATGATATTAATTAAAAGTATCATTAAAATGTAATGGTGATATTATTCACAATCCTTACATAGAAAAATCAATGTACATTAAGTACATTAAATGCCTAGACTAATTATTAATATGTGATTGTATACCTATATCACAAATCAATAATAACACTCTAAACTTGAGTGAACAATTTAATTTAATTTCATTAGCAACAATATCTGATTTTAAGTAGCAGTAACGATGAAGCATCATTATAAGATATATTATCGAAATAGTCGATGGAATAATAAATGCAGATGCAAATAACTACATAATAAAAATAATTTAATATGAATATAATTGAATACATCAAGTTATGTTTAGAAAAACAAAATAAAAAAGTTGAAGCTGATTTAATTCACTTTAATAAAAAGATCAATGATGCAGCAACTCATAAGTTATTCGAAAAATTAAGCAATGGTGTAATTACATTGCCATTTCTCGATTAATAATAAAAGAATGAAATGTAAAGAGAACTAAAGAAATTATAAAAGATAATGGATGATATCTCTTCTAAATAATGTGCATTCAATATTCATATCAATAAATATGCTGATACTCAATGTAAGAAGACATTTACTTCAGCCTTAGAATTATAACATGCAGGTTAATAATTATTATTGAGTACTTTTTGTAATCACAAAACTCAACAATAAACCTTTCTTACAAAATATTAAACATTAATATCATATATTCCTTTTTGGGAACATGCTTAACAATTAGAATCCAAATATAATAAAATCGATATAGATTATAATCATATTTAATCTATGTTGGATAATCTGCAATTAAATTAAGCTAATATGAAAAAAGAATAAGAAAAAACCACTAAAATTTATAAAGTTGCTTCAATTTAAACTAATCCAAATTAATTTGAGGTAATATATAAAGAGAAGGAAATTATTAAAGAAATTTATAAAGATAATCCATAACAACAGTTACAAATTGAAGAATTGAAAAAATAGATTATTAAATTATAAGAAGAGATTACTAATTTAAAGTCTTAAACTTTATTGTTATAAGCTCATGAATTGACTTATGGTCTAAATCGCATGTAGGATATATAAGCAGGAATTCAAATGTATACTTAAATTGATAATGTGGATTCCAGAAATTCATTAGCTTAAGTATATTAATAAGGTAAATTGGTTGCCTAAAATATCAAATTAGCTAGATAAATCTATAAATAAAATCTGAAATTTAATAATCTATAAGCAATGTTTTAATATGGCAAAATATAATTAATTAACAAATAAAAAATCTAAAAAGCAACCCAATACATTAAATAAGCAGCTGATCAAGGACACATTGAAGCATGTTTAGACTTGGCAATTTTATATTATTAAGGAATTTAATAAAATAATGAATATATATTTCAAAAGAATACTTAATTAGCTAAATAATATGCTACTAAAGGATAACATACTAGTAGAGGATTGTGTGATTTAGGTATTATTGAAACAGACAGTTTAAAAAGTTAACATTACTTAAATGAGGCTATTAAAAAAGAATATACTCCTGCTTATTATTATCTTGGATTACACTATTTAGAAGATCATTAAAAAGAAAATGGATTATCTTTATTATTATAAGGAGCATTAAAACAAGAACTAAAATGTGTAGAAGAACTATATCAATATTTATATGAAGATTCTTTGCATTCTAATTCCTTAAATAAGTTTTAGGATTATTTGCAACTTCTTGCTGTTACAAAATAAAGTAGTGAAGCCTATTATTATTTGGCTATATGTAACAATAATAATCTATAACTTTAACAGACTTATTATCAATTAGGTTCAAAGTTAAATAATCAAAAATGTATTAATAAATTATAAGATATTAATAAGGATATTTAAATTTACTCGTAGATTATTGAAAATGGGTAAAATTAAGCACTCTTTCAATTAGGATAACATTATGAATAATAAGGTAAATATCTTAATGCCATTGATTATTATAAGCAATCTAAATCAAAATAGTCTTACAATCGTATTAGTGAGATATATAAAACACAAATAAAAAATGATGATTTAGCAAAAGAATACGAATAGCTTGCATTTGTAAGTCCTCGTTTTGATACTGACAATGAAATAGCATAATCGTTGATAATTACATAGAGTAAATTTTGATTATTATACAAATATAGATTAAATTATAAATTATTATATATATAATCTTAAATATTAATAAAATTCTAATTTTTTTAATTAATAAATTATAAAATAATACTTAAATAATAGATGAGTAAAATATTATTTAAAAATTTGTATATATATATTTAATTTCAAAACCATTTATTAAACCATTATTTTAATCTTAGGAAGAATGTAATAAATAAATTTTTCTTAATAGATGATGGTTATTATTGTGATTGCTGTTAAGAATCATTTTTTTTTTGTTATTTTTTCTTATTTTTAAAATTGTCTTCTTAATTGTCAATTAATTTAGAAAAGTCCTCCATATCTTTACCAATCTAATATTAAAATTAGAATATTACTTATTCTTTTAAATCCCACCAAATTTAGAATTTATCATTTTTATTTTTACTCAAATGTAACCACAATTAGGATTCTACTTTAGTTATATTTAAAACCATAGTTCCAACACTTTCAACTTACCATTCTATATTCTAATGTATTTTATTAAGGAGTGGAATTTCTAAATAGAATTTTGTTAAGATGTTATTTTAATCTGATTCAGCAGAAATTGATAATTTTTCATTGATATATTTAATTTCATGATTCTTAACACTAATGTAAGCAGGAGCATCAATTCTATGTGCAAATTTCACTTTAATCAATATATTAGCTCTTGATTATGCCCATAGTATTATTGGTTTAATTAATACATGATTATCATGATTAGTAAATCTCTTTTTTAGTTATTCTAATTGTAATAAATCATTTTAAATAGATTGTTTTGCACATTATAAATGTGATTCCAATATAATTTATTCTTCTGTTATCAAATCAAGAATTTACTATCCAAATCCTCTGGTTATAAGTAATTCTATAGTTTAACAATCTAATTAATTTTCATCTATCATTTAAACTAATTATTCTTTAATACCATCACCATTTAATGATAATTGTGCTATTTATGATTATATTATAGTGAATAGAGTAAAAATAATCATTAAACAAAATAAAAATTACAATATTTTCTTATATTCAAACTAATCCTTTTAATGTAGCTGCTGTATTCTTTCTTTAATGAAATTAGTGTTTTTAAGTAAGATATTCAGATTAAATACTCTTGGTTACTGGTCTAGGTGTTTTACAAAAAGATGATTAAATGATTGTCTCAATAGGATTTCTAGAAGTCAAATGATTTAAATAAGGAGAATGTTAAATGGCACAAGGACTATGTTCAGTTTAATGGGATATCTTTAATTATGTTGAATATCTTGGAGACTTCTGTTCTTCTGCTTTTTGAAATCTTAAAGGCTAAATATTACAATAAGAGCTCTAATTAAATTTATGTATCTTCGGTAATGTTATTTACGAATCTAAATGACTAATACATATGATTACCTTTATCATGTAATTTTTATTACAAATATACTCTTACTGATTATCTTTATTTATGTCTTTAATCAATAATTTTAGCCTAAATAGATTGCGAATGTATATTCACTTGATGTTTCTCATCATGTACATTAACTTAATGTTATAGTTATTGTGGAGGTAAGAGTGGAGACCCATCAATAAATACTTTAGTTTTGTATCTAAACATCTTCTTCTGTTTATCTAACAATCTTTATTTTCTTCGCTTATGTATCAAATAGAGAATGCAATAAACTGCATTTTAGAATCTTATGTGCAATCTCTGCTATTTAACTATTGACATTTGTGTTCGAAATAAACAGAATTTCTTTTGAAGACTTTTCATTTTCTTATTAGGTTTACTGCAATCGAAGCAGCAACAGCTTTTATTATCTTCAATCAAAGTCTCTTGTGAATACTCTGAACTACCCATATGTTTAATTAATACCTTTCTGAAGTTACAAAATCTAAGTTTTTTTAAGACATGGCCCTAGTGTGTAAATTCAAAGGATGAATAGCTTTTGAGTATGTCTTTTTTGGTGACTTCTTTCTTGTTTGTTATTTATTAGTTATCAGGATTCCAGTTCTTTAACGATGATAGGATTGTGGTTTTCTACGATAATCCATTCTTGCTTTGATTTTTCTTACTAAATTTATATATATTTTATATATATAAATATATATGTCTCATATGTATGTATAATTAATTTGAATTCTATAAGGGAGACTTCATAATATAAATGTTATTAAGGTAAAATCATTTGTTTCTTATTAATTAAAATTATAATATCATCAATGGGCATGTGTACATCGCAGCAACCGAAAAAACCTAAACCTCTTATTAGACTCATTAAAATTAAAATGGAGACTTGTCATAAATCAAAGGACATCGAAGAAGCCATTCAAATATGGAACAAAATCAATCGAGTTATTTAATAATTGAAATCTACATCTAAAATTCCTGATGATTTAAGAGAAGATGCAAACAAAATCAATAAATTCCTTAAATCCCATCGAAACCCAAAGTTTCTTGAAACTTTCTTTTCCTACTATGACTAATTTCAATATAAACTAAATGAACAAATCAATTAAAATTAAGAATTATGGATTCAATTCGAAAGTATCTTCAGCAACTTAGACTTGCTGAATGACAAATTCACTGAGTTAGGATATAAATCTCATCTCGGATGTACTTAATCCTTAACTAAATATAATTGATCTATTTATTTATATATATATATATATATGATAATTATTAATAATCATAATAAATGACTTTCTTTGTTATCAGAATGGATTAAGTATTTTCTAAATGATTTGAATCAATTAATTAATATTTGTGAATGAATAAATACAAAAACTTGGCAATTTAATTATTAAAATTGTTAAAATAAAATAAAGGTCTTTGTAGAATCAATAATTTATAATGTCACATATTAAAAGTAATAATTCATAAAACAACAAAAGTAAATGTTAATCTTAATTGAAAAAAATATTTCTAAGATTTAATAAATTTTATTATATTAATTAAAATTAGATAATCTTATATAGTAAATAATATTCATATATATTTTTAAATCATCCTTAAGATAATCCTTTATGGTGAAAATGTAACCCATTACCATTTGATCCACTAAATACATTCTTGACACCAAATGTTTATAGAGTCAATTTCACTTATTCAATTTTATCTGATTTAATTTCAAGAGCTGATTTATGATGACCACTCATTCCTTGATTCCAAATATTCTCAACATTCTTTTACTTCTAATATCTTCTGAAGAATTCATCATTATTAGTTTATTTCAATAAACTTCCAACACTTCCTTGTTTAAAAAAACTTTTTGGATGATTATTATTACTATTATTATTATTATTATTATTATTATTATTATTATTATTATTATTATTATTATTATTATTATTTATCTATTTAGCACTCCCATTCACATAAAATTAACTCACTAAAGGACTTTCAGAGTCTCTCTTTAAATCCTTCTAACCAGAAGACATTCTATCCAAAAAAGATGGTTTTGCACTATGCAAAGATCCTTTACTAGCAGATGTAACTGATCCTCTAGGATTTGAATGAAAAGATGATCCATTTCTTGTTCCTTAATGAGAATTAAGATTCTATTTGTATTCATAATCTTATAATTGTTTCATAAAACCTTTATATAATTTAAGTGATTAATACCTGAATTTGGTTCAACAATTGATCTTGCTCCTTTTACTTTCTTGAGTGCTTCTTTAAGAGAGTAACCTAGATGTTTAATCATATATGCTATAACAATTGAAGCTGATCTAGAAATGCCTGCATAACAATGTACAAACACATTTGTATTCTTAATGTGATCTCGTATAAAGTTAGAGCATTCATCAAAGTAACGATGCAAATCAAAATTCTCAGCATCTTCAGCCATTATCCACTATGTATAATATGATTTTTATACTAATCTAGTCATAGATGGATCAACTTTGATTTCACTTGTATCAATTACAGCTACAATAGCATTGATAGAATGTTCTCTTAAATATTTAATATCATTAGCTGCATTGATATTTCCTAAATACAGTTATCCATAACGTGAATTTTTGTAAAGATCCACAATCAGATTCATGGGACTACCTATAATGTTAATATTGTAGATTCATACGATTGCTGTATGTGTTGCCAACACTCTGATTGAAGTTTAGTTGTGTACAAGTAAGGCTCAAATCTAACCACTTAGACATTCGTTAAATTAACAAACAACAAATTAATGAATTTATTTATTTTGCATCAAATGCTTATAAATATGAAATGTTATCCTGAAGAAAAGATAATTTTTATATTATTTAATTTAATATTTCATTTTATTTCTTAAACAATTCGTATTCATTTTCCAATACTATACTAATTCTGTATTGATTTTATATCAATATTTAATTCTGCATCATTCAAATAAATAACAATTGATTATATTCTTATTTCATTCTCTCATAAGATTGCTTAAATGCAGAATTCTTTTTGAATTCGATCCAAATATGAATCTATGAACAACATGAATAATTATTAAGATTTTCTCAAAAATAACTTTTTTGAGCAATACCTTTATTAATTATAATATTAATTATTAAATATATGTTATTTATAAAAAGGTTTTACAGAATTGAGTATCAAATAAAAGTATTGAAAAATAAAGTGAATAAAATATATTTTAATATTTAATTTAATGTTTAATATAATATTATTTGTCATCATAATTGATGTCATAATAGCTTTGAATCGAGATGTGAATACTTTTAGTAATTATCATGAGATATAGATCCAAAAACTCCATATTGAATGGTTATTGGATTTAAATTAAAAGATAATCAATGGTACAGCAGAATATAATTTCAATGTCATCAAAAACAACATCAAAGAAATCCATCTTGATATCTATCAACTTAATATTATCATTGTTTATGATTATGCTACTGGAACAGTTTTTCAACATGTAATTGAAAACATGGGAGAACAATCTTTGAAATAAGGTGATAGATTGAAAATCTACCTTCCAAAGTCTTATAATAATGGAGATCAAGTTAAATTAAGAATCAAATATGGAGTAACTGATAAAGCTAGAGCTTTAAGCTTCATGACTAAAGAATAAACTGAATCAAAAGGTAAGAATTCTATATAACTTAGTCTTGCCATATTTATATTCTTATTGTTAAGACAACAATTGCAGATCCATGATTCCATTGTAAGATACTCCCAGTATAAAACAGTATTTCAGTGCTTTGGTTTTGGTGAAAGATCCAAGAATTAAAGTTTACATGACAGGAAATCTTTTAGAGGGATAACCATTCAAAAGAATGAATACATACTCTGAATCCTTAACAGAATATCATATTTCATTAGATATCAAAATTCCAAGTTACCTCTTAGCAATTGTGGCTGGAAATTTGGAATAAAGAAAAGTAGGTAATTAATAAACTAGTCGTTCATATGTTATAACAGAACCAACAAGTATAGATAGAGTTGCTTAGGAATTAGAATTCTTACAAGAATATGTGGATGCTCTATCCAATTATATTGGACCATATGCATGGGGAGATTATAAAATAGTTATATTACCACCTTCATTTCCTCTTGGAGGAATGGAACATCCTCTACTCACATTTGCCAGTCCAACCATTATTGTTGGAGACAAATCAGGAGTAGGTACAGCAATTCATGAAATTGCTCATTCTTGGGTTGGTAACACAGTTACATGTTCAGATTGGGCTAATATGTGGATTAATGAGGGTTTCTGTACATTTTTAGAAAGAAAGATCCTTGAATAATATAATGGAGAAGATTATTCAAAAATGTATTCATTTTTAGCCAATGATACTATGTTTTAATAGATGGCAAGATATGGTATGGATCATTCATATTCATCATTGCATCCAAATACTACAGGAGAGAATCCAGATGATAGTTAATCTGTAATTGAATTATTATATATTGTAGGAAGTTCCATATAATAAAGGATATTAATTATTAGTATATATAGAATAATTAATTGGAAAAGATAATTTCTAAAAAATGTTATAATAGTATATCATTTAATTTAAATGGTAATCTATTGATGAGGATATCTTTTATCGATATCTATTATCCTGGATTTCCACAAATTTAGGCAAAGATCATGCATCAATTAAAGAAATTAAAACTATCTACAAAGAGTGGGTATATGTACCAGGTAAGCCTCCAAGATAATTGGATTTCCACACAGATGCTTATGATAAAGCAATGGCTCTAGCTAAAGCATGGTTAGATAATAAAGGGGATAAAGTTCCAGATAATGCTGAAGAATATAGAAACTATATTTATTATCAAAAGTAATAGTTCTTAAATGAGATTGCTTCAAAAGTAAGTTTATTAAATTATAATAGTATGCTGATATGACAGATAAAAATTACAAATTGATTGATTAGACCTATTAATTATCAGATCAAAAAGATTCTAGACTTTTATATAGATGGTTAATAGGTTGTCTTAGAGGAAAGTTCTATGATAGAATGGAGGTAATTAAAAATTTTATGGGAACTCATGGAGCAAGATCTTGGTTAGTAAATATGTATGAAACTTTGTTCAAAGATAAACCAGAAGTAGCTAGAGAATGGTTTGCTGAATTTAGAGATTTCTATCATCCTTCTGTAGTAGATGCTCTTGAAAATGGAATATTTAAAAATAGTATAAGAAAGATAGTATAATGAAATTTATTAAATAATAGAATAATTATAATATATTTATTAAATGATTAGAGAGAGATAATTTGAAGTAATTAAAACATAATAAGTAAATTAACACTTATTATGTGCAATTTGCAGAGAAGTATTTTATAATCCAATAAGGGCCACTTGTGGGTATCATTCTTCTTTCATATGTAGGCATACATTTTGTGGGACTTGTTTGGTTCGTTGGATTCAAATGAAAAAAAGTTGTCCTTTATGTCGACATAGACTTGAACGAAACTATTAATTTGATAAAGATATTCTAGCAACTAAAATTGTTGGAGATATTGAAGTCAAATGTTTAAGATGTCAATTATGGGAGGGAACCTTGGCTTAATTTAAATAACACAAAAAATCGTAATGTACTTACATATCAACTAATAATGAAATACATCAAGATGCAATTGAAATTGGAGATGATGATGAAGAATTTACATTTACAAGTCTTGTAGAAGAAAACGATCCATAAATTCGATAATAAATCATTGAAAATATTGGGCAATAAATTTTGGTTTAGATTGATCAATCATAAAATCCAGAGTAACAACAATTACCCTAATAAAACCAGGATCTAAATATAAATCATTAAGATCCTCCTTAAGAAACTAATATAAATAATAATCTCATTTCTAATCATTTACAAAATGCAAATAATAATGAAGAATTAAATATTGAGCTCTCTCAAAAGAATGCAGATAAAATTGATACTAATAAGTCTCCTAATGATGAGAATTAGATTAATAATACATCCCTTTAAGATGACTTAATTAATTAAAACAATTTAATTCAATAAGTTGAGTAATAAATTAACTAGATTAATGAACTCAATAATCAATAATAAGAATAACCTTAAATTCCAGACTCTAATTCAAATGAGATTGAGGTTAAAAATTAAGTTAATAATAAAAATCATTCTATTAATAATGATGTAATTGAAAAATAAAAGAACATAGAATCAATAAGAGTAGATAATATACAAAATCAAATATAAAATGATATAAAGGATGATTAATCAAATTAAAATAAAGAAACTAATCAATCTTTGATTGAATAATTTAAAATAAATGATCCTGATGTTGAGATTATAAATCCGACTATAAAATACATAAATAATAAGGATCTTAAAAACATTAAAGCCACTAATAAATTCAAAATAAATATACTTTAAAATAATGTTAAAATTGCAGAACCTATGATGGAAGAAATAAATGATAATTTATTTTTTGAATTTGTTGATCATATGAAAAAAGAAATGGTTAAAAAATTAAGTGACATCTAATACTATAATACTTTGCTTGGATGATATAATTATAATTCATTTTATTATTAATGTTGTTTGTACCAAAAATTATTCAATAAAAACTCTAATTCCTTTTAAAATTCTGTTTAAATTAATTAAATGAAGAAATATTTCAATTAATTCAATATAAGGTTGTAACAGTTAGGATTAATGCTTAGAGATGTAGAGGCTGATGGAAATTGTCTCTTTAGAGCCATTGCTGATTAACTAACTGGAAATGAAGAAAATTATAATAAGTATCGCTCTATGGCAATCCGATCACTCTAGAAAAATCGAAAATTTTTTTCTGATTTTCTTCCAGAAGATTTCACATTTAATGAATATACTAAACGAATGTCTGAAGATGGAATATGGGGTGGACATTTAGAACTATAAGCCTTGAGTAATTCTTTACAAATCGATATTGTTGTCCATACCTTGGAAAATTATTACATCATAAAACATATTCCAACAAAGACTTGTTGGTCGTCTTTTAAAGAAAAAATTCATCTCTATTTTAACAAGAAGCAAGTTCCCATTCAAAAATAAATACATATCGCTTTTCACTCAGGGAAAAAAATAATTAATCATTATTAATCAGTTAGATTAATTGATGATAATACAAATAAACCTGCCAAATAACCATAAATTTATTGTGAATTATCTGAATAATCAACAACTGATGAATCCTATTGAAAGTTTTGTTTTTTTGGAATTGTGATTTATGTTGTAATTTAAATTCAATATTTGTTTATATTGTAAATCATTCACATTAATTTTTAATTATTTTATAAATAACAAAGTAATATCAATTATGTTAAATCTTTTTATTAATACAAATGTTAAATTGCTATATATATTTTATGATATTCAAAAGTTTATTTTTCATTCATACCTTTTAGCAGTCTAATGAGTCTAAATATGTGAATGTATACTATTCCTCCAATATATCGAGCTGTCAACTCAAAGAGTAATTAAACTATACCCCTAAATATAAAATAACAATAGAGTATATAGTATATTATCAATGAATTATTGACTAATTTGAATTTTCAATTTTTAGTTATTAAGTAATTGACTATTAGAATTAATTTTAATCATGTATTTAAGAAGATTCATTAAATTAGATTTATAGACTAAAAGTCAATTTTTTACTATTAATTTTACATTAGATCTGTTATTAAGGATTTTGTAAAGATATTATTTGTTCGATCCCAAGTAATTAGTTTAACATTAAATATATCACATTTTGAACATTACACTATTTAAAAATTTATTGAAAATAATTATCAATATAGAGAGAATTATGTAAATAAAATTTATAATTATAATCTATATATTTATATTTAATAAATTAGAATATGTCATAATTTAACTCTTCACTTCTTAAATTAGTGTACACTTAAATTTAAGGTATAGAGAATATTTAAGTGTAGATCTTGATTAACATATTTAAAAATAAGAGAGAATAATTAGTGATTAAGCAATTGAGATAAAGACTTTGACAAATAGAATCAATTAAAAGGATATTTTGAATTAACCAATATTTGATAATCCAATCGATTAATTATTAGCATATCCTAAATCCCTAAATAGCATAGGTTTATAGATTTAAGAAGAATTTTAGAAGTTAAAATAATAATTATAGGAAAAGGAATAAGAATTAAGTCAACTTAAATCAGGAACAGAAAGTCAGAGAGGATCCCATAAGCCCAATACTTCATAAGTTGATGAAATTATAAAATAACATGAGGAGATTGATGAGATTTTGATAGAACTAGAGAAAAAGTTATTTGATAAAAAAAAATAGAAATAAGAATTAGAATAGATTATGGATTCTTATGAGGAAGATGAAAAATTTTTAAAATAAATAAAATCATAGATGTCTGTATTGAATGAGTAATTAGTAGTTGAAAAAGCTTATAATTAAGAAGTAAGAGTTTAATTAAAGAAATTATAATAAGAGACATAAAGTTTGAATGATTAATTGGAAAAGAAATTAGCAGAAAAATAAGAATTTGAAGATTAAGTGATTAAAACAAAAAGTTAATTAGAATATTTAAAATCTTAAAATATTATGTTAGGAATAGAAACTTCTTCAAAAAGTGAGACTTAAAAATTAATGGCAATAGATGACTTAGTAAAATAGAATTAAGCTGTAGATGATTTAATGCATGAATTATAAATAAAATTACTTGAGAAATAATAAGCTCACAATCTAATGTAAGATTAAATAAATAAGAAGGATCTGTAAGAAAAGGAAGAAAACTCTTCTACATCACTTAATCCTGTTTCTTAGTTTCAAAAAAAAGAATTAATATAATAATTAGAATTAGAATAACATTTATGTGATATAGTATAATAATAATTGAAATTAAAATAAATTGAGATTTAAGATTTAAAGGTTAAATTAAGCAAGGAGGAATAGGAAGTATTAAAATTATAAAACTAACTACAAGAGGAAATAGAAGTCAAAGTTTCAGTTGAATAACAAATTAAAAATGTTTAATCAAAATAAATATTAATTTAACCAACAGTAACTTCTTATATTCAGGAATTACCTATAATTAATGTTTTTGGTCCATAAATAGAATCTATTTCTCAAGATAATTAGTTTTAGATTGATTAATTGTAAGAGATAATAAAATAATAAGAATCATAGATTGAATTTTTGAAATTTGAAATTCAATAGAAGGATGAAATAATGAATATGTCTCAACATATTTAATTATAAGATTTGAATCAATAGAATTAAGACGTTGAGAATAGGATATAAGAATTAAAGAAATAATTGAGTTATAAAATAAAAAGAAGAGATTAATTGGAATCTATAGTGATTGAGGATTAGAAACCTAAGAGGAAATCTTTTGTTTAAAATACAGAATTAATGGATATGTAAGAATAATTACATGAAAAGAATATGAATATTGTGTAATTATATGAATAAATATCAAAATTGTAAAAATAATTATACGAAAAGGAATAAGAATAATAATTAAGAGATGTTGAATTAAGATATTAAGCATTAATGAAAACAAATGAGGATTAATGTGAGAAAGCAGATGAATTGGTTAAAAAGAATTTAGCAATGGATGAGTTGATATAATCATTAGAAGTAAGGTTGGTAGAAAAAGAATCTAAATTAAAGGAATTAGAATATTTGAATTCATCTAAAAATTTTGAAATTGAATCTAATTAAAATAATAATTCATTTTATAAAGATAGAGAAAGTATTATTAGAGATAGTGTAATTAATTCATATGATTAAGAACAGGATCATTAATTTGTTTAATAATAATAAATTTTATCTGGTTTCAATAATAATTTGGATTAATTAAAAAGTAAAATAGAATGTTAGAAATATGAATTATAAGAAAAGGATAAGATTATTGATTAACTTAAACAATAATTAAATGATTTAAAAAGAAGTCATTTCAATTAATAGATTTTGGCAACCTAGGATGTGTCTCTTATTAATAGATAAATTAATGTATTATAGGAATAGGCAGATAATTTAGTTAAATAGAATTTAGCTTTAGAAGAAGTTGTTCATGAATTAGAGTTTAAAATGTAAGAGAAGAAGAACAAATAAGAAGAAGTCTAAAAACTTATTTAGAATATGATAGATGAAGAAGTTCAATTGAGATAAATGAAATCTGATGAGATGGTTAAAAAGAATCTTGAATTAGATGAGAAAATCTACTAAATGGAATCAAGATTGATTCAAAAATAATAATAATAATATGAATTAGAATAACGATTATCATAACATTAAAGGTCTATGCCTTAGCCTTTGTAAGTGTTTCATGAAGATCATGATATAAAATAAGATCAAAATTCTAATTTATCTGAATTGACCATTTAAATTGCTTAAATAACAGAGTCTGTCAGATAATTAAGTTAAGATGATATTGAATTGGAATTCTTATTAAAATAAAAAAAAGAAAAGCAATCATAAATAGAATAATTAAAATTATTTATCTAATCTTCAACTGATATATTATAAGATTTGCAAATTGAATAATAAATCAAATATCAATAAGTTGAAAAAATTAAATCTCAAAATAAAGATATTGAATAAATGGTTAATGATTTATAGAACTAACAAACTAATTTAATTGAAGATGTAAGTAAATCCTATTAAAATGTTCCTAATTGGTTGAGTTAGAATATGGAATCATCAAAAAGTTTAAATGAACTCTAAAAAAGCTAACAAAAAGTGAAAGGATAAATTAAAAATTTAGAATCATTAATTTTAGATTTATAAATGGTTGTTAAGGAGAAACAATAAGAATTATAGAGAGTATCATAGGAGAATTATTAATTATCAATTCTGACAAGAAAATAGAAATAGAAGAGAGATCATTTGTTAAGAGAATAAATGCCATTGGGAGAAAAGGTAGGTTTACTTGAATAATAAGTTAATGATTTAATAGCAGATATTAAAAGATTAGAAACTTAATTAGGTAGGTTGTTTTAAGAGGCTGAATCTGCTAAATAAGTAAAGTAAACAAAGGAATAATAAATATCAGCTTTGAGTATTGAGAGTTAGTAATTAGATTAAAATATTATATCATTAAAAGATGATATTGAATAAGCAAAGAAATTAGAATAGGAACTGTTGGATTAATAGAATTAGTATAAACAAAAGAATGCTTTGATAGAATAAGAAATTAAAATCTACACAGAAATGAATATGGATAGTGCATATATTAATAGAAGAATTGAAGATATAACTAATTAAATTTAAGAGGAAAAGTAATTACTTGAACAATTGATTGAAGAATTACAAATTCAAAAGGAGTAGGTCTTATTGATTGAACCTTAGAAGGAAGAAATACAAAGGTTATATTTATAAACCAAGTAATCATACGACTAAAGTGTAGAGGACTTATCTGAATTATAAAAATTATAATAAAAGGTGCAAGATTAAAACAATCAAGTGATTTAAGAAGTCAATTATCTTAAATTATATACAGAAAATCAAGAAAAATAATTAATTGAATTGTAGACTCTAAGGGTTAGGCTAGAAGATAGTATTAAGTAAGAAAATACATTAACAAATGCCATATAGGATAAAGCTGATAGGATTTAATAAGAATTAGATCGCAATAAATAAGCAATATAGGCATAAATATAGATTTTAGAGATATAGAGCAGAGAAAAAGAGTAAAGATAAGATTAAATAAAGAAAATTTAAATAGAGATTGAAGATCAGAAGAATAATTTAAATAAATTGACAGATTAATAAATGAAACATCTATATTAATTAGATTAGATTGCAAAATTAGATAAGGATATGGAAAGATTGATGAAGGAAGTATATGAGAAGGAAGAGTAAGTTTAATAATATGCAGGATTAGTATATTAAAAATAATAAAAGATAACTGATTAAAAGTAGAAATTCAATTAATTGGAAGATGAATTTAAATTTTATGAAATTGAAGAGGAAGAAATAAAAAAGAGGATATCTGAATAAGATGATAAATTGAGTAAATTGGAAAGAGAATTTTAAATAAGATCTGAATAGAGAAATAAATTTGAGGATGATTTAGTAAAAGCTGAAATGGATATAAGTAATTTAGAGGAGATTTTAAAAAATAAGGATGAAGAATTAAGAAGTTATAAGGAATCAAAAGAAGAATTGATGAAAGTTAAAGAATAGTATTGTAATATTTAAGGAGAGATAAGAGAAAAGTAAGAGTAGATTTAAGAGTTTGAGAAATAAAGATCTAGATTATCAGAGGAAATTAAGAAGGAATAAGATCAATTAACAGAAATAAATGAAGATATATATAATATTAAGATAAAGGAGGAGGAGATGAATTTTTAAATAAAATAGAAATTAACAGATTTAGATTCATTAAATGAATAATTTAGAAAATTGGATGATGATACAAAAATGTTGGAGGCTGTGATTTAATTAAAAGAGAAAGAATTGAAATAATATTAAGAGAAGAAAGAAACACTTAAAAAGGATTTAGAAACAACAAATTTATAAGTAGTGGAAGTGAAGAAATTATTGAATAAAAAGAAGTAATAAAGGTCAATAATAGTAGATCCTAATGAAGTAGAATTAGATGAGGATGCATTAACATAATAAATAAGTTGTTTAAATTCAAAAAACCTTAATTTAAAGGATGATTTATAGAAATTAGTTTAATCTCAAAGTTAGCCAATATTCTAAATTATATAATAAAATGAAGGAACAAAAACTCAATTAGAAGAATTATAATTAACTATAAAGGAAAAAGATAAGAAATTAGATTTATTAGAGTAATAATTATCACAATTATCTATGCATCAATCAAAAATGACTATTTAACCTAGTTTTTATTTTGACGATGATCCATTATTGTTAGAATTATTAGATAAGTTTACTAAAGAAAGTGAAATGTTGAATGATTTATAATAGAAATTAAAGAGAACAGCTGAGAGACATCATGAATTAGCAGTAAAATTATAGGAATGGGCAGAAAAAGAACATAAATTGGCTATAGAATTAGATTAAAGAAGATAATGTGTTGAAAAAATAGAAAAAGAATTAGAAGTATTATTTTAAAAGTAATCTGATTTAGAAAATGATAAAGTTAATATTTTACAAAAGATGTATTAATTAGATTAAGATAATTAAGAATTAAGTGAATAAGAAATAGTTTCTAGAAATAGAATTAAAGAAAAGAAGGATTATGTTTAAGTTCTATTTAAGAATTTAATAGAAATGGATGAGAAAATGTTATAATTGAGAAATAGGATGGCTGTTTATTTAAGGGAAGGTAGATAATTGGCAGAATAAGTAGAGAATTTGGAGAATGAGAAAGAAATGAAATAAGAAAGTTTACAATAAATTTAAGAAGAATTAGAGAGTTTAGAATTAGAAAAAGGAGAAAAATAAAATATGATTTAATAAATAAAGAAGGAGATTTATGAATAAAATATAGATAAAGATAAATTGGAAATATCATATGCTTTAACACATAGTAAGAATTAATAATTAAAATTATTGATTGGAATTGAGGAATCATTATATAAGAAATTGTAAACTGAATTTGAAATTTAATAAAAAAGAGATTAAAGTAAATATGAAAATATGTTTGTTTGCATTAGTACATAAACTTATTATGAAATTGATTAAATTGAAGTATTGATGGATAATTTGGTTGAATAAAGAATAACAAAAAAAGAGTTATTTAAATTAAAATCAGAATGTTATACTGAAATATAACAATTATTTACTTAAAATAAATCTTATATTTAGGATAATGTAAATGTGAGAAATCTAATTTAATTTTAATAAATTCTAATCTAAGTTTTGGAGAGTGAAAATCTATTAATATCTGATAAAATACAATCAAATAAGTCTTTAAAAATACAATCTGAAGAACAAAATACATTTACATTAGAATTAGTATATATATATTAAATTTTATATAGATTGATTTAATGATGAATTCTACAACATTAATTGAAATTTAAATAAATGAACATAGTTTAAATATAGGAGATAAGAAAATACCTAGATAATGGATAATTGATAAAAATTTTGATTATAATCATTAGATTTATCCCTTTGGAATATTATATATTGTTTATAAGGTAATAATTCATTAATATATAGATATCACTATGTTAAGTGATAACTTTAGCATTAACTGGTACTAAAATAATCTAATTATATTCTTAAATTTGATTATTAAAATATATATATATATCATAATTATTGTTTCATAAATTTAATTTCTTCTGTTATTTATTAACTTTAATTTGATGAAGACATTGTTAATTGTGTGATGGATTTACCCTTTATAATATATATATAATAATACTTAAAATGCTCTTTTCGATTTCTTATTTTTTAATTATATTACATTTCCACTAAAACTTATATTTTCTATATCCTCATACAAAATAGACCATAGTTTTAAATGCTCATCCAAATCAAACAAAATTAAACTAGTGTCAGTCAAAATTAATCCAAAACTTTTCTTATCTCTTTCAATAGTAACCACTCTTAATAATCTATGATTCTCATATTTTCCTTTTTTAATTCCTTTAATTACTTCATAACATTCTGCTTCAACCCAATTATATTCTTTAAAATATCCATCACTTTCATAAAATGGTCTCATATATCTTATTCTATTATTATTAGGTTATTCATCAGATGATAATTGATTTTTAACACCTTCAGATGTTTTTGAGATAACATCTAGAACTCCTGTAACAGGTTTAATAATTAATCCTGAAGTTCCTTACCATAATCCCTTTAATAAACCAGATGCCCCATCTTATTAAGCCCCCTGAATTGGTTTACTAAAGAATCCAGCTATACCACCAGCTACTCCCTTAACCAAAGATACAGACCCTTCTTATATACCAGAGGTGACATTTCTAGCTTATTATTAATTTTAGATTTATCTTTATTATTAATAGTTTTCATCCATTGTAACTTTAGATAAACCACTAGAAATAGTACCAACAACATTCTTAACACTATTAAAAACTCCAGAGACTGTATGACTAACTAATGAAGTGGCTCCTGTTATAACACCCATACCACCTTCAAGTGGTCCTTTAGTGAATCCTTCAATTGGTCTTTCAAATAAATCTTACATGCCTGATACAATATTTTTCAATAATTTAGTAGGATTACCTATGACAGCTAAACTACCTAATATAGCTGGTAATTATTTATAGATATCAGGAAGATATCTTTGAGTTAATTTAATTCTCAAACCATTAATACTGTCAAAAACATCATCCATTTAAATACCTTTCAATACAATTTCAGCTTCATCAACAGAGACTAATTAAAATCCAACTCCAGATAAAAGTGATGTAAACATAGGATTATCTGTATCTTGATCCTTATCTTTTCTACCCCATTATACTGTGACTTAGATTATAATAGGATATATAGTAATAGATCCAAAATATGTTGGGATCAATTTATCAGGTAAAGGACAATGTTTCCAATCAAATTTCTATTGTAATTTTTATTATTAACTTTCAATTATTTATGTTATTTTATTGATAGTATTGAGTAGAGTTTTAATGACAGTATCATTAATTTTAATTGCTAAACGATTAGTTTCAAGAGAGAATTTCTCAATCAATTACAATTATTTAGCTTATAAATTCATTTAAACCAATACATTTAAAATAGGGAATTATTATTTAACTTTACCACTAGGAAGTAGTGTTAATAATACAGGAAATAGAGGATGTAATTAAGAAGTATTATCAATTTACAATCCTGATAATTTAAATTAAAATATAGCTTTGTTTTACTTATTTATTAATAAGATGGCTTCAGATTAATATAACACAATATTAACTATTTCTGAAGGATATGCTATATGATTATCAATCAAACTTATGTTGATTTATGAAATCATAATATCAAATTTCAATTATTATGGTTCTCTTACAATTTTTCCTGAATTCTCTTTATATCTCTATAATTCTTCTTCACTTGAATCAAGGAATTAAGTATGTCTAGTAAAACCATTGATTTCTGTTTTCAATTTAACAAATATTTTGCCTGCATCATTAGGAATTTGAGATCTAATAACAAAAAATTTAGCTTCTGTAATTTTATCAATTTAGAATTAATATTCTATAATTTCATATTAACTAACTTTAGGACAAATAACAAGTTGAACTTCATTTTATTTAGTTGGTTCATCCCAAGCAAAATAACAATCTTAATTATAATCTAAACAAACTGGTAAATTGAGAATAGTAACTTAAATCATTTTACTTTGATTAGTAATTCTATATGGTGTTTAATCATGTTTAGTTTCACTTATAACAACAAATAAAATGCCATTACTTTCATTAATATCAATTTAAGCAAATTTTCTAATTTCAGGAAACTTAAGACTTCTTAATTAAAGATAAAAGACACCAATCTAATTACACTCAATTTAACCACTCCAACTCCAATTATAATCTTCTATAAAAGTAAATTAAAATTAATAAATGCCTTCGGCTGAAGTAGGCATTTTATCACCAAAACATATCTCCAAAGGTAATCTTTAATATGGTTTTATCTCAAAAGCCTTCAATTACTTGATGCATACAGAGTGATCAGAATTATTGACTAAAATGATTCTATTCCTTACTGTTACAACTTTCTAACATGTTTATTAAATTAATTTAATTTCAGAAGTAACTGCTAATGGAGCAACATAATAATGTTCTTATCTCTTAATAATTATATCACTAGTTGAAGTACCTATAGAATTTATTTAAGCTGGTGTTAATGAGGGGAATTAAGGTGTAACTCTATCTGAAAATTTTAGTTCATTTTATTAAGTTGTGTTATTTAAAATTAATGGCCTTATTTTTGATCCTTATCTTTGTCCACCAATAGATGTGTATTAAGCATTCTTACCTTAAAATACAACATATTCATATTAAGTTTCATTTTTAATAAAATCTTAAGCAAACAATACTGCACTACATAATCCACTTTAATTGAATAAATTATAATTATATTCTAAAACCAATTCACTCTTGCCTCCACTACTTCCTTACCATTCTTCACCAACTAAATTAATAACATTTTGTTGCAATTTGAAGTTTCTGCTGTTTAATAATGGGATAGGTTTAGAAGACTTATATGAATCTATGCTTATTAATATAGAATGATTTTCTTTAATACTTTTGATTTAATGTTCATCCAAATATTATAATGGTTGTAATTTAATTACATCTCCTTCTTTATTTTCATATAATGTAGTGATTGTAACAGGAAATGGCATCAAATTTTATAATCTGAAATTTGGTTAAATATAAATGATATATCTACCATAGAATTCAGGATCTTTACGCACATTTAATGTTATTATGAAATTTTCATTTAACCATAATTTCAAACCCTCCTTATTTTCATAACACTTATTTAAATATTTTACATTATAAGATTGAGATTTCTCTTAATTGTTATTTGCTTTTCTAATATAAAAATCACTTTATAAAAAATCTTATGGAAGTACAAATTAATTAGGTTAATATGTTACATGTTTTTCAATTTGAACTTACATATATGGTTATAATTTTGATATTTATAGATTTCCTTTAGAATTTTTGAATACTATATCCAAATGAGTTTAAGTATTATTTTCAAAGATATATTCAGAACTTAAATAAATGACTCTCTAATTCTTTAATTAATCAAAAAAATTCTTAATCAAAACTGGACTATTATCTCCTATTTTCTTTATTTTTTATTATAGTTTATCAATATTCCAATTAAGAATTTCAAAAGGATTTTTGTCACCTTAAATTTATAAGGAAACTGAATTATTAGATTTAGAATTTTTAACATCAAAATCTTTATAATCATTGTGTTAAGCAATAATAATTGTATTATCTTATGTTTCACATAATACATCTTTTCCTAATTGATTATAAATTGCATATTTAGCATAAGAATTTTTTTAACAACTTATATGATTTTTATTTTTATCTTGTAAGTTTTATGTTAATATGGTCAATGCTGAATATACAGTTTATATCATTTAAGTTGATATATTTATATTGACTCCTTCTTTTATTTATACATCTAATTGATTTTCTCCAACAAGATCAAATCCAGTTAAATCTTTTTAATATACAATTGATATTACACATCTTTCAATTATTGGTTCCCAAAATCCAATATTTTAATTGAAATAATACAATTAAATTGGAAAATTTATCAAAAATTTAAAATTCCTTGATGTTTATTCTAATTTTGTTTCAGTTTAATATAATTTGAAATTCATTATATATTAATAATAATTTTCTATATCATTTAAGATTATTATATCTATACCATCAATGACTAAATCAAAATTTTATAAATTATTTTATTATTATTTATTTTACTCTTATTTCTATTATTATTTAACGTCATTATTTGTTAAATCATTAATAATTTACAATTAATTATTAATTTAATTCTAAATAAACAAAACATCAGTAAATGCAATTCTAAATTCAAATGGACTTAATGATAATTTTATACTCTGTTTTTCAACAAGAGAATCCAAATTTTCTGATAATACTAATTATTAACTCTAATTCAAAAGCATAGTAAATGGCCAAATAATTTATCTTTTATTATCTAGTAGATTGAATTATTTACTATATAATTATTTCTTTGATGCTATATATGCTTATACTTATTCTATAGATACAGAGGATTTTATTTTGAAATTCATACCTATTAAATCATATTCATTTAATCCTTTCTCTTTAATTATACAAAGTAATTCATCAGCATTCATAGTGTCATGTGTATTCATAATTATATTAAATTTTCCAGTAAATGTCAATATTGAATCATCATTTGATGGAATTGCAATTATTACATCTCCTAATGTAATAAAGATTTATGAATCTGTTGGATATACTTCTTCTTCTTTTTATTAACTTCTTAAATATTAATCATATTTATATTAATATTCCTTTAATTTTTCATTTACAAATGGATTTAATTATTCACTCTCAAATATTGTTAAAGTTTATAATATTATCTTTGTTTATATAGTCAATAAAAATGAACCAAATGTTAAATACAATTTATTATGTGTTTTGTTTTATGTTGGATTTATATACATTTCAATTTTACCTGACTCTTATTCAGAACTTGATGCATTCTTTATCAAATTTGTTAAATCATTTAAATTATCATATTACTTTTCTTCTTGTATTCCTATTAAAGGTTTACTAATAAAATATCCATTAACTTATTCATATACACAAGAATTAAAGGATGATATCTAAATTACTAATTCTTTTTTATCATCTTTTTTCATATTAAATTCTATATTACTATCTACTATAGATAATCTTATTAATGGTCTATGTAAACATAAGAATATTGAAATATTAATAATTTTCAATTTAAATTTAAGAAAATAATCTTAATTTCTAATTTTCTTTTCTACATCTTACTTTAATATTATTTTTTATTATTCTTAATTTATTTAATTTGATTTTTCAGCATTGAGTAATACATATTCATTAAATGAATCATTAAGTGTAAAATTATATGCTACTAATCTATTAATTAATTTCATAGTATTTCTATCTATATTTAATATAAATTAACTCATTTCACAACTTATATATATAGTTTCTTCTACTTTATTATGGATCTATTTATAATATTAAACTAAATCAGGTAGAGTAACAGACAATAATAAATTGAAATCACTTGCAATAACACCTTTTTTATTATCACATTCTCCTATTATATTAAGTTAAGTAATTTATATTGTATATATTTCCTTATAAAATTAATTAATTAATTAATGTTGATTAGAAACACTTATTTAACCTAAATTAATGATCATAAATTCATTTGAAAATTTGTTTCTAATAATGATTTAAGGATTATCAATTTGAACTCTTATTTTCATTCTAGGAGGATCAGATGTTATTTTAATAGATTCCTCCTTTGATGGTTATATAAGAATTCTACTTGATTATACTTTTTAATTGATTTAATTATCTATTTAATAATCTTATACTTTAAATGAATTTGGATTTGTAAATGGTTCCTATAAATTTTAAATATAATCAATAATTCTTAAAATAGGTTATTATTAATAATCAGCAACAATTTAACTAATTTTAGCATCAACTGTAATTATATCTCTATTTAATTATGCTTTTTTAGATAATGGTTCTATTAAGATAATTTTAACAAATAATAAAGATTCTCCTTTTTATTTAATTCCAACTATTTAATTAGATTTAATTAAATGATAATCTTCCTCTTATGTTAATGTATAAGGATGATTAGTTAAATCATTAATTTATAAATTTCCTAAATGAACTTACATTTATAATTCATCTTAATATTTAAGCATTTCTATAAAAGAATTTTAAAATTAAATATCTACAAATGGTAATTTAGTAATTTCATGAACAATAGATAAACTAATTTAATTTATTTACACATTCAATTTTAATAATAAAAATTATTTTTCTGCTTCTAAAAATTCCTTTTCTATTTTCTCTAATTATTTTTCTTATTTATTTTCATTGTTATTATTACTATTAATAAATTATATTAGATAAGCAAATGTTTCACTTTTAAAATTAATATGTAATCTACCAAATTTTAATTCTATCTATTAATCAATATCTTAATAATTTTTAGAATTCCTATTTGTTTAATGAAATAATATTTCAATAAGTTAACCATTCTCTTTTTCTGATATAATTAGATTTTCTAATTATTGATTATGATATTATCTTAAACTATCTTAAAGTTACAATCCTGAAAGAGTTAATTAAACTTACAAAAATTCTGAATGCATTTTCATTTTTAATGATAAATCCTTAGTTTTCATTACTAAAAATTATTTAGAATTTGAATCTTATAAATTAATTTATACAATTGATATAGTAAAATTAATAATCTTTTCGAATTCAATAGGTTTAATTTATTATTTATCTTATTTATCTTCTAATTATTTAAATAATTCTAATTCTTCATCTTTTAATGATGATATCTTTTAAATCCAATCTTATATTTAACTTTAATTTTATACACCAATTTCAAATTAATTATTTTCTATTTTTATAATTAGAACATTCATTTTGAATTCATCCTATCCTTTTTCAATAATATTAGAATTCTTTAAATATTTTATGAAACTAGGTTATTAAGATTTAGGATTTGAATAAAAATATAAATAAGATCCACTCAAAACACAAGTATATTTAACCCATTAATTTAATTAACCTTCCTTTATATAAAGTGGGGCTATTTTTATTGCATTTTCAATTATCTTAGTTTTTTCAATTTCTTCTGATTTATTTTATTTTTTGTATTCTTCAGCACTTACTGTTGGAGTAAAACAATCTCCAATCTTAGTAAGTTTTTAATATATTTATGGATTCATATTGGTAATAATATCTTAAATATTAGCATTTACTATAAGATTTTAATTTTATTAATTTGGCAATACGACATCAAGAACAATATTAAAATTGTTAATTACACTATATTATGTTTAAGATTGATGTTTTAATCCTATATTTGAAAGTTAAATTTTATATAATTCTTAACTATTTACAATACTACTATTTATATTAACTAAACCTGGACAAAAAAGCCAAGATTCTTATGAATTATTTAAAGGAAGTTCAAAATAAAATTGATCCATTGTTATATTAACCCATCTATTCTTTTCAACAATTACTTACTTAGCTAAAGCTGCTTATGCATTTTATTTAAGTTCTTAAATTCTATCATCAGCCATATTTTTAATTTAATTTGATTTCAATTCTACATCACTAAAATCACTTAATACTGTAATTACATCTGGATGAAATCTTAATTTAGATGATCTTGTTTCTAATTAAATATATGTAGAAATTGATTCAATTATTTTAAAATTCAATAAGAATATAGGTTTTGATTTATCATTACTAGTATTAGTGAGAAATTGTTAATTATTAAATAAAACAATCATATCTATTAAAGATAAATTCAAATTTAAATCTTTATCTGATTTTAAATCACATATTAAATCTTAAAAAAGTATTTTAATTTCATCCACTTTTTATTATCTAGGATTACTTAAAGTAATTGTTCCTTATCTCATTTTACCATTCACTACTATTTATGTTATTTTTCCTTAATTTACTTATTAAGATTCATCTTCTGAGAAATTCTATTATAAAAATTTATAAATTTCATCTGATTCTTCTTCTAAAAGTGTTGGTGTCTCATTTTATTATTATTATTTTCCTCTTCCAAACCAATTTTATAAGAATCCTTATGGTTATTTCTTTTTTAAAGCCTTTTATTTCATATCTTCATATTGTTATTCTTTAATTACTTCTAAAACTATTGGTTTTATTTCTTCAATTTATGTTTTCTCTAAAATTATATAAAGTTCTTATTTCTATTCTTTTTTAAGTCCATCATTATATTTTTTATCTAATTATACTAATTATAATATTTATTTAATTCTATTTTTATCCATTTCATCTAATGGTTAAATCATCTATTATTATTTTTAAAATGATATCTTAGCTCTATTATAAGAATTCAAATAATCTGTTAGATTTAATATTTATTAAACTTAAGGCTTTGAAAAATGAATATCAAATGATTATAAATCCAAATCAAATCTATAATCTGGAAGATTCTCACTTTATTTTGGTGGTTGTACAACCTTACTTTATAATGAAAGTCTAAATAAATAATCATTTTTTGGTATTTCTTCTTAAAATTTAATTACATCATATTATATTCCACCTTTCCATTACCAATAAAATCCTATATTACTTATTTGTAAACTCTTAATCAATGATTAATTTTTATTTGATGTTCTATCTATAAATTATTCTACACCTTATTCATTCACAGTAAGCAAAGTAAAATTTTACAATACAAAACCATAACTAATTTATTAATCTTCTACTCTTATATGAATATTTTAAATGCGAATCTATAAATTTTCAATCACTCTAATAATTATTCTTTACATCATTCCATCTTATTATTCTTTATTAGCAATTCTTTCTAATAATTTCTATTTAAATTAGTCAACTTATATTAATTTATCTGCTCCTGTAATACTTCCAAATTTCCAATCACTAGCTTATTGAGGTGTTATAATTAAATATAAAGTATCTAAATTTGCCTTAATAGGAGCACTAGCTAGATTTTTCCATGGAATATTTAAATTAAGTGTTCCCAATCTGCTATATTTAACAATAAAAGGGAGATCCAACTTAATAAAGGCATCTGATTTCAATTTTAGATTCTCAATCTTAGCTTCTCCACTCCAAATTCCAACCTTTAAAGATTATTGATCCAAACCTTCAATGTATTCTCCTAAAATTGATTAAAGGAGATTCTCGATTAATTTCTCAAACATAAATAAATTTTATATAAATCATATATCTTCTCTAATTCTTTCAAATACAGGAAATCTAGGTTTTCCATCATCTGTTAATCCATAATAACTATAAGAAATTCTAGAACCAATTTTTGGAGGATCTTTTCTTAATTTGCTATTAAATCCAACTCCTATTTAAAATATTATTCCTGCATCTGTCTAAACTCTTAATGCTCCCAATTAATCTTTAAACTTACCCATACCACTAATATGATCAATTACAGTTGCTTCTGAATCCATTGTTGTTTTTACTTTTAATAATGTATTTGATCTTTTTCCTTCATATATGGATTATGGATCTCTCAACATTAATCCTTCACCTCCTGCTTATTAAGCTAATATTAATTCTTCTTTTAAATGTTCATAACCTCTACATACAACATGTGGAACATAAACTAAATGAGGATTCTTTATTTTTTCTATTGTCTTCTTAAATTTAGCATATCTATTAACAAAAGGTTCATCTAATAAAGGTGCATCAAAAACCATAAATTTGATATCTTTCCAAGCTTTATAATCTGGTTATTTCTTTTTAGCTATGCTAACTAATTTTTAAAATTATCCTCTATCAAGCCATAATTCTCCATCTAAATAAGTAGTTGGCCATCCTTCAACAAATGAAGTAGGAAAATTTAATGAATTACCATTTCTAGTAAACATTTCACATCCACTCCAAATTATACGCATACCATCTAATTTTTCAGATAATAAATAATTTGTTGGATTAATATTCTCATTCCATTATCCAGCCAATAAACAAGCAATAGGTTTTGTATCTCCAGGAGGACCTAAATCTAATGTTTCTCCCAAATGAGTTCTGGATCTATATTTTGGCCATTCTCCAACTAATTTCCCTTATGTAGCATCATCTGTTAATGCTACAACAGGTTTCCTTTATTCTGGTAAATTAACCTTCTTCAAAATCTTTTATTACATTAAATCTTTTTTAGTAGTTGCAACAACAGTCTTCTCTTAGAATTGTTATTCATTAGCTTTCATTATATCATTACTATTGATCTCACGAAACCCTTTTTATAATTTTTACTAAATTTATTCACTCATCACTTCTATACCTCTTTCCATTGTTGGGAACTTAGTTAATGAGATTTCTATAGTTTCTTGTTGTTCTATATTTCCATTCAAAAATCCATTACGAATTTGTATTGTTATTGGTTTTAATTATATAAATTAACAATGCCAAAATTGATCATTCTTTATTAAGTACATCTCAGGACTTTATTATTTTTTCATTATTCTTATAAATTTCAACTATCTTTTTAACTTTTCTTTTACATATAAAAATCATTTTAAAATTATTACTCTACATTTCCAAAATAAAATAATCCATTTATTTATCAATAAATTTGATAATAACATAAAATATTATCATTCATCTTTCTCTTCATAAACAACTGGAGTCATTGAAGATACTTTATTTTCAATTTTCTCAAATTTCCTTTAATTAGATGAATCTTAAGATGAGTTTGAATTTTATCCTTCTATTCCAATTGAATCATTATCAACCATTTCATTATATTTAACAAAATGTTCATATTTTCTAAACTCTCTACACAAAAGTAAACTTAACATCATAAATCCAAGACCTAATACAAATGAAATACCATAAATTAATATTAATTATGAATAACCTGCACCTCTTTTTGGAGGAATAAAATTAATTGTATACATTTTTTGAATTTAACAAAATTCTTCTTTTGTAACATTAAGTTCATCTGGACATTTAGTTGATTTTTGTTTGTATACAAATTTTGTTTAATGAATTTCAGTTTAGTTTGAAAAACAAAAAATTAAACTTGGAGACTAGTATATATATAAATATTTACTTCTCTAATAGAAGAATAAAAAAATCTATGTTTTGTATATCCAAAAATAACAGTCCTACTTTTATAATCTATATAATCTAATTATTATAGATTAGGTATAATTATAGAATTGGATGATTAATTATTAAAACTTTATGGTAAGGAATGTCTTAATACTTAATGACCATTCTTACCTAATATAACAACATAATGATTTAAAATATCTACATCTTATACATCTTTAAAAGTTTTATATTTATTAAGTTATTTGTATGTATTGTTTGATAAATCTAAAGTTATTTCATGTACAAATGAAAATGATGGTTAATGTTCAATAATGATTAAAATAGATTATCTAATATCAAAGATATCACCAATCAATGGAATTGTTCCTAATTTACTATTCATTGAAATTAAGGTTGTGACAGAATTATAAACAAATTGTTATACACCTAATTTCTTATCTAAAATATAAATAGTATAGATTTGATCTTGATTATGTGAGAATACTTTAATGTCAACTACTTCATGAAATTGATTATTTGTTTCACCATTAACTACCCAAGATATTGATTACAAATTCTTCTCTTTAAATTAATACATGGATATCCCTAATTTACCCATTGCAATAAATATCATATCATTTACTGTTGTTATACTTGATATTTAATCAACATTGAATTAATCATATATCTTTAATTTTTATGAATCTTCAAAAACATCTGTTTTATTTGAAAGTTAAAATGCTAAAGTTTCTTAATCTGCAATTATTACTAAAACTCTGTTTTTACTAAGGTATTTTAAATATACCTTTTTTGCACTATTAATTTTTATCATCATTGAACTACCTAGACTTATTGTATTAGTAATCAGTAAATGTTACAATTTACCTAATTTTGTTAAAACAATTGATCCATTTTGTATAGTGACAGCTGCTATCACTTCATCAATTTTACCATTTAAATGTCCTTCTTCATAATTCTATTCGAAGAATGTTTCATTAAAAGATTCAACAATATCTATATTTAATCCTGTACTTTGAACTAACTTTTGTTTAGTGAAATGACAAGGTTTGAATGTATTATCTTCATATTCGATTTCCTAATAAAAAATTTCACCATATGAATCAAACTTGTCAATTACTTTTTCAGAATCAACTGAGATATTATATTCCTAACTTTGCACAAATATTAGTAATAAAAAAATCAGCATTATTTATTTATAATAATATAAATAATACGCTCATCACACTTACTACAATCTAGTCATATTACTGATTATAGAGAACTACGAGGTATGTGCTCCAGTCTAATTGAATTTGATAATTTTAGTTGGACTTTCAAAAGTTTGCATAGTTATTTCGTTTGATTTTGGACAAATTGGATCTAAATTATGTACAAATTCATGATATTTATTGAACTCTCTTATAAGAACTATGATTATTGTAATAAAGGCTAAAGCAACAAAGAATAAAATTAAATAAATTAAAAAATTTTATTCTGTAGTAATGATGGGTTTAATTGATTATATTAAATATTCTTGATTATAAGAACAAATCCCAGATTATTATTTTTTGCATTCTGAAATATGAGAATATGATAATTGTATTTATTATTCAAATTCAAAATAACAATATAAGTAACTCTACTTCAATTCTAATTTAGAATAATAAAAGTTGTGAAGACTAACACCTAAAAGATACAGTGATCCTTTTGATTTGATAAAATTCAATTTTAATAAAGAAGGCATAATAAAGTGTTGCTATTTGATTTGATACTATGATGGAATGGAATGAAAGATAACAGTGTTTCCATTTTATCCTAAGGTAATTGCAACATGATCTAATATATCGATATCAACTATAATCGAATTGATTATATGTTTATTAACTTATTTCCAACTAAAATCTGTATAATTCAATTAGATTTCTTAAATAATTGTTTATTAATCTTAGTAACTGGCAATCATCATTATATTATTATAAATGTCAATAATATCACCAGAATAAGGAATAGTAGCTAATCTTTCATTCTTATAAATCAAGGTAGATTTGGGATTGTATATGAATGATGTGACTCCCAAATCATAATCAAGTAAGTAAATATAATATACATCAAATTAATGAAATACTTTGAGATCAGTTGCATTATTGATAGAATACTAGAAATCAATTGAACCTAAAATTTGTCCACTCAATTAGAATATTTTTAAACCTCCTACACCCATAGCAATAAATAACATATTATTAACAACAGCTACACTCAAGATTTTATTTGTATTAAATGATTCATATATTCGAAAAGATTTCGAAAATATCTTTTCAGATTTAATATCTAATGTAATACCAACAGTGTCTGAATACATAATGATAACCAATTGGTTCTTAATTGTCTCCATAAAAACAGGATGTTATAGTATAGTCAAATTAATGTTGATGATGATTTTGTCAGAAACAATAAAAGTTTCATTTAGGAATCTAATGTAAATTAGTTCTGCTTAATTAGTTAAAATGACCACATCATTTTCAATATTGACAAATGAAAGGATATGAGGTATCAATCCTAAAAAGTGTCCATCATCAAAATATTAAGAAAACTGTTCTGGCAAATATTAAGGTATGATAGGTAATGATTACTCTAACATATTTTGATTGATTAGTTGCTATGGTACAACTTAACAAGGAAAAGTAGTTAAACTCATTTCTGATGTTGATGTGAGATTCTGTTCTATTATTATCCCTGCTGTTGAATAATACTCTATTATTTGAGGATATCCTATAAGTATTTCATATTACTAAAAGGAATGCACGAGAGAGAGAGTTAAAAAAATCAACATCTTAGTCTAGTTAATTATATATATAATATGCTAATGTCACTAAATACATATAAATCAAATAGTAAATATATTCATTAGTTATTTTTAATTGAAAATATTATATTTTACCGATAGACTTTTTAATTGAAGTTTAATAAAGATTACCTCTAAATGGTTTATATCTGAATTAGATTCTTTAAGAATTTATTCCAAAAACACAACCAATTTACCCAATCCAAATCCACAATGAATAGATAGAAATTATGTTGTAATGAAATCATGCAACTAACTTCCAATATTCTCTTTATTCTTGAATAGATGTTCTACTTTCTTAATCATTTCTAAGAAGATTTACAATAATTAATTCGAAGCTTTCTTTTGATCTTCTAAGTTTCTCTCACTATATATTTACTTATTTATTTGGTATTTCAAACTCTTCAATTAAAAATGCCATTATTTATTATAAATCTCATTCGAATCAATAATATTTTTGATACAATTTAATTGATATAATATCTTCTTTATTTAAATCAGATCATCAACCTATTCTTGGAATTGATCTTGATTTAATAAATTCTCAATATTGTTAAATTATAATCTATCAAATTCATAGGCAATCTTCTTAATTCCCTTATATAATTAACACTAGATCCTTTAAGAGTCTTTTGGATTCATCAAAGTATTTTTCTCTTCTAATCGTTTTAAATTATTGGGAGATAATGGAATTTATCTTGTTATTTCATTAATTCTTGTAGTCTAAATCTTATTTTCTAATCCTAAATTGTCCAATTATGCCAAACTCTATACTTTTATGGACAAAATGTCATCACATTCTTCTGATAATTGTGATTTATAAAATATCTCATTTTTTGTTATAATATGTTGGATCTCCACTTTCTAGAAGCCCTTCAAATATTTGTAGATAGTTAGATCATTCTTTAAATAATCGATTGGAATAAGATCATGATAATCTTTCTAAAATATAAACTCTGGAAATTTATATATGAAAAATTTAACTATATAAATCTACCTAGTAAATACTGCCAAATGTAAACAATTATGTTTTTACCTTTAGGTTTTCTATCTGAAATTGAATTTATATTCTTTCTGTTTATAAATGTACTCAATTACTTAGATGTATCCTTTAGATACAGCTAAGTGAATTGGAGTGTAACCATTGTTATTAAGATGATTACCATTTACTCCATTTTTTAATAGTAATTGCAGAATCTTCTAAGCCTCTACTTCATTCATTTAATATACACAAAATAAGTAATGAATACTATTATTACCATATAAATCCAATTCATGCATTCCCACATTTCTTTTTATTAAATCCAATACTAGATAATATTACAATTTTGATACTGCAATATTTAAACAGCTCTTTGCCCATGATCTATAAATAAATTATAAACATACGCTCCTTTATTTGGGTCAGCATTTGCATATAATAAGTATCTTGCTGCTAAATATTTCTCTTCCCAAATTGACAATCCTAAAGGAGAATAATCTTCTTAATTGATTTCGTCAATTTAGAATTTCTTAGTTTCAGACAAAAATGTTCTCAACATTCCAATATCTTCATCTAAAATTGTCTAATGTATTTTATATTGGATTTAAATATCTTTGTCCTAATATTTTAAAGCAAATTGTTTAAATGCAATAGAGCTTAATAATTATTTTGCTGAAATAGTTTCACCTGTACAACATAACTCAATTGTATGAAACAATTAATATATTAGTTCCTAAGATTGAAACAGCTCCTAAACTCCTGGATCCCCATACTTAAACCAATCTAATTAGAACACATTTAAAGTATCTACTTTAATTATTTTTATACATTTTAGTTTAGTAATGCTCTTAGGGATTTCAATAAAGCTATTATGTGAAATGAATAATTGATCAAGTTGTAATAGATTTCCTATATCAGAACAAATCTTTTTAATATGGTTTTGAGATAAATCTAATTATTACAAATGCTAGAATCTCCCAAATTAGAATTCTTATAATAGATTATTTCTGATGAACAATATTTCTAAATTTTTTAAACCATCTAATATATTGTAATCTAATTATTTAATATAATTGTCATTGAGGTTTAAAGATATCAATTTTGTTAGTTTTTACAATCCATCAGGCAATTATGTAATTCTAGTTTATTATAATGATAAATGTTTTAAAGATTCCTCAAAATTTTGTAGGTTATTCTAAAAAGCAAATCTTGGTATTGAACTTTTTTGATTAATTTTACTACGGGTCACTTGTAATTGTAAGTCATACTCCTAATCCATTTATTTATTTATATATTATTTTATTATTCCAATAAAATTTATACTCAATATATGTTTACTTAGCTTAGTATTACATAATCTATATATATCAACTTTTAGCTTATTAGATTCCTTGACAAATTAATTATTATCTAGGAAATAATTTGAATTTATAAATTATTCATTAAAATGAAATAGTGGGAGAAACAATAAAGTTAGAAACTCTATGAAAAACGAATATAACATGCTAAAGCTTAAGTCCCAATCTCAAATAAAAAGAAATCAACTAAAGTCAATGAATCAATTAACTCTATGAATTCATCTATTTCAGGATTCACACTTAAAGAAAAAGAAGACAAAGAATCTATTCCTTTATACAAAATGTTGAAAATATATCAATTATAACAATATGCCCAATAACTAATAACAAGAGGATATGGGTATGATTTAGTTAAATTTGCAATGCTTACAGACAATGAGGTCGAATATCTGTCTACCGATATCAAAGTATTACCAGGCCATAAAGTTAAACTCCTTAAACTTATAGAATACATTAAAGAAATTATTAAAACAAGTTTGCCCACACCTTTGAATTAATCTAAATTTCGTAATACGAGTTATGCAAAAAAAAATAGTAAAATAGTAACTCAATAGAAACCTAAAACAAGTCAAACATAAAGAATAAGACCTTAATAATAATAATAATAAGTCTTTAACAAATAAAAATAAATGAAAATTACTAATATAGGCTTTGATTTTTTTTAAGATGAGAGTGATTATGAAGATGAATTCAATTAAGCCTTAAATTAGATTATGGAAAAATACAAAGGAGATACAACTACAATACTCAATTCTAATAATTAAACTCTATAAAATTAATATAGTAAACCAATATTAACAAAAACTAATAATTTTCTATAACCTACAACAGGACCAATTCTATCTGATAGTAGCAGAGCACATACAAAACAAAAAGCAAAAGATGATATTATCTTAGTCAGTAAATTTTAAGATGATAAATTGATTACAGAAGTTAAGGAGAACAAGTAATATTAATATATTATTTTTAAGATTGATAAAGAATTTAGAAAAGCAATTAAGCTAGAAAAGAAGAAAATAAAATTATGAAGAAGATGATAATTTGCCAGATTTGCAAATGTCATAAATTAGACACATGTATCTATCATATGATACTGGAAAATTGACTTCTACCTTAGTGAATTTGGATATTGAAGAAATGAGTAATTGTCTAGCTTGGGCTATTTTAAAACATATTCAATTTAGTAAAAGGAATAACTATTCTATGATGAAAAACTCTAGTATACCTTTTTCTATGGATTTCAGATTTCGAGGAACAGGCATGAATTAATAAGATACATCACAAAATCCAATTGAAGAACCAACTTAATTGCATCTCTATATTGAATAATAATAATAGCAATAAATGGGATTATTTTAATCATAATAAATTTCAAAATTAGACAAAACCAATTTAAGTAATAAATAGAATAAAACTTTGGCATAAATAAGCGAGAAAACCTTAAGCAAAGATGAAAATGAATTCGATATTAAAAGATAAGAAATTAAAGAAATTTTGAAGGAAAGCTATCTTCATTAAGAATAATTTGAAAATGATGAAAATGATGATTATTCATAGAATGAATAAGATTATGATGTCTGTTCAGAAGAAGATATTGACGATTAAAATGAGAATTAAATCATCTAAAGTTAATAAAATGAGTATGAATCCTTCAGTCCAATTAAACCTAAATATATATTACCTTAGCAATAATAATTGTTTAAAGTTAATAATATTTCTGAAGAATCTTTATAACATATTGAGGATTCTCAAAAAATATACAATTATTCTTAAAGTATGCCTTATTAAGAATAATAATCCTTATTCTAATCCAAATTTGATTTTATAGAAATGGAAGAGGATGACAAAGAGATTAAACTCTAATATTAAAAGATATATTTTGATGCTAAAACAGAGTAAGTTATGCCAACAGCTGAAGTTGTAAGTAACTATTGTAAAAACATAATTATTACATCCAAAATGGAAAAAGAAGTGACTATTCTTTGTCTAGTCTATATTGAAAGATTATTAACATAAGCAAATATCAGTTTAGAACCATAAACATGGAGAAGAGTAGTTTTAATATCATTGGTATTCTTATGATTTTAACTATAGATTATTGCATCAAAGATATGGGATGATGAGTCTTTTGAAAATGACAATTTTGCTAAAGTATTTCCTTAATATCGAACAAAAGACATTAATGAAATGGAAAGAATATTTCTTATCTTATTAGATTATAGACTCCAAGTATATCCTGCAGAATATGCTAAATACTATTTTATTTTGAGAATGTACACTGAAAGCAAAAAGAAAAGCTTTCCTTTACGTCCATTAGATTTAAATACTATCATGAAACTATAAAGACAATCTAATTAAGCAGAATATGGACTGAAATAAAAATATGCATAGAGTTTAAATAAATCTTTTTGAATATAAAATAACTAATTTATGATTTAAATTATATCTAATCATAAATAATTGTTATTATTACTATTGCCACTCTAATTTTGAAAGAAATTTTTTATTGGAAAAAAATTATTATTTACCAGTATTCACAAAAAATCTTTAATAAATTGTATTATAATATTGTTTCATATTAATTATTATTATAATTGATTGATCCAAATGATAGAATATATTCAAAAACTTATAATAAGAATCTAAAATCGATTAGTATTTTATTACATAAACTATATATTAAGAAGAATAGAATCATTAATATTTATTAATATTCATTGTTTAAATATTAAATATTTATAATTAACAACAAATATATATTAAGATTAAATTATTCTTATATTTGATAAATAAATTTATAATTCATCTGAAAAATATTCAATATTAAATATTTATTAAGATAAAAGATATAATTTAATCTTATAATTGTTAAATATATTCATTCAGTCCCATTATTTTTAATATAATAAATTTTTCATTTACTCAATTTTAAGAAGTTGTTTTAATTTTTAAACCACCGAATTATAAGATATCCTTAATTTCTACTTATATATGCATAAACAAATTCTAAATTACTCCAAAGTTTTTTTTCTTGAAATAACAATGTATTAATCTAAGAATTTTATTTTCATCATATGGTTAATTTTTTTAACATATACTTTAAGTAATTTCCAAATAGGGGTTGGGTTTGGGTTTGGGTTGGGTTTGGG